AGCTTGGTGTGAGTTGATGCTTCCCGGATGTTCGTCAGCTCATTTTGTGTTACGTCTTCACGAAAACGAACGACTTCCTCTCCAGGCAAGTGCAAATCTAGGCGCATAACAGTCGGACGGTGCATATGGACTGAAAACTGTAGAGTTCTCCATGCTGCCTCGCAAGGGCCGATATACCGAAGCGTTCTGGTATTGAACCACCTCATCAATTGCTTCTTGCTCTACATCAGCAGGGGCAGGTGCGGCAGTGGTATTAGCTGTTGGTGGTGGTGGGTTGCTGATTGCTGTGGTGGTGGTGGTGCTTGTAGCAGGAGCATTGTTTGCAGGCGCAGCAGAACGCATTGCTTGCAGTTGTGCTCTATCTGATCCCTTGGTGATATATTTACACAGATATTTGATCGCACGCGAGGATGTGCATATTTCCACATTGATATGTGCGTCGTATTTGTGGCTCAGATACGGGTTGTATGGAACAACATGGCTGTTGTTGGCTGTGAAGCCACTGCGTGCGAAGCGATGGCTTGCACCATTACGACGCCGTCTATATATAGGATATCCGTCACCATTGACCCTGGTCTCGTTGGAAAATGGCTTTGGATATCGTTGTTGGCACTGACCGTTCAACATACACACTGCATCAGGTTTGTCACGACTACAGGGGCCATGGATCATGCAACTTGTCACTGTACGATATAATTGAGGCTGGGTCACAGGATCAGGCAGCTCCGCACATACAAATCGATCATAATCATTGGGTGTGTGTGGGCGCTCGCTTTCATCCAGGATCAAAAGAATGTGAACGTGTGGCAACCCTCGTTTTTGGAATTCAACAGTCGCATGTACCCAGCAACACGGCCGAAAATGCTCGAGTCGTTAATGTAATGAAGCAGCTCATCGAGTTTCATTTTAAAGACACGGTGCACAAATCAGGTCGATCATAAGCGTACTGGCCAGGCTCCAGCTCGGAAGTAATCTCGGCCATTTGGGGTTGCATGTGAAGGTGATGAAGAGAGTTGGATTACCCCGTTGACGAATGATAGCAAGGCCGTCTTGAAGCATCTGCTTCATATAGCGTGGACCACCTGTAAAGGATGACGGCAAAATAATCGACCTTCCGATTTGACGTGCGTTTACATTGTCGACAACACCGCTGTACACCTCAGCACGAATCTCGCGTTGGTGCGTCAGGATATACTGTAGGCGTGATGTCTCAATGCGTGCATAATTGTCGACTATGAGCTGCTGGAATAGTCGACCGAAATGATGGTTGTAGGTCTGATGCTCTCCGTCCCGAACCATTAGCATATATGCACAATAATCCAAAAGGGTAACTGAAACGTTGTTGCCGTCATGAGAGTCGCATCGCAATCCAAGGTACCATCCGTTATCGCCGTGTGGGAACATGAGGACGTAATGGAGGGGCATATATGATGCGTGTAGAGAGCTAATTTGCTGCAGGCCGCGCTCACGATCATGGATAACGATATCATGAGGTTGTGCCGTGCCATCTACGCTGTCTTCGACAACCATAGCTGCAACCTCCGGGTGAGCCTGCACATCATATCGTCGACCCATTTCACGCGCAGCGCGGATAACCACCTGGATAGTGCCTACGGGTTGATTACGGTATGCATCTGCTGCAGCAATGAGTGTACGTGCGAACGCGTTATGGCGCTGCATAACTGCCTGAATCGTGTTGATGATATCATTGTTTAATCCCGTGAACATTGTGCTGCGTCGAGTTGTTTGCTCTTGGGTATCGCAAAAGTAAATTTGAGCGAAATTAGCGCGTGTTGGATTGTCGGCTCTAAGTGGCCCGAGACAGTGATACATGGTGCCATTGATCCGAAAAGTTGAAACACCATTTCGTCCACTCGCCAAGTTGGGATCGTGATTGGCGCGAATGGATGCGAAAGCAAACATGCTGTTATAGGCTCGGATATTGGTGTGGAAATTGGTGGCAATAGGGTCGGATGAATCGTGATTAGTGATAAGTGATAACAGCTCTTGTGGTGGTGCGCGAGGGAGGGGTAAGCGTATCTTGCCAGAAGTACAGCAAATACCAAAGCGAGGGTTGGATACAGACGATGCAACTAAGCGCTCATCAATCCACATTTTAGCGTGACAAAAAGAGCATTCGACATTCATAGACTCGAAGATATGACGACGATAGTAGTTGTTGTTAGGCGTAAAGCAAATATTGGAGCCAAATACATTTTGAGGTACAAAAGGCACCCTGCATGCAATCTGGTATTGGGCACCATGTTCAGAGGTGACATTGCGTGAATTGAACGGGCAATTAGCGTGCGAAGAACGTCTATGGTCCGGCGATCCGCAGCTGGCACATCGGCGTGCAGGAACAGGAGGAACTTCAAAAGCTGTTGGAAGATTTACCACGCCGTCATCAGCATTGTCATGCTCAAGTATATCATCTGACATTATCTCCTCTGCAGTTGTAGTGACAGTTAAATGTCGTCATCAAACGTTTCCAAAGTTTCTAAATATGTCTAGTATTAATAGTAGATCTAAAAAACATGGACAGGTATAATAATAAGTATACCTTCCACCATGTTATCAAGACTATCTGGACATTCAGAATCAGAAGGGTTATTATGGGTAGTAGAGCCACAGCCAGAACAGCGGATAGGGTCAATATTCTAAACGAAAAGTGTTTGGCAACCACACAAAAGGTATAGCTCATAAGTACACAAAAAGCAGCTGAAGCTAAAGCAATTATACATCATTTTCAAAAGACAGTACGTTATTATCATCATTTTCCTCAATTCTGCGTCGAACATTACGCTCATTCAGCGGACAACCGTGGAAACTTCTTCGAGAATGGGTGGTAGACCCGCAAATGCAAGTTCGAATGGGCATTTCCGTCTGGTTTTACAGAAGTGAATTAGTACTTATACGACGAACGTTTTCGCGATCTGCAGGTGAAGCCAATTATGCCCGAGATTTTTGCTCGTCTTGGTAAATGGCGAGTAACACAACGCAACACACCTCTTCCTGATGATCTCCTTGAGAACTCATAGCTTAGCAAAATAATTGGAGATTGACAACAAATTTTTAAGTTTGAACGTGACAGTAACGCGACAAAGAGAGCGGACCCTTCAAAAGTTATGCTTAAAATGGCAACGATTTCCCAATTGGGTTGATTATCTTTTAGATTATCTAAGTACCAACTTATTTTTAATAGAAGATGAGCTGATAAACAATATTGGCAGCATGTTTAATTAATCAGTTTTCCAGGTTGGATTGTTGTGATATCTGTATAGTCAAAGATCGATTTGAAATGTTTACATATACACTTACGATCCAGGATTGATGGAAAGGCAGCACGATGTGGATCTGGTCGGCAGCGAGTCTGGTGCCCTTTCAAACCTGAGCGAAAGCACAGACTAATTTTTTTTGGTTACCCTATGCTTTCCTTATATATCAGAAATGCTTGTGTACCTCTTTTCGTCACAAAAGGGATCACCTCGCACTCTATATGATATAGTCTCTGTGACAGAAGAGAGAAAAAAAATGAAGTGAGAATATTCTTTCTTCCGTTGTTGAATAGAAAGACCATCGTCGCCTCCTCCCCTCTCCCTTTATGACCAAAAAAAAGCAGTCTGTATGCTGTATGTATGCGCATACGCGCGTTCCTGTTCATGTCGGGCAGTGGATTTTTAATGCCCGGTATTTGGATTTCATTGGCCAACGTGCTGCTGCAACTATACTCGAACCGCTTTGAGAGTTATACTACGCAGAGGACTTATTGGAGTCAAGTTTACTGACAAAGGTCAATATTTATGGTAAGCGGGAACATTATCATCTTCCACATGCTAGGATATATACGGGATCAGAAACATCTTGAAATATAGCGATTCCCGGAAAGTGTTCCTCATATTTTCTGGGCAAATTCTAACTACAGTACTTTGTCTGTTTAAACTCTATATGTAACAAACTCATGGGCAGTTGTTCAGTAAATGAACCCAGTGTCTTAAGCTTGATGCTTACCAAACGAACAACAATACGATAGCAAGCTCAAAACGCCAGAGAAAAGGCAAGCCTGATACAAGACGCTGGAGTGCTACTGTGTGCTGTCAACCAAGATATAAACATCACCCTAGTAAGCTTCCTGGATCCCAACTCCGCTCAATGGATTGGATAGCATTGTAATACCCTGCAGATGCGGTAAAGAATAAACAACAGCATTCAGGATGTCTAGATTATATAACTAAAGTCATCCTGGCAATAGCAACATAGAGAGCAAAAGCTAGTTCAGTCTTCCTTACTCTCAAAGAAAGAAAAAAAGAGATGCAAACGAATTATTGAAAAGTAATATGCAAAAGGCAACCATGACTGAATCAACCCACACTTGTGACAAGCATTTACTGTATGTACGTTCATTTTTTCTCTTAGAAAATATCTATATTACCAGCAACAGCGCTAGTGAAAAAGTGAGAGGAATATGCTTCGGTGTATTTTACTTCTAAAGTATGGGTATCATCTTTAGCGCGTGCTTCAACGAGCTCATCGAATGCCAATCCGATACTTCGCGGATTTTTTTGGGTAGCAGCAATCTCCAAATAGCAAAGGTTCGGCAGTCGGTTGAACGCCAAAATAGTTCTGTCGTCCAGCATAGGAACCATACCCAGTCGTAGTATTTTGATATCAGAGTCACGCATCTTGTCTGTATATTGATAAAGACCGCTCGTGCTTATGTCGGCGCATGCGGCTGTAATCATCAAGGAATATAAGTGCTTAAGAGCAGTAGTCGCCAAAAGATGTTGATTTGTAAAATATTTGGTTAGGCCTCCAAATGATACGCGTCGCAACGTCTTTGTTGACTCGAATAACCAGCGAATGCCTTGAGGGGTGACCATACTTGCTTCGCCGAGCGTGACCTCCAACTGTTCGAGGCGTTCAAGTTGACCGAGTACCTTGAGGACGTTGTTGTTGATAGAGTTAAGGCCAAACAAGTGTACAAGTTCCAAATTCGGCGATGCTTGCAAAAAGCTGCATAAATTGCTTGAAGGGTATGACCGGTTGGCATTTTGACACAGGCAATGTAGCTTTAGCTCGCGCAGTTGCGGAAAATGTAGCGAGCCCAATAAATGCATTGCTCGTCGTGTCGGTCGTAGCATGCAAAGTGAGACAGACATGGTTTCTACCGTCATATGGCTTTTAAGCACCCATGGCAAAAGGGTCGTATCCTTCTGGTGTACACTGATGTCATCGCCTTCATCCGTTGGCGTCGTCGAAGGATCAAGTATTGCACGATAAGAGTACGTCAGTTGTTTGCCGAAAAGTCGAAACTCGTTCCGCTTGCCGTACGCGACTGTGTTATGCCAGCTGTGATATACAAAGTTGGAAAGGTTGCTACAGTGCATGGTAACAAGCTCTAGTATCTGCTGATTCTCTTCGCTATCGAATGTATGTATCTGCAAATTCTTGAGGCGTGGGCAGTTTGCAAGTAGCGTAGGTAAATGAACAATATCGGCTCCTAACGAGAATTCCAGGTACAGGCTGGTCAAGTGGAACGTACGGGCAACAAGACTTTCAGGGGCCTCTCGGATCTCCTGGGGCGATGTTTGTCGACCAACATAAGTGAAATGCGTCAGGTTATGACATATATTGAATATAGTTGCGAGATATCCTGCTGCAATGACGTCGCCCTTGATAAGGCGTATCACTCGCAAGCTTTTATGGCTCAAGCGAATCGTTTCAAGAAAGCTCTGTATGGACAACTGGAAGACATTGGACAAATCTAGAGGTGATTGATACAACAGTTAGAGTTTCCAGAGCTAACATTCTCCTTTAAAAAATACATGCAATCTTCAAACAAAAAGAGTGATTATATTTACCCAACGATACGATATTGTGACACTGAGAATTCGATAAGGCTCTTGTGGCGTAATAAGCAACGTGACTCGGCGGAAGAACAAACTTGATATGTCGAGCATATTGTCCAAAAGCTGATGCAAGGGCTTTGTTCTTACGCACGGTCTTGTCGAGTTTGTACAATAGCCAGCTATCGTTCGTTTCGATAGTGTCCCATAACGCATAGGGATATTTTTCGAAATGATCATACCATGCTCTGCACGTTAGTGCGCAGCGAAGTCGGTCAGTGATTTTCGCAAAAAGCATTATTTCGCTCAAAAGTTCGTCCGGTAATTGTAGTATCATCGGCAACGGTTGCTGATGATCTTCGTAAAAGGGTGCATTCATCGTAATTGTCGGCATGCCCAATCGATTGTGGTGGTGGATGTGGTCGTTTGGTCTGCCAATTATCGATAGTAAAGAAGGCATATATGTTTGTAAAGAAAACAAACCAAAATCTCACACCACTATTTAAATGATTTCAACGCACAAATGATGGTTGTAGTGGCGCAGTTCCGGTCATGCATGAGGGATTACTCTATCCATTACTGTTTTGGGAACTAAAAGTTCGAAAGCTAGTAATTCCGATTCGTTTTCTTACTTGCTGCGGTTTCATCTACTGTGGTAGTATTCCTTTTTTCAGTGTACCCTAATTCTTGAACTACTCACGAAAACCATACCATTTAGCAGAATCCGACAATAGAGCATGCGTGACAATGTCATGATTATTATGGAAGATACAAAAGAAGTAGGATAAAGTGGTGGAAGAAGCAAATGAGCGTTTTGTAAAGGGTATGCAATGGATTACGTGTAGTGAATTTTGTTTTGCAAGGCTCTCGTGTCGACGTATTCTAAATCTACAATGCTTTGTACGACCCAGTCGAACAGACGTCTCAATTAGCATATAATTTGACTCATTCCCGGTCACCCTATAACTTTGGTCACATACCCGTTTAGTAATAACTTGAACTTGTTCAGTTGTTCTGCCATCTGATTCACTTGCTCTTGAGCCACCGGGGTTGAATTGACTTCAATCATCCAAATGTCCTCATCCACAAGCACGGCGCTTGATACATCCACCTTTGTTTTCAGCTAGTGCCACATGTATGTCCATAAGATCATCAGTAACAGCGGGCTGTAAACGAGCAACAGTAATGGAATAGTTTACAGTATTAGAGCTATTTGAATACTCTTGTTACCTTGTATACTTGACTGACTGTAATTCGTAACAATCTTTCATATGAGAGTAGATATCCTTTACGTACAACTTCAAAGGAATAACTAAGTAATGATTTCCTGCGTTAGTAGAACATAACTATTCAGTGATCATCGAAAGTATATGGATATAAACCTGTAACCGAGTGACTTCATAAATCGAAACACATCGCCACTGAGTTCTACGCGTACATGCGGTCGGACAGATACTGTGCGTCCACGTTGGGGTTCGGGGTGACCTTGCATGCAGAGGTACCATTGTCGATGTTTAAAACTCTTTTCATGCTCTGAACTAATCCGTGATTGAAGTCGTAAAACAACGTCGTCATTACGTGCTGGTCCCACTGGTGTCTGCACTATTACGATTCATTCGTTAATCAGAAAGTGAGGTTTTGTGGGTCGAATCCAAAAAAATGGCGAATGATGTTTAGAGTCTTCGTACCCGTTGGTGAAAATATGATTTCGTGCTGGAAGAGATCAATCAAGGAATCATTGCCACAGACTCCAACAAGGCGTTGTATTACTGCATCTTTTTCTGCTGTTCCGACTATAAGACCTTGTAAACTGCATTCGTAGGTGGCCATGGTAGCAAAAAGAAACGTCGTCGCGTCGAAAAAAACTGGCTAACGTCAAATCGTCGTGCTGGTTTGTTTTAAGGGGCCGCTTGGCAACCCACAACTATATTTCATGCAAGCTTACGTTTACAGCATTTACAAAACCGAAACTTCAAACATTGCATTTCCTGCAGAGATAACAGCTCCCAATTATAGAAGAAGGAGCTTATGTGTAGCTTACCACATACATTAGATATACAGGTTGGTAAAACGATATATTTATATAATGAGAAAGCTAATGATGAAATAGAGTGACCGTATAATGAAGTTCTACATGTTGATATGTGTGAAAAGTATGTATGATAGTGACAATACAACGTATGCAATTCGGTGGGCTTTGGAGAGAATATGTAGGTATGCCAAGGCGCTCTTCTTTAGCAAAAATAAGTAAATAGATAGTTTGTGGAACAGAAAAGACGATCTTGTTAGTCCTGTCATACGCTGTTGAATGTTACAGTATTCAAATGAGATAATCACGACGACAACTATGTGTAATATAGAAAGATCTGTACCAACAAGTGGGAAAAATTTGTGAGCATCACTATACACTTTAGAGTTCCTAACACGATTACAAAAAGGCTGATTAACGGTAAACAAACCTCTTTAGCAGCAAGCGTCAAGTGTGCAGCAGCAACACAGTCCTGCAAGGCAGCCGGTTAAGCAACCGCAACCACCACGTAACCTATAATATTATACACAAGCAGTTCATAAATGATCCGTACTACTGCTACTTTAAAATGTTCCCCCTTCTTCTCCGATATGGATCGTCGCAAGCACGTACCGTAAAATTCCTGATGGTTCCTCTAATTTGAGTTTATTTTACGTTAGATATTAAAGTCGAATTGTCAAGGAGAAACACGTGAGAAGAACGTATGATATATTCAAAGCTGATATATCGGTAATAGAAAAGTGAGTAGCTAACCTTGTTGATTTAAATCCTGTGTGTTTGCAGTGGCATCAGCTTTCATTGCTTCGGTAGTGGGGTATGAAGAAGGTGATGAAGTAGCAGCCATTTCATGCTGCTCGTGAGGCTGTTGGGGTTGCTGTTGTTCACTAATGACGAGTATATAGCATAATAGATCTCCAAATCAGAAAATGTGCCATCGATGATTTTTCACAAAGAATAACAGATATTACAAGCTTACTACCTTGGAGACATTTTTACTAATAAGAAGCAGAGAAGTAATAAGAAAGGAAAAGAGAAGATGTAAAATCACTATTCTGGATTTGCCAAGTCGTTTATTTATAGATAAAAAGATTGTGATTTTCTTTCTCGGAGATTCCATTCTTGGCAACAGGATAAAGTTCATCAAAGGCTTTTTTGTTTTTTCAAAAGTGGGTTTCCGTTACTTCTTTGGGACCCCATGATGTCACGTACGGTAAGACGCATGGGCTGTTCCGGGGTAACTTGACCCATTCGGTCAGTAATGATAGACCATGACGACAAACAAAATCACCTGGCAACCCTCATGGTATGTACAGTCTAGGTCTTATAATAAAGTATCTGGTTTGACACACGGCTTAGTCTAACACATGCAGAGCATGCACTCAATATAAGCAGCTAGACATCACTTGCTACAGAATTTGCCAAGCGGATCTGCCAAGATTTAAGGTACCCTAAAAACAATGCACGCAATACTCCGAAGTGTTTGCTTATAGCAAAATGTCGAATCAAACATATCCCTTCATGGGACTCGTCATAATACAAAGTGCAAAAAAGCCCAATGCTGTACGACTTGATGACGCCGACGAAAATGATCTTTTTTTCATCGATCACATCAAAAAAGAAGAAAGTAAGGAGTGTCCAGCTACATCTCTATGGCCTGCTCTACACCTTTTCTGACTTGAGCTGCATCAGTTGCCACGTGTATGACAGCTAAAATATGGTATATCATTTCGTAGGCATATTCTGTTGTTAGATTTTATATATACAATCCACACAGTCATTTAAGAAAGTAAAGTCGCTGATTTTGGATTCAATGTCGTGCAAAAAAATTGTGCGTTCAATAAAAAAAACCAATCACTTTCATACATCGATCCAAACATGGCTGAATCGTCTCATTCGTGCAATAACAAAGGCGCCATAGTTTTGTTAAAAAAGCTATGCCCGGATTGTGAGGAACCATTCAGCAGATTTCAAAATATGAAAAGGCACATATTCACTAAGCACGGCAAGGATCTCACAACACGTTCGAAGAAAGACCATGGCAAATCAACAGACGGAATTCCAGTGCATGTCTACAACACAAGCAACGTGAAGAAATACACACAAGAAGGCACAGCAATCATTGTTAAATTCGCTTGCCCAGGTTGTCGCGACATATTTAAAACTGTTTCAGAACTCGCGCATCACGTCGACAATAACCATGTAAAAAGAGCGCCATCGCTTGAAAACCTATCTCCTGGAGACAAACGATGGGTCCTGGATGGTCACGATGTTTCAAGCCAATTCCACGAATATCGCCGATCTTGTATTACTGCGTCGCAGAAACCGTTTCAAGAAAGTCACTTCGAAAGACTTCTTCTAAGTTGTATCGATCTCTTTCAGATACCCGTTGTATCTCTCAAAGCTGAAGAGCCAAAATCCGTACAAGGGGCCGATCAAGGATCGTCATATCCAGATGCATATGTAAGTGCATGTTTGGTGTTACTGCTTCTGCGCCATACAAGTCTTCAACACCAGTGCAAAAATTCAGCAAATTTGCGTGTGCCAAATCGACCTCGCTCTCTGTAATCGATGGCTTTACTAGTAAACGGCATGCGTTGACAAAAAGTAGCCAATTCTGAAGCAAACGATCTTCGAGGTGTCCCTGCAGCACAAAAGGTGAATACACTAGGCACCATGACTTCCAATCATCAGCAGTCATGAACGAAAAACCACTTTCGATCTTACGTTTCAAGGAAACATAGTCGGGTGGGAGGACAATGCCATCAGCCAGTCTAGGTATACGGTCATTCACAGAACAAGATCATGACATCCATCTATTAACAACGATAGCAACAAACACAATAAAGAACTGCTACTAAAACTTACGTTTGCATTTCCTTCAGATCTCGATTTGTCAGATGCGCATCTTCGATCCAAAGTTTGGTCATACGTTTAGCGGTACCAAGGAACAAATTATGCATTGGGTCGATAATAGTACAACGAACGGGATCAAAGTAGCGTAGGCGATGAAGCTCTGACCATCTCGTCCCAGTTTCACGTTCGATCTGTCGCCGAGCAGCCATAGTAGCAGCATATTTCCATCGAGTGGCATCACCCAAATTGCTTTCCTTCGTGCGCAGCTCCCAATCATCGACTTCGAAACCAGAGTAGTTTATACTCGATGTACCCTCGAAAACGGCGAACTGGCGAAGGCATTTATGGCAAGCACAGAGGCTTGCATGGGACGTGAATTCACTAGTTTTTCGAGCAGCAGGGATGTCGCATGCATTGTTGAGCAAAGCTACCCGGACAAGAGCGCCTTCTGTTGGATTGCTGTAGGTGCTGATCCTTTTTCCATCATACCACTCCAACAATTCATCAACCAGTGGACGAAGGTAATGATTCATATCGGATGTACTTGGCTCACTTGGACCTGGCATGATACCAACAAGGATTACATTCTCTGTTTTAAAGCGCTCTGACCGCGGCAAGTTGTTGACAGTCAAGTATAGAGCACCGCACGAGTACGTAGAATCAATGAACGGACCAAACCAATCAACGTTAAGCGTCAACAACAACGAACGATATAAAGAAACGAATGAGGCACCACTTCTATCAAGGATACCACGCCACATATCGCCATCATAGATGTCAAAAAATTTGTTTTCATATCGTGTGCGGGAACGCCATTGTTCAATTTTTGCCTCGAACCCTGATCGCTTGAAAAGCCTCTGTATACTAGCAGCCAAGGGCTGGTACGCAAATTCCTTTACTGGAGATAGGCGACTCCTTAATGCTTTAAACAATCTGGTGCCGCACAATCCTTGGTATCGAATGTCGTCATCGGTGCATTCGGTGGGGCAATCGTCGGATCGTTTCAGGTAGAGACTGTGGCACCGGGAACACGACACATATAAGACGATGTTGTCTGTTAAGACAGAGAAGCCAGTTATACTACGCAGGGTAGCAAGTGAACGAGGGATATGGGCATCCGGGCCAAGGAGATCTGCAAGCAGGACTGAGAAAAACTCGATAACTATGCCTGAAATATGCTCAGAAAAAAAATGCAACTGGAACAAGACAAGGAAAACGAGGACGAGTGCAACTGGATGTCGATAATGCTGAAGTAGCATTCTTTCTGATGCTGAATTATCGAGGTAAGTGATATCTTTTTTTAAGAAACACTTATTTAGTATTACTATGCAAGTGAATATAATAATATTGTCCTTTGGGAACCGACCTCCTGTTATATCGACTATATCGTCTTCCTCGTTGCTGTACCCCCACTCAATGTCGTCCGCATCCAATACACGAGCATTAGCACCAACCACAGTCTCACTATCGCTATCACCACCGTTTTCGAATATGTTATCCTCAATGTCGAGAGGTATTCTGCGGTTGGCATTGACAGCTACATTCAGAGATAATTCGTTATTAGTCGATCTATCAACAATTCTACTCAACAACTTATCATACCTTGAGGACGAGGGTAGGGAAGTGAAAGGGACTCCGGAGACGAAGGATGAATAGGAGAAGGGGGGTTGCCATCATCAATATCCATCGTATCATCACCATAATCGTCCATGTCCGCGTTAGAATTGCCTGCTGGTGGTGGCAAAACACTGGATTCACCAGTACTATCCATGGTTACGCCATTGCCAACTGATGATCGGGACGTGTTAATGCTCAAGGATTCATAGAGAGTGATCATACTAGCCACTATATTCGAAGTTAAATATCATTATTACCATACTGATGCTTGGAAAAGTAGCTTATAAAATACCATCCTGCTGTGTCTCGCCTCTTAGTACAACGTGATCACGCTCATCGTGGTTTTGCCGTACTCGATTTGTCACCAACTCATAACCCCGTGGGTTTGACCTACTGCACGTTCGACAGTAGCAAGCAACCATACGTCTATTGCTTGCCATTATGCATCAACAAAAGAGCGAATGTAGATAAAAGATTAACCTCAAAAGAATTCACTTTTATATAAGAAAAAACTTCCCTTGAACGGGGTCGTCTTTAATAATTCAGGGGTTGTTGCTCCTACACTGTCCCTAACTTTTCAAATCTCTACTTAATCGCATTGGTCATTCACAACAATGAAAAAAAAAATAAACGCATTCGATCAGCATCGTAAAACATGTGCTGCTTTGTAATACGCTGAGAATGTTTTTATATATAAAAATGCATTGTAGCATCCTTTTTTTTGGATCCAACTGGTTTCGGCATGACATCAAATTATATATACAAGAGCGGCATTTTTCGGCACTTTGCATATGTTTGTAAGAGAGCAGTATGAAAAGTACACATGATCTTTTGAAGCAAGGGTTGTAGGGGGATTATGAAGATGCAGAACAGTGGTAGTGCGAGACCCGTTACTTTTTTTTAGGTACATGGAATGGTGCATGTTGGTGTACGTGAAAAAAAATTTCATAAAAGACTTCTCTTTGTAACGAAAGCATACACTCGGAGTGCTTCATCCGATGTAGTATTGAGTAACTAACATGAAGTTGTGTTCTTGCAGCTATTGCATATACTGGGAGCTTTTTGGACCAATATAGTAAGTTTACATATACAAACAGAAACTTCATGCATAACTACCGCATCCACTCTCTGAAAACCCCCCAACTTCTTTGGGGGCACACCTTGCCTCTTTATATACAAATATCAAGGTCTTTCAAAAGCCCTTGATATTGGACTTTTCGCGCGATGAAAAAAACATGAACAAAAAAACATGAGCATATTAAAACATGAGCAAAAACATGATCATATAAAAACATGAGCAAAAAAAACATGAGCAAAAAAACATGATCATATAAAAACATGAGCAAAAAAACATGAGCAAAAAAACATGAGCAATTACAAACATGAGCAAAAAAACATGCTCAATTAAAAACATGAGCAAAAAAACATGCTCAATTAAAAACATGAGCAAAAAAACATGATCAATTAAAAACATGAGCAAAAAAACATGATCAATTAAAAACATGAGCAAAAAAACATGCTCAATTAAAAACATGAGCAAAAAAACATGATCAATTAAAAACATGATCATTCAAAAACATGATCATATAAAAACATGATCATATAAAAACATGAGCAAAAAAACATGAGCAAAAAAACATGAGCATATAAAAACATGAGCAAAAAAACATGAGCATATAAAAACATGAGCAAAAAAACATGAGCAAAAAAAACAGGCGGGGGGTTAAGCTCATGGCTCATGGGGCAAGACTCTGCCAATCATTTTGAAAGTTAAGTGAAAGTGCTCTAACAGGCTCTGTAACATCTGTCTAATCAAATTATGACTTAAGGTTTAAGGATGTGTTGCTACAGTTACACACAGGAACCTAGTTCTTGTAGCTTTCTTACAAGAGAGGGCGTTTTCACACCCACGCTGAATGCTTTTCTTTCTTGTATTTGTTATATATCCTAAAAGCGTGGAAGATATCTCCTCATCTTCAATAAAACGCGGTCACAGTAGACCCAAAGGGAGCAAAAACAAGGAGCAAAAAACCAACGAACCTCCTACTGGGCAACGCACGCTTCAGTTCTGGACGCCGCGTCCAACCCTATCCACGTTTGACATGAGCGACCATTCAGTCGATACAAGTCCTGAGCAACAAAGCGAACAAGCTTATACTGATGTACACAATGGCTTTCCTTCTCAGGTTAATAGCATAAAGACCCATAGAGACCCAATATAACAAATCTACCTTTCATGCAACTTATATACTATTCTCTTTGTCAAAACAATCATATATGTGATAGTGCTTCCAAAATGATGACAGTGGCGAGTGCTATACTTTAAACGACTTGCTGCATGAAATTGAGGAGGATGAGACGCGAGAGAGGGATGATCAAGTCACTGGTAGCGTTGGTGTAGAATACGGCGGTAGCGCTATTCCAGATGATGAATTGGAGGAACTTCGAAACGACTATAGAACTTACAAAGAGCAAAGCCGTGGTGTGCTTGTGGGGTATTTTCTTAACATTCAAAACCGCATCTCCCGTAAAGATGGTGGTTATCTGAGCGAGTACAGAAGAGGCACCTTTTGGGTGGAGCCAAAGTTGCCTTATTTTGCAATGAAAGACCAAAACACCTTGGACCCCGGAATCCTGTACCACCCACGAGTATTTCTGTGGCTGCCACATGTCTTGGTGAACAAACTGTATTGCCGCGAGGAATGCTGCATCGACAAAGAGTCGCTACTTACTGAATAGGCTTCTATATATAACGATCCTTGTGCGCGTAGAGTTGTGGACATGCACAGGTACATATTATACTTTCAAAGCAACAATAAGTGAATAAGTAATGGAATAATTAAGCTAAGATTGATATACAAGGTCTTTTTATATAATCTCACGACGATACAAGTGCTCCGTGTGCAAAAAGCCATTAGGCGCCCATGATGAAAATATTCTGTCGCAACTTCCGGAGCAGCTAGCAGCAGAGTTTCCGCCCGTTCTGACTTACTGATGCGCTGTAACAAAAGAATTGATTGACATACTGCAACCTTGCATGCAACATGCTATGGGAATCTCCAATTTTCATGCCATGCTATAAGAGCTTCATACCAAACGACATATCCGACTTCATATCTAATATACTCTAAATCAACTGGATCATCAACAAAATCAGCGTACTTTGGTCGAGACATGGAATGGGACCAAAACATATGCAGAATTTTCGACATTTGACAATCCTCAATGCTACGCCGGCTATATCCCATCCATTCCGTATTTACGCTTAATTTACAACGCTGTTCTGGATATACTACGCCCGTTTATGGACAAGCAAATGGCAGCAGTTGGTGGCGAGATATTGGAGGGTGATCATACCTTCAAGGTCATCAAGAAAGTTGCTAAAATGGGCGACGCACCGACCTTTGGTGCCTTATACACAGTATGTAACGAATATGAAGAAACACGTATACAGCTGCTAGTCCTGACAAAATCTCTATCGCACTTGAAGACTCCCTTTGCAGAAATGATGAAGACATACAACCAATGTGGCTTTAAACCGCCTCGTTTATTCTTCACTGACAATGTGCGAGGGGATAAGGCGTTTTTGTTGAAAGTGATCAAATCTCTAAACGACGGACCAAAGCAAACACAACAATCTGCAAGTCAACCTGTTAAAAACCAAGCACCTTTCCTACGACTACCAAACAACATCGAAACCCACTATGTTTGGGACGCTATAGAAGCAAACGACGTGATAAACCGAAACATTATGGAAGACTCTAAAACGAGTACTATTGTCATCGGCACGGATTGTGAATGGAATTACCCTCCTCTGGGAAAAGTGGCAACGGTGCAGCTAGCATACAAGGTATAACATTCTATTATCATAGCAGCATCTGTATAACCGTATGGTTACCCGGTAATCTGACTAACTTTCTTTAGAACGATGTTTTTATACTACTAATACACCAGTTTGATAGTGTACCAGCATCACTCTGTGCTCTTCTCCGGTCTCCCAAAGTACTGAAAGCTGGCTGTCATGTAGGTGGTGACATAAAAAAGCTCCATCGTGATTACTTTTTATTATATAACGAAGATACAGCACTGAAGCTTGGCAAATTTTTTTATAGGCGTGGCTTTGTCGACAATGGAGGAGTGTCGTTATCTGTGTTAGCAGAAGTACTGCTAGGAGGGCTTATCGGGTTAGGTCTATACCTTTTTGCATCTGTAGTTATATTATTATTGTCAGAATTTTAGAAATCAGAATTAAATTTAATTATCGAAAAAAAAATATCTAAAAAGAAAAATAAATTAAATGTTTTTTATTAATATATAAATATTAAAAAAATCAAAAATGTCCTCAAATCGTATGACTGTTACATAATATTTAAATTCCGACCAAATGTGCATATATGCTCAAAATTAAAAATTAAATAAAAATTGAATTTCAATAATATTATAAAAGTATAGAATTATATATTTAGAATAACTCTTGAAATTATTATAATGGTCTGTCTGAACAAAAACATAAGTTTTGATAAAAAAATATTAAGAGATAAATTAAAAAAAGAGTTAGAAGAAACAGTAATATTAGAATTTAGCTTAGAATTAAATAAAGAACTTATAAAAAAAATAAATAATAAAATTGATAATAAAATTAAAACTTTATTTTCATCTAATCACTTTATATATATAACTATGGATAGAAATATATGTTTTTATATAAATTTAAAAAAGGAAAAGTGGAAGGATATTATTGTTGTAATAAAATAACAAAAAATAGTGATAAAAATAAATATTTTTGCACAAAACATAATCCCGAACATATTCCAAAAAAAGCAAAAAAAGCAAAAAAAGCAAAACCTTCAGAAATTATAAAAATTGATAATAAAGTTATTACATTTAAAAAATCAAATAAAAATAAATTTAAGATAAAATTAAAAAATAAATTTAAAATTAAGATAATAGTTCATGGAGAAATTAATTTCAAAAACATAAAAGAAAAATTATTAATATAATATTAATTAAATTCTATAAAAAATATTAAAAGTCAAGAGTATAGTTTATTTCAGTCATGTTAAAAAATGAAACACAAAAACATTATACTATTTAAAGAAGAAATTCATATGTAATTTAGGAATTTTAAAAGAAAGAACAAAAAGTTAAAAATTAAAAAAATATAGAAAGTTTTTGAATATATTCTATTTATCATTCTTCATGAATTATTACATAGCAACTATATCTAATTTAAACTCTAGAAAATTTTAAAATTCATTTCCATTAATTATCCGCACAATATTAAAGTAGTTGGAAGGATTCATATAATGTTCCTTTATAATGTAAACATTCTTTTATGTTCTGAAATATAAAATTGGTACTAATTTTTATAATAATTATAATAATAGGGAGTTAATTCATAATCATATATATTTTTGAAAACTATAAAATTTTCTCAATCATTAGATTGTAAAAATTTTTTATGTTTTCTTTTACTTATTTTAACTTTTTTTTATATGTATTTATGTATTAAAAAACAAACAAAATCAAAGATTTGATTTTATTGTTTTTTTTTATTTATTTAAAAAAACAATATTTGTGTAACAAATGTTTGTTTTTTAATACATATAAAAAAAAGTTAAAATAAAGAAAAGAAAACATAAAAAATTTTTACAATCTAATGATTGAGAAAACTTTATAGTTTTCAAAAATATATATGATTATGAATTAACTCCCATATAAATAATACTAATTTTTTAAAAATCATGATGATACTGATTTATCCCCTAGGTGCCCCATTGGGGAATAATCTTAGGAAGAGCGATTGGGAGGCACGAGATCTTACGCCAACTCAAATATATCATGCAGTATGGATACTTGGGCATCACTTGCTATATACACAAAACTTGCCCCATTTCTTACCATTAGTAAAGCCATACCGTGGTCCGTACCACAAGGAGCTTTTGTTGCAATATCCTCGGCTAGCCTATCGTCACGTCCGATTGCTTATGGGGACATACTTCAAAACGGGCACCAGGTTAGCTTAATATATAAGCTTTTATGAGGAAAGCTTGCTAATATATACAACTATTTATTTGTTGCTAGCATATGCGTGATATGTAGCATCATAGTACAAATTATTAATGTCGCCATCCCGGGTGCAATAATCAGTATATATGAGAGACTTCAGCCGATTTCGGTCAACCACCGTTTAGGATCACATTACGTACGTCCATGCTACGATTCGAAAAAAAATTGCTGTGCCAGCAACAGCACTATGATACAGTAGCCGCTCGCTAAGCTGATCACCTCGGTCATGACCCAAAAGTGAATGATCAGCTTATCGAATTCGTTGCCCAATATAATGAGTGGGGTCTTCGTCTGTTAACTATTATATACACAGTAAACATTTTGGTCGCTTGTTCGACTCCCACATGTCTCAGATATATGAGGAGATGAAATACTGTGGTTTTATTGGTCTATATCATATAAGGCGATATGTCACAGAGAAATGATCGGTGATCGGCTTACTGAGCAAGCTCGATATTCACTGCTTAACGAGTCGGTAATTTTGAAAAATGATCGGCTTAGCAAGAATATCGGTTTAGAAGTGATCGGCTTAGCGAGCGCCTACTGTAGCTCAACAGATACAGAAACGTCATGTATCACCATGAATTCGAACTCGCCTGATGATGCTTTGGACGAAGACGACGGATACTAGGAAGAGCTGTCGTCATCTGATGAAGAAGTGGACGACATTTGCAACAATCAAATTACATCGACAACTCCACTGATTGCTGACTCTACACAGACCGACATAGCCAGCTTTGAAGCACAGCAATATAGTTCGCACCAACCCAACCAAAATCCATCAAGGGTTTTAAAAGATATATATCATTTCGTGGCATTGATTAAGGTTCCCAAGCGCCACACGCTTGCAAAGGAGTTCAGCCGCCGACTACGGGATGCAATCTTCGTTGTGGATCCTCACGACAGACGCAAAGTGGAGGAATACCTAGCAAAACAAGGACTTCCTTGGACATACATGCTCAACAGCAACCCTTCTTGGATTTTGCGAAGGGTAGAACGCTTTGTGCCACCACTAAACGAACTCGGGCCGGTTGTTCAGAACCTGTTCACAGAGTATGGCAACCTCATCTGCACAAGGACAGGACGAAGATTATTTGACAACGATGCTCGCCATCAAGCTCAAAATATGCTCAAGGCGCTTTATGAAGGCCAAATTTTAGACCATCCTGATGTGCCGATGTATTTTAAAATTGGATACGACAAGAAAGCAGGCTTACCACTATATCGCTGTTGTCGCGGTACCAACTCTCTCGAGGGAGGGGTTCATGAAAACATTATACGCGCTATTGGTTCTAGTGGAACTGGACCCCACTTGGCCCATTGCTTTTTGGCTGATTATTGTCTTCGACATAATATTAGAGTAAGAATCATATGTAGCATGTCGTTTTATTATATGGCACTACTTATTAAGAGTTTCTCCTTTAAAAAAGGTTGGCACTATGAATCGCTATCAGCGTATGCATAAGGGTCATTATGAGCCCTGGCTCACCGAAGCACTATTGTATCTACGAATGAAACTTGGCATTGTTGCAATTGATGGTGCTATTGTGGAACACTGCACAGGCATCCTCACACCAGGCTTACATTTGAAGGCATCTGATGAAACTTTTGGTGTATCGAGAATGACAGCTGATGTTGCAGAAGAGCTTGGTATACACTTAGCGACGGCGGTAACGCAGCAGCAACACGACGAACATTTACCCATGGTACGTCCACACCCTCTTGGCATAAGCATCAACATATTGCTACCATCCGTCTCGACAGCAAATTAAAAAAACAAATGATATGTGTTTCTCGCTGACAAGCAAGGTCTTAAATACGCTGTAACGCCAGTCCATACCAAAGAAGAATTCATCAAGCTCAACAACATCATACCGAAAGAAAGTATCAATGCATCACAATGGGTAGACCTGGCTAAAAAGTGGAATACATGCAACTTGAAGGAAGTCGATGGATCAACGATATTTTATAAGACACTAGACCATTTAAAGTTACATTTTGAGCGCTGGAACGAAAGGAGAATTACAAGTGCAAGTGCTGCAATCAGTAATGGTGTTTGCGATACAATGAGTGAAGATCTTCAATCACCGAGTAGAGGTCAATCTATGCTACCTGCTAATACCCGTTCACTTCCACCATTTGTGATTACACCTCCCTCAACAGCACCGCCATACTAGCCGTCATTCCCAGTAGCGGCAACTGCTCAAACAACAGCAACAGTATCAACATCTGCAACGACGTCACAAACGTATTCACCCCCTGCAGCAAAAAGAGTAGCGCCTGCGCTAGTGTCGTCAAGTATACCATCAGATCCCTTGTTCCGTGTTAATGTTAATATCCCAAAAAAAAAACGACGCAAAACCATTGCAGGGGATACTCCACAAAACCGTGTACATTCCTAGCTACATAAACAGCAACTATTACCGTGACTATACCTAATAATAATAAAGATAGTTATTTTTTTTTTCACAATAAACCTTTGCTATCTTGATCATCACAATAGCGCGACTGTATAAAAACGTCATGCCTTGACCTCAGAAAAAAAAAATAGTAATTTTTCCCCAGGAATATTACTAGGGCCAAAGAACATGAGTAAGCCGATTTTTTTATGACTCTGTTATGTATTCATATCAATCGCATACAAATGCTGTTTAAAGGAAATCGTAGATAAGGGAAATTAATAGGAAGGATGAGTAAATCCAACAAAGAAGGGCGACCAAGTAAAACACATATGATAAGAAAGGAAAATCACCGGTGGGAATAGGAATAATTCAAGGATTGATAGGGTGGGGGTATACAGCCAACATTCAAGAGTCAAGAGTCAAGTTACAGGTTCGTTTTCTTGGTGCCAATTTGTTATTGATCACGTCCAAATACGCGCTCGACAGTGTATCACAGGGTATTAATCCTTAATAGTAATTCAAAAAAGGTTTTATTAATTAAATATATATAATTGTTTAAAAATATATAGGAAAAAATAAAAAATTAGATTATAATTTTTTTATTTTTGAAACATTTAAGGTATTTTTTTAATTTTTTTTTTACTTCATATAATATGTTTAGGTTTCGTATAAACATAATTAAACCATTAAAAATATAATATTCTTTTATGATTAATTCAAATCTTATAATGGCGGAATAGTAATGAGCAAGTCCCTTCTCTAGCCAAGGAACACTTGGACGAAGGCTAGCTTAACAGTGAAATCCTTAACTAAAATTAATTTACTATTTACAGTAATATTAATTATTATGGATTGATACTCACAGCGCCAAGACGACAGATCATTTTCGCTAACCACACAATAGGGGGACATCCAGCTCCAATTAGATATTAGATAATACTATTGGCTGTAAGAAATCTATTGGCTGTAAAAATCCAAATTGTACAAAAAATTCAATTTTCTCATCTTTAGTGGTATTAGATTTATAAACAACAAGTTTTTTATTTTTAGGACTATAAAGCTTACTATATTGACAGCAAAGGTAATCCTTTTTACCATCAGGTAAATTTGTTCTGATTTTTCTACCACAAAACTGACCATCACGTTTTCCTTTTTTAAATTTATGGGTACAAAATTCATTATTTATGCTCAAGTATAAAAAGTAGTCTGTTCTAAGCAATGACTTTATTTTATTTTGTAACTTCATTTTTAATTTTTCTACAATATTTTTATTAATGTAAGAATCCAATTCATTTTCCATAAATACATCTAATTCTTTGTTAAGATTATTACGTAATTGGATATGGTTGATTAGGAGGAATTCATTTAATGCAACCATTTTTATTGAATCTTTGAAACAATTTCTTTTTTCAAATACAAAAATTCAAAAAAGTAATTGAGTTTGAAATTTATTTCTTGGCATAAATTAATAGTTTTCTGATAACATTTCTATTAATGCTCTTGAAACCTATATTCATTATCTTGCTATAAATTCAGTACTATTTACAATATTTTCTTCAACTGGTATATAACATAATGTGAATTCATACCTGGCATTCCTTTCTTACCAATTATTTTTATATATACACAAAATTCAAAAAAAGAAAACAAGAAAAAGAAAAAAACTAAACCTATTAAAATTATTATAGGAAACCCATTTTATTTATGTTTCAATTCAATCATTCCTTAAATACAATCAATATTTATAAATAATATGGTATCAATGATATATTACCTAGAGTATGCAATTTTATAATATACCAAGATTATGCTTATTGATATATTCCTTCAATAAATCCTTATGATTAAATTTATCAATTGATAACCAACTGTTATCATCAGCACTATATCCAACCCACTTTACTTCAAACAAATATGTACCATTTTCAGTTTTATGCCTAATAATTAGGGATCCGCACGGTTCGGTTCGGTTCGGTTCTTAAAGGGAACCGAACCGAACCGTCTAAAGCAAGAACCGAACCGACTAGAACCGACGAGAACCGTAGAACCGAAGAACCGAACCGAAGAACCGAACCCATCATGTATATAAAAAAGGCAAGATTCGGTATCTTTAAATGAAAGCTGATGTGTGTGTTCAAATGTCGCGGTATACTTGAATACTGCAGTAAAAAAAGAATAGTTTATTATTGTACATTGAACAGCGATCTCAAAATGAATAAGAGAAACAGAATGTAAACATTCTCATACGATGTGGGTCATTGCATGGTTAAAAGATTGAAGCACAGTTTTTACAAAAAAAAGTGGAGCTTATAGTACTTACTTAGAGCGACTTAGTATTACTAGTACAATATGTTATCGTAACATTGGAGGAATTGAACCACAACCGGCAGTACATACAGCTGCTGTGTCTCTACGTGTGTATAGTGTATAGTGTCTCATAAAAGGCAAAGGGTGAATGGGTAAGATAATTCTGTTATGAGCCCCAGAATGCGCAATCTCAAACGGAATGTACAAACTTGATAAAACTGATCGAGAAGCCATGATAAATCTAGTAAAGTAGTACGTCATGGAGAAAAATGCATTGTGGGTAGCAAAGTAGAGGAACAAGTAATGATGTGCGTCATGGGCGGAGAAAGCAAGCTGCTGTCAGAAGAAGTGTTTTTTTATTTTTTTGCTCTTCTCTTCTTTACTATTTTTTACTCCCTTCTGCTTTTGCAGGTTTTGTTAAGTTTTCAATAAAGTATGGCTTGCAAATACACTACTTCGTGGTCTTTTCGGAATAACATTGTTCGTAACTTCCATTATAGCCTACTTTATACTAATTACCAAAATCGCTGATTGCAATCTTCTGCCTCTCGGTTCTTCGGTTCTACTTATACAGAACCGGTTCGGTTCCGGTTCGGTTCTTGACAGGAACCGAACCGTATTTTCTCAGGTTCGGTTCGGTTCGGTTCCGGTTCTACGGTTCTGATACGGATCCCTACTAATAATCTCTTCTATTTCATATGATGCCATTGCTCGTTGTTTCCCTTTATTTCGCTTTCTTTTTTTACTACGCTCATTAAATCTTGGAACATCATCATTATCCCTATTACTCTGATTTGAATTATTATCAGATTCATTATTAACAATCATTTCTTCATTTGATATAGCCATATTAAGCAGGTCATTTTGCAATCTGATCATTTTATCCAGTTTATCTTTATTTTGTTTATCATTGCTGACCACTATATCAATTAGTTTATGCTCTACTAGAAAATTAAAATCATTACTGTGCCATAGTTTATGGTGTGGTAAAATAGGAATATTGAACATTTCTACAAATTTTGTAATATTTTTTAATAAACAAGCTACACGAAATTGCAGATTATAGTATTTTATGTTATCCATTTTAACAACTGACTTGTTATTATTGAACCAGTAGAATTTATTCCCAATTTCTGAAAATTGATTCTCAACTTTTGTCCTAAAACTTCCAAATGTCTTATTAAAATGATCCTCAGTAATCGTTAAGGGCTCATTTACATTTTTACGTATAGGGTATACAAAATTATCATGGCTAAAGTTATCCTTTTTCATTAGCAAGCTCTGTAAATTGCGTGATAAATAAAGTATATCCACCAACAACTGCCATTATGTCATTCTCATACATATATTTAAATAATTTCATGTTTAAAAACATGCTACCATCTGAGCTATCAGAACAAAAGTCACTTTTAGAAGTATAAATAATCATATCATTCATATCACTAACGAATTGGGTACGTATTCCATTCTTCTTAAATTTATAAGAATACATTCTTTGAAAGTGGTCAATTTCAGTATCTACATAGTTAATTCTTGAATCATGGCCATCCAATATAAGTGTTACATGTTTAAATAAGTCGGGATTATGCTTTCTAGCAGATAGAATACGTAATTTGATAGATGAAAACATGTCATTCATTGAATCATTTACTATTTTGTTGATTCGTTTGTAGTTGTCCTCATCTATCCAAAACTTTTTATAAAATGTATGAAATGTGCTATGTGGTAAGTATTTTTCAAATTTTTCACTACTTACTCCAGAGACTAAATGATATAATAAAAACAATCCTTTTTCAATTTCAAAGTAAGGTCCGGGATATTCCTTGTTTGTATATAAAACTACTAGAAAATAAAATACAGCAACATAACCTAATCAACGTAACAATTCATCCTTAATTTTTTCTATGAATTTAATATGTCTCAAATCAGTTCTATGTTTATATTTATTATGTACAGTAGGCCAATTCCATCCTAGGAATTGCCAATAATTTGCAATAATTGAGTTTACTTCATTTGTAATCAGTGGTGTATAGTTTGTTGTATCCATTGGGTCGTTCTTTGTTTATATTATGGATTTTCAATTTTTATAATCATTGAATACATGATTTTGGTCACATGATGTCATAAAATTGATAAAATATCAAAATGGATGATATAATTTAATATGGCAGCAAGCAATTTATTAGATTTATCAAAAACTATTATAAATTTATAGCCAATTTGGTACTGTACATCCCGCATGGTCTCGGTACAATGATGCAACAAAAAGCAAGTTGTCCACATGTCCCATCAAATCCAGGAGATCACATTTCTTCGTTGGGATGTGTAACCGAACTAATTCTGTGACAGTGTATAAGAATGGAAATTCCAATTGCATCGTAAAAAACTTGACTGAGTTGGCTGTAACTTGGAAGGACAGGACATTTCTCAAATTGTACCGATCAATTGCTTCTTTGCTAAAGATGCATAACCGATAAAAACCTTTGGCAAGCAGTGTGACTGAAACATTGCGGCTCTTTTTGACCTCTCCATAGGCGTTTGTGTACGAGAACCAGTACCCAGAAGATACATAGACGTCAATTTTGTAATCTGGTCGATTGACAGCATCGTCAAACTCTTCTGGGACTATGTTCGATAAATGCGCAACTTTTGAGGGCTTCTTTGCTGACAAAAGGCCATGCATGAATGGATGGATGTAGCTGGAAGTCAGATGTGCTTCAGAGAGTGGCTTCATGTCACAGTCGTATAGATTCGAGAGTAAGGCCACTATTGCCATGATAACTGCACATTCATATTCCGTTGGTTCTATGTAATCTTGTGGCGGGGGAGTAACATCTGGCACGCAAAGTGAGAGAAGCTCGATTTTGGCTCGTGTTTCCGTGATGATTTCATCCACAAACTGCTGAATAATTGATTGAACTGCTGATCTAACGTGCGGTTGGAATGTGTTGCGCTTGTACTTAGCCAGTATTTCAGTGCGCGCTGCTGTCAATAAGGATGGTGGAAAGATGTCGGTTGGCAAATCTTCATAATTGCCCCGTCGCTGCAAGACAAGGATACCAGACATAGTCAAAACCTCGTTGAAATGGCTCTCGACGGCAAATTCAGCTGTACGCGACGCAGTAATACAAGATCGGCGATATTCGTGGAATTGGCTTGAAACATCGTGACCATCCAGGATTCATCGTTTGTCTCCAGGAGATAGGTTTTCAAGCGATGGCGCTCTTTTTACATGGTTATTGTCGACGTGATGCGCGAGTTCTGAAACAGTTTTAAATATGTCGCGACAACCTGGGCAAGCGAATTTAATAATGATTGCTGTGCCTTCTTGTGTGTATTTCTTCACGTTGCTTGTGTTGTAGACATGCACAGGAGTTCCGTCTGTTGATTTGCCATGGTCTTTTTTCGAACGTGTTGTGAGATCCTTGCCGTGCTTAGTGAATATGTGCCTTTTCATATCTTGAAATCTGCTGAATGGTTCCTCACAATCCAGGCATAGCTTTTTTAACAAAACTATGGCGCCTTTGTTATTGCACGAATGAGACGATTCAGCCATGTTTGGATCGATGTATGATCATGTTTTCTTGCTCATGTTTTTATATGCTCATGTTTTTATATGCTCATGTTTTTATATGATCATGTTTTTTTGATCATGTCTTTATATGATCATGTTTTTTTGCTCATGTTTTTATATGATCATGTTTTTTTGATCATGTCTTTATATGATCATGTTTTTTTGCTCATGTTTTTATATGATCATGTTTTTTTGCTCATGTTTTCAATTGAGCATGTTTTTTTGCTCATGTTTTTAATTGAGCATGTTTTTTTGCTCATGTTTTTAATTGCTCATGTTTTTAATTGAGCATGTTTTTTTGCCCATGTTTTTAATTGAGCATGTTTTTTTGCTCATGTTTTTAATTGAGCATGTTTTTTTGCTCATGTTTTTAATTGAGCATGTTTTTTTGCTCATGTCTTTAATTGAGCATGTTTTTTTGCTCATGTTTTTAATTGAGCATGTTTTTTTGCTCATGTTTTTAATTGCTCATGTTTTTTTGATCATGTTTTTTTGCTCATGTTTTTATATGATCATGTTTTTTTGCTCATGTTTTTATATGATCATGTTTTTTTGCTTATGTTTTTTATTAGCTTACAGATTGCTGTGCCCATTTTTATAATTTCTCTTTGTCAAGGCACTTATCAGAGCATTTAGCAGAATGAGAAACAAAACCTTTGAATTCACTAAAATGTAAGCTATCACATGCCTCACTGATCCTAGTCATGAGCGATTCTTTTTCCAGCAAAACTTGAATTTTGTTCCCAAAAAGAGCGGGAACTGAATTTCACTTGGAGTATTTCACCTGTGTGAGCATATGCAAGCGGATCCCCTTATTTTCTCCCAACTGAGGTTCATTATTACTCATAATGCTGTCGTGTTTGCTTTTTCACGTCAAATATAATAAGCTGATATCATTTATGCTTTCGAGTAGCGTTCATACGAGTGGGAGAAATACGCTCGAGACAAAGGAAAGACCAACTCGCTTGAAAACAGTATATATACAGTATCTCTTATTTAGAATGCATAGCTTCTATAATGTAAGACACATGTTATTTTTAATAGCAGAATAAACTGGCTAGATCTTTGCTAAAGCTTTATGTATGTACAAAGCGAGGTTGATTAAAATCATATGTGTGTTGATTGTAGAAACGGTTGGTTATTGCTGGCTTGTGGTGAATCTTGCATGGAGGCAGGTCAGTCGTTGTTGCTGGACAGATACATATGCAGCGAAAATATTCCCATGCGCATTCTCATTCATGTAGGAGACTTTGCTGGCCACCGATAGCAAGGTAGAGCCAAATGCTAGTTTAAAATAGTAGAACAGGATGACGGGCGAACTGGTTTTGTAAACAATCATAGGCTATCAATAATTACACACCGCTTGTCAAAGTCGGAAACGAAATTTTTCGGGTACTTATTGCCCTTTCTTTGGAAAAACAACAAAAAGTAAATAACAGCAATGCTACGACCAGCACTAATTCGAACCCTCCACACCACCTCTGCAAGACCAGCTGGTGGATTCAGCCGCTTTAACCCTTGGGCTAAGCAATCGACTGTCCCACCCACATCTACCGAGTCTACTACCGAACAAAGCAAGCCCGAGGCAACCTTCAATGTCAACCATTACGCGGAAGAAGAAGAAAGTTTATTGTAAGCCAAATAAGAATAACGGCAATCCCTTTTATACGTGTTTACTATTGTGCGTGCAAAAGTACGGTAACGATTGGTTGAGTCTAACTCTTGCTTATTACGATAGATGGAGAGATCGAAATGTGAATCAAACTGTTGACGAAATTCAACAGACAGTGCAGACTATCGTTACTGACAACTTTTCTGGCGTTACTGAATCCAGCTGGAAGGATGTCCGTTTTGACTCTGCTGATACAAAACTGAAGGCAAGGGAAACTCATACATGTGGTGTATAATAATCAAGGGAAAAAAGCGAAAGTTTATTGTTAATGCCCACGAATTAATACAGGTTATCAAGGAAAGCATCAAACAAACTGGTAAAGAAGTCCCGAACCGAGAATTGAGCAACATCCAAACTGGCGCTGATTTGCTTGCCTACTTTACCAAATCACAAGATTTATCCTCACAAACAAAGGCTTCCTCTGTCCGAAGCTTCTTTGAAGATAATGCAGATACGCTTCCCTCCAACCTTACTTTCCGACATTAACTATAAATAAATAGCATGTACTGTAGATAAAAGAAAAACCACACACAATCATCAATTCAATTTCTGGAGAAGGATGGCAGTGGACAATGGTTGTCGTTTAGTTTGTTTGTTTGTTACGTTTTTATCATGATGCTTGTTTTTCAGAACGCAAGCATTCACTTGCATATTTAAAAATTAACAAGTTTGCCTCGTCCGACTTGACAGCATCCATCGCCCAATCACGGGCACTTTCCAGCTGGTTGACAAACATGGCATGCATAAGTTCAGAGTGGATCCACATGCTGATCTGCGTGAGGAACATCAAATTGATCCAAGCAAACGTCGAATGCCGTATGTTGCTCTTGAATGACTTTTTCGTCGGTGCGGGCGGGGTGGGGTCCAGACCAAGAGCACTAAGGTATAGTCTTCGTACAAAATCAATGTACACAATATCCTCTTGCTGTTCTTGCTCTGATGGTATATCTGACAATTTGAATACGGCTTCCATTGGCATCCGGACAAGTCGTGCTGCTTCTTTCATGTCGGCATGTGAACTTGCTTGCGTGAGCCCTATGTTGTGCGCTGAACGGTATGCCAGCAGAAATTGGTGGCTCATTGAGAGTCGTGTCATGTGGGATTGGAGTCGTTGTAAAGCACCCATGCGATCACCCATTTGTGTTTCAAGATACGCTGCCATGTCGTATATCTCGGGCTGCAGTGCCTCGACGTCCAATCCTCCTCGAAGCAATGTCAGGGTGCCTGCCCTCTTGTAACACTCGCAGTGCGTCAGCAGGTTCAGTAAAGTTTGCCATACGCCCATCAAGAGCGGACGTTTGGCTCCATTGCCACGCGCCTTTTTGCTGAGATGACGTAGCATCGATAACAGCACGTTCAGCGAGGTGAGTTGTTCTTGTCGAGACAGAGGCATCTGTGCTGCTGTGGCCGTCCAGTCGATCGTAAACATGGGCTTGCTGGTGGACGGTTTTCCATTCGTCAACAGGCTGGCATACCAGTGGCGACATATTGAATCTGGCATCCGTCGGAACAAAAGATAGTACAGTAATGTCATCCATACGACATAGAGATCGTGGTCTTCCAGCTGTGCCGTTTCAAGCGAAAAGATGTCCACCGTGTCATTTTTGATAAGCAATCCATCGCTGATTTTGTTTCCGGTCAACAGATACAGAAGGAACTCGAAACCGAAAAAGCGTAGGACCCTCAATAGAATTTCTGTGGTGATTCCAGATATCGTCCTTACTTCCTCTAATTAGGAGATAACGAAAAACAAGGAACAGTTACAGTGAGTTTCGTTACTGAAAGCAATGTTGCGGCTGTAGCATAGGGTCGTAAACATAACTTTACCTGAATTTTGTGAAGCCGCTCTACGTCTGGCCAAATCTTTCACGAGGGATTCGATGGTACGCTTTTGTTGCCCTGTGGAAGATGCGCGTACCATTTGCCAAATCACATCTGTTGCGAGGGGTATAGAGCCCTTAATGGATGATATCTCGTTCATGAAATTAGGGCTTGTGGGTCCGTGGCAATACAGTGATAGTTCGGCAAATAAACCCCATAGGAGTTCCACATCTGGATGTGCTTTTGCTGCTGAATGCGCTAGCTGTTTCGCATCGACGAACGATGGGTTTCCGTACTGTCTCAATTCCAGTATCTGGAGAACATCAGCAGGTAAACTCCCAACAATTTTTTCAAGTATTACCCGTTTTGATGAGGGTAGTGTATCGAAGCGTTGGATAATGTTATAGAGTATGCTGTCGAATGCGAGGTCATTTTCGGTAACCTCCTGGTTAGCGAGATAGAGGATCTGTGAGTACAAAGAAGGGTATTCTTTCTTTCGCTTCTGTTTGCATATCAGAGAATGTTCCTTTTACGTACCGTTTGTAGTGTAGAACCTGTGTTTTTCCTTAACAACACAGAATCCAGAGCTAGCGTAAAGTCATCCACAGTGATCATACGCGACGGTCGTGGAGCAAATCGAATGTCTGTTGTGGTAGACTGCATGGCTTTCGAGTCGGACAAAAAGCGGATCTTGATGAGGCCCTCTAGCTCTAAGAGGTATGTCCCAAGCTTCATTGCATCGGCAATCGGATGAACTTGGGCTTCCGCTGGTGGCGACGTTGTGTACGATCTGTTCGGTGGTGCAGACGGAGGAGGAGGTGGCGGCGGTGGTGGGGACTGTTGCCGAGGCGGCGGTGGTGGTGGTGGTGGAGGGGGAGGCGAGGGAGGCGGGGGAGGAGGAGGAGGTGGAGGTGGCGGTGCGATGCGTGGTTTATGGATGTGTATAGGTGGTAGTTGTTGAACTTCGGGGAAGCGATATCGTGATGGTTGTTGGAAGGGTAGTGGCGGTCCCGGCGTTCGAATAGTTGATTCATCCGCGCGGAACATGTGCATATCGTGTTGAATTGATGGTACTATAGGTGGAATGGGCGGAAATCCGTATGCGTTGGGTCGTTTGTTTGGTGATTCCATCGAAATGTCATGTGGATCATAATCCATCAGCCGTTTGCCTTTTGCACCGTTTGCATGATCATATTTGGACTCTGCTGCCGATGATGCCCTTGCTGCTCTGGATTCCTTGAACTTTTTGTTTTCTGTTGCAGATATTCTTATCTGCAAGCCCATCGCTTTAAGCTGCGCACCGCTTCGAGATTTCTCCAGCCCCTTTAGCCGTGAATCATATTTTGCAATAGCTTGACGCAGAATCTCCATTTGTCGTTCAATGCCGGACACCACTGCCGAGTTATTATTGCTTTGTAAATCGTAGTCGTCGTCGTCGTCGTCGTCGTCATCTTCTTCATCGTCATCCACCAAAATCGGTTCCGTAACTGTACCACCACGAGATCTGGAAACTCCACCCGCGACTTCATGATGTTTTTCTTCATCCATCGCGGCCGCAAGCTCTGCCTTGCTTTCATCAATCTCCTTATCCATGGCGTCAATGGATCGCTTCAACTCGAATGTATCCTTAACTGCATTGTTGACCATGGTGACATTGCTGTTATTGATTGGTGCAGCTGTGCTAGCAGCAACAACGTTGCTGCTGAAAGAGGATGATGCTGAGGATACCGCAATCTGTTGCTGCTGCTGGACGATTTGACGTTCTTGTTTGGCCTTTTCCTGCTCGCGCTGAGCAATCATCAGCTTTAACCGCTCAATTTCGAGCTGTTTCGTCACCAAGTGGCTATTGTTGTTGTTGCCGCTGTTGTTGTTGTTGTTGTTGTTAGCCGGTCGTGGCGATCCGATATTGTAGTTTGGAGGCGAGTCGAACGGGCTGCCGGTAATATGGTTGTTGACAGACTTCATGAACGGAAACGGCCCATACAAATCCTCAATACTTTCGCTTCCATTGCTTCCATCTTCAGAAATACCACCTTTGCCACTGCTGCTATTGGCATCGCCATCGCTTCGAAGATCAATCAGGTACGGAAACCCATGATCAACAGCCAAGGGTCCGTCCATTAAAGGCATTAGGTCCATGTAATCTTCCTGTTGCTCCTGCTGCGAATAATACCAATCGCCTTGTGGCATTGGCTGCGTAGTGGTTTGCTCTATAGTCTGAGGCTGCTGCAGTTGCTGTGATGATTGACTTTGCTGTTGCTGAATGCCATAAGGTTCGCTTAATATCCACGGCGTCGTCGTCGGATCCGAGGCTGCTGGCTGCATCGATTCAGTAAACGGTTGTGGCGTCATGTGGTTTATTCGGGATGCAACCATCGGGGTACTCCTTCCCCCTGAAGCAGCGATTGCAAGCTCCTCGCTACTATCCGAAATGTCCATATCACTGACGTCTGATGTTTGTGACATGGTGCATGGATTTATTTGACAACCCTAAAATGTCCTTACAATTTTTCTGGGTTCAGGTTTGCTACGGTAAGGAGAAGAGAGCCGATATGATTGGCTGGAAAAAGACACCGATAGCTTGGACCATTTCTCACAAGCAATGTAGTAGTACAAGCGTTATAAACTTTCAAAAAACGCGAATAATATGAGCAATCTGATATGATAACGACACACGAACAGCATAAAAGAAAGCAAGTAGGGCAAAAGCTCGACTAAAAGTTACATAACTAGATTCTGTAGAAGAAAATCCTATCGAAATATGTTCTAGGAGTTATATAATACATCATGAGTAACCTGAAAACGAGATATCTAGTACGCTTATAAGCTAAGCATATGTTCAAAAGTACAATATAGAGTGAGAATATTCAATGCCACATAGTAATGGCACCCTTGATACCTTCACAGACACAAATCACATGGCCTTTACATATAGACCCAGCCAAAGTAAAAAGAAAGAAATGATATTTGCTACTGGCAAAAAATGAATAAGAATATATATACAAGTACACGCAACTATAAGATAAATGCAGTACGACTAGTAGTGGCAGCCTCGATTTTTGTTTTATCCATGCGTTCGCCACCGATTCCACCGAGTTCAAAATAAGCGTTTTGGAAACCATCCAAAACATCATCAAACTCTTCGACCACCATGTCTGGTTCACCGAACCTGGAAACGAAATTCATGCATGCCTTTCCACCTGGTGCGATATGGAAAGCCGGTGACAAATTTGTCTTTCTTCTGCTCTCAACATATCTTTTAATCTGCCTCCATGGCCGTTCATGAAAACCTTCCTCGAAACTACCTTCCATAAACCCGGCCTTGTCAGTGATCTTCATCAAGTTTGCATGCACAAACAATGGATGCGTTTCATCCTCGTCTGAGTACTGCAGCATGGTGTGACCACAGAATTGTTCCAGCTCCAACCCACCCATGCCTAGGAAAGTCTCTGTCATGTAATAAGGTACTCTAAGTGCCTATATAAGCTTTTAGTGTCAAACAATACAGTCTTTTTTAAATAACTCCTCGAACATGGCCATCTTTTTTCTACCTTCCATGCAAATTTGAAGGTATCCTTGTCACCGTTCAGGAACTGGAAATACAAATCGCTATGCTCCTGCATGTACCAAGCCAGTTGTAATGGCAACCAGGATCGGGCCTTGTCGAGTACCATTTGACCAGACTAGAAATGGTTTAGCGTGTCTTGGTTTATTAGCTTGATTGATGGTTTACAAACGACGACGAACCACGAGCCATAGTAATTATTAGTTCTCTATATACCTCCTGTTCCCATTCATCATTACAGGGCACATTCAAGATATCAAAAATCTTATTTTCTATATGCGTTTTCCTATATGTAGCTATGTTAATATGATGCTACATGTCCACGTTTCTTATGTTAAATAAGCTTACCAAAAGTCAGGCCAGAACATTGCACCTGTTGCTTTAAATGCACTCGTTTCGAATAGAAAAGAAGGGTCGCGCGTTGGTATATTATCAGAGTCCAGGTAGAGCACCTGCTCAAAATGAGCATTAATGACAGCAGCTGCTTTGATCTGAAATCTACACAAGGAACATCCTTTTCTTCAGTATATTACGGACCTTGACTACGCACGCATATGAACACGAGAAATAGGAGAAAAATCATGATAGATTAACTGTTTTTCTGCGTTGCGGCGGTGTTGCACGGGACGAGGTAAAGCTTGCCCGGACAAGTCGTGTGGTACAGCGCCTAGTTCATTTAAAGCCTGAACCGTTGCATTAGAAGGTGACTCGTCATGAAGATGCCATACTTCCACGGGAAGCGGACAGTCATAACGACGGAGCATCTTTACTGCTGTTAGTGCACGCTCGAATGTATCGCTGTTGCCTGCAACCAGTACGATGCCTCGTTTATGTTCATATTCGGGGTTTGCTGGCAGCTCGTTAAGCATAAAGTCTTTCCAGTTCTCTCGATACGCATCGATGGTGTCACTATCGAGACTGCGCCAGAAAGCCAGATGGGCCTGCGTATGATTGGGATCTACGTTATGATTCACTGCGTTTGGGTCGCACTGTTGTTGTTTTGTTTGATCACCATCAGCGCTAATATGTTCTTGTTGCTGCTGCTCATTTGATGGAGGAGCAGATTGTAGCTGTGGTTGTTCTTCGGTCCCCTGTGGCTGTGGACGAACAACAGGCGTCTGACTATCTTCGTCGTTGTTGCTGTGATGCAGCTCAAGGACGATGTCCTTGTCGTCCTCTTTGGAAAACATCATCGAGCTATGAAGAATGTAGAATATGAGAACATAGGTGAATAGAAGGGTGGCAGCAACGAATGTCCGTTTTCTTATAGCTCCCATGGGGAATATATGGAATGCGGAGTGCGTGTGTGAAGGAGGCGAAAGGGAGAAAAGAGTTGATCAACGAAAAGAAAAGGAAGGAAAGTATCAAATTTCTAAATGAAGCGAGAGACGAAGATCTCGACCCCAAAAGTGACGATGACATCCGACCATCACGAGAGGGATCGACGCAGTGTTTCACAAAAACAACGCCAATCGCCTTGGCACGCCAAAAAAAATAAAAAAGCCGTCAAATTGCCAAACTCCCTACTTGACGCTGCTTTCTGTATGGAACAAGGGTTTCTTCTTTATTGATTTGCCTTTTTATGATGATTTCGGTGCTGTTGCTGGCGGCTCCTCCATTTCCTTCCAGACCTTTTCCAGCTTTGCACGTTTAGCTGTAGCTTTGGCCTTATTTTGTGCACGAACAATAAGGAACTATATTGTGTGTGTGTATATAATTTAGCTCGAGATAAAAATTACAGCAAAAGGGGGACCTTGCACATACTGTACACCGACGTTATTTATTTTACCTCTTCTTTCAGGCACTCGTCCAGTTTAGCCTTGGTACTATTACATGCTCCCGAAAAACGGTTCAAAAGTCCAGCCCGATGGCATTCGTCTAGTGCTTGGATCGCATGAAGGCAGCCTTCATGTTTGTGTTCTGCTAATGGTGGATGCATTTTCAAATTTGTGTCAAGATCAAACGAAAAGGTTGTGTGTGTGTGTGTGTGTGTGTGTCTCTGTGGGCCTGGTCAATAGGTTTCACTCCCCGCCAGTCTGGATTTGGATGAGAAACAAAATGTGTCGGCTTAATTGTTCAACCGCTCTGTGTATCTTTTCATATTTAGTGTAAAAGTACGACTCAAAGTCCTGAAAGCTACAACTACCCACACCCACGTTCTTGAGCACATGGTGTCCATTTTGCTCGCCATATGTATTGAGGAATGTCGAAAGAGTCAACATGGAGAATAGGTGCAAAATATCACTTAATCTTAAAAAGTATGTTTGCCAGCCCAAGCAGGTTGAAACCGCTGCTCTCTGGATAAAAGCGATTCACACCTCATTAGAGTCAGGTTTATTTGGTGAATCGATTGACACGCTTGCTCTATAAACGATTCAGTTGCGGGAGCCCTAAAGGTACAGTATGATGTGATCAATTTATATGCGCAATAATTAGATGGTCCTTTAGTACTCTACCTGGTAATATCCAGTGTAATAGCCGCTATAATACCATGCCATAAGCAGATTGCTGAAATCTATCCACATAGACCCGTCAATGATGCTATTATTGTTATCTCTTTGCATTTGAAAGTTTATCATCATCTTACCTGTGTCTTCATGTTGCATTGGAAGCGGTGGCGGTGGCGGCGGATGTGACACAGTTGGCGCGGAATGGATCGAGTTAACAGTAGAAGCTGTAGTTGTAGCGTCGGTTGACACAGTGACATTATCCTTCGCCTTCTTGCTCTCCTTTTTAAACTTTTTTGGTTGGGGGTGCCTAGTCAACAAACTTTGTTAAGTTTCCTTTTCTAAAAGGTCGATTCTGCCGCTTGCTGACCTTTCTTTTCCCGCTTCTGTTCTTGCTGTTGCTGCTTTCTGGTTATTACGTGAAACGCTAAACGGAGGAAGTTCGTTGGTGATCCCTTGCGATGCCTATGATATCTTGCTTAATTATATAAAAAACAGTAGCTTGTTTAACAGAGAACTTACTCGGTACTCTTCCATGGCAGTTTCCCAATGCTCAATTAGCTCGCTATCGTCCCACACTTCTTCGTTCTGTAGAAATATTTTTATTTTAAGGCTGATCTGTTTCTACAACAATGTACGTAAATTGATTTAAGCTTACGTGCGAGCCACCAGACGTGTAAATGACATCGCCTACTTTGGGTTCCCAGCTCATTTCATTTGGAGTTGGAGGAAGAGAAAAAAATAAGAGCAAGAAAGCGGTGAAGAAAGAATTGATTTTTAATGCGCGTTACATAGCCACGGTAGTGGAGAGCATACCATATACGCGTATAGCAGCCCTTACATGTGTAAAAGCATTTCGTCTGACCCAAGCATATCCCTCAAGGAACGTGAATGTAATATATAAGAAAGTGTTGTTTTGGATCAGAACGTATCAATAGCAATAAGCAGCTGCTAATGATAGACGCTACCATAATTGCTGTGATAGTCGTTACTCCGGCAACCGTTGCCGTGGAATTTATGTTGCCTTCATCTTCACGGTTACACGCTTTCCTTGACACGTTATGGATTTCATTTGCTGATATCTGCTTTATCCTGAAAAAACGCTCTATGAGTACAGATCCATGTAGCATCTGCTGGTGTCCCCCGTCAAATATGTACACTTGTCCTGTCGTGACTTGATCCATTTTCTTGACCAAAGCGCAGTATTTTCAAACTCACTTGGGCCGAAGCGCTCAGCGATTTTTTTTATACGGCAGCAGCAGTAAGCCGTAGTAGTAGTTGTTTGATTCAACGCCAACTTCTTCTCCAATGTCCGTCGAAAAACGAAAGGAATCGCCGAGCCTTCCAGGTGGTGGAGGCTCATTAGTTAAACGCGCACGACCTGATTCCGAAGCCAAGGACAAGGAACTCATCCTGTCTAATGAACGATCCGGCACTAGCAATGCACTTGTTGGAACGGTAAAAAATCTCCCAAATTCACTTTTGTTGAACCTTACTGTTTTATGACGACGGCAATGTTGCAATCGAAATTGTTATGCAAACCAACGGACTCTCACCAGTCAACTCAACATTATTGTCACCGTTATTGCTTAGATCAAACGTACGTCGAGCCTTCAAGCACCCGTCATGCAACTTATTGGTCACGAGGTAAGAATAAAAAACAAGAACGAGATGACACATCTTATACTCTCTTTAAAAGATTAACAGATCGTGTATAATCTTAATGCTATTACAATCTTTAGGGTGAGATCTTTTCCAGTAAATTCGATCCTTCTGGTCAATATATAGCAAGTGCTTCGGGCGATCGATCAATATGTAATACTTTATAAATTTTCATTTTGGCTCTGTGAACGAAGAGAAAGAGAGACGTGTACGTTTAGAGAAACATTTTTTTCTGAAATATGATTTTACTTCATGTAGTATTGTGGGAGACGTACGGTGATTGTAAGAACTACGGTGTATTGCGAGGACACACGAACGCGGTTTTAGAATTACACTGGTCGCGTGATGGAAGGTTAGTTATATGGCAGCTTTATTACGACCTGAGAGGGGGAGAGAGAGAGAGGAGTGGGTAGAATTAGGATGAGATAATAGAAACTAAAGCTCGATATGTATTATATTTCAGCCAATTGTTCACTTGTTCAGCAGACAAGACTGTGAGCATTTGGGATGCCAATACAGGAGAACGTACGCGACGATGGAAAGGACATACTATGGTGGTCAACAGTTGCCAGGTTGCACGAAGAGGACCGGAAAACATAGTTTCTGGTAGTGATGATGGAACCATCAAGCTTTGGGATAGCCGAGCAAAGGATGCCACACAGACCTATCAAGACAAGTTCCAGGTTACCAGTGTATGCTTTAGCGATGCTGGCGATATGGTTTATTCAGGTGGATTGGATAATGAGATCAAGGTAAATAACAGGGATAATGCATCGCTTAATTTGCTGTCTCCCAACAAAACTGATAAAAAGAAAAACTAAAAGTTTGCTTGGTGGTTTATATTATATATAGGTTTGGGATATGAGAAACAAAGAAGTTGCATATACATTAAATGGACACATGGATACCATTTCTGGCATGGCATTAAGCCCAGACGGATCATCACTGCTATCAAACAGTATGGATAACACGGTACGAATTTGGGATGTCAAACCATTTGCACCTGCAGATCGTTGCACTCAAGTATTGCAAGGTGCTCCTCATGGTTATGAAAAGAACTTGATCACCCCTTGCTGGTCGACCGATGGAACCCAAGTTGCTTGTGGCTCAGCAGATCGAACCGTTGTTATTTGGGAAGCCAATTCGGGCAAGATTCTGTACAAGTTACCAGGCCACAAGGGTTGTGTTAATGATGTGGATTGGCATCCAAAGGAACCTATCGTCATGAGCGCTAGCACGGATAAGACTATGCTGCTTGGTGAAGTAAAGGAAACTCAATAATTGCTACATACATACACTCACATCCTTTTGTCACTTTCGCTTTTCTCCATTCCGCACGACACATTACACACGCACGCACACACACACACCTTCCTCTATATATATACACACAAATTCAAAAAACGTCCTTTTTTCTTCAAAATTACTTTTCTTTTGTTGCTTGAAAAAATATGCTTAATGTACAATGTCGTGGTGGTTGATTATTGCTATTTCACATTATTATTGTTGTTGTTGTGCTTCCCAATGACGCTTTATCATTTCTCTGCACTCCTCCTCTGTGCCTTCAGGATGCTCCAGTTGCCAAATCATAGTTTGCTGCAACAGAGGCGCCATTCCTGGACCAGGTCTGATACCAAGTACAGATGCTACTTTTTTACCCTGTATTATAGTCGCAATAAGCATCGAAACTCTCGGTCACTTTATCAAGAGACATCCCTCATACTAACTTTTATCAACCAATAATCCCCTGTTAACTTACATCCAGCATAGTTTTCCATTGGTAACATTTCGTAATACCATAGGTTTCTGCTTTTTCAAGTAGATTTTGATACTTTACACAAACGTCGCTCTCGGTTACTATAGAAAAGAAAGAGAGGCATTCTCAAGTATGAGATTACGTGATCACTTTTTGTTCTAGTTGAGATAGAATCAATCGCTATCTACCTTGGTTCAATTCAGGCTTTTCCCATGGGACTGCGCTGTGTGCTTCAAGAAGTTCTTTCACCAAAGACAATTTCAGTGCAACCTCCCACAGACTTCCCATTTCCCGGATAATCATGCCTAAACAGCGATTTTGAAGAGCAGACAGTCAGTGGGTCTTTGTTCAGCGATACCCCAAATTTATCAAATTGGGTTTTCATTATTACCGAGTTCGCTGCGAGAAATGTCATTCTGGTTAACTGCTTCTTGAAACATTGGAACACCTCGAAACAAGGTGGTAGATCCGTTCATATCATAATTTGAAAACTAGAGTTTACAATTTCTATTAATGATTTCCAATAGCGTGATTTGCTTTCTTTTCGTTTCTTTCCTTTTGTGAGAGAAAAAAGAAAAAAGTGAGTTGCATGTATACCTTGATAGAGTCTCTTAAGACTAGATGCACAGCAGGTGTGCTTCTTCTTTTAAATTCTGCTGATACGCCAAGGAAAGGCAATAGAGAACTGTTTAGATAGAGCAATCGCCGTTCATCTGCAGATTGCGGCCGTAACTTTTCCATCTTTTGATTTGATAGCCTACAAAATAAAGATACATCAATTATTTAGCTTAGCTCTTTCTCTCGTCCCACACTAGCTTTTCCCTTCGTAAAACCAACAAATAAAAGCTAAACCCTTTCTTCGGTTCTTTCTTATTTACCATTGTACTGCTCCGACTGCTCGAACAGCCAACGACGAGTCGCCAACTGTGCCAGAAATAATTGTAGTAGGTTGTGCAAACACCAAATTATACAGCCCCAGCTGATGAAGCATCTGAACTGCATATAAGGGTGAAGGACCCGTCATCATTTTCTCCAGCTCAATACCAATACGCTCACGGCTAATCTTACTATCCAATGCATCTCGGATCGTTTCGTTCTTGACAGATTCGACCAGCTCAGGTACCAGCTCAAAGTTGAATCTGCTGGCGAATCGAACGCACCGCAAAACACGGAGTGGATCATCTCTGAATGTTTCAAAAGGTTCAAGCGGCGTACGTACAAGTCCGTGCTGCAGATCGTAAAGACCCTTTTCCGTGAAATCCTCAACGCGTTTTGTGTTGACGTTGTAAAATAAGCTGTTGATGGTGATATCGCGTCGATGTGCATCGTCTGTTGGAGTTCCAAAGGCCTATGTATTTAGGAAATGGAATCAGTAACCCATACGTTGGAGTGTAACTTTTTTCAAGAGAACTCCCAATCGGCGATAACTTTACAATAGTTGATGGTATCCTGCTATTCTCCTCATAGACTTCGGTTCGCAGATTCGCAAAATCGACTTCTTGATCAAATAGTTTTGTTGTTGCCGTTTCGAGATGTTTGGACTTTGCTGGATTGCTGTCAATTTTTGCAATAGATCGGGTCGGGAAACCATTGATTTTAAGGTATTTATTGACGTATTGTGCAAACTCGTATCCCATCATATCGTTCACTGCAACGTCAAGGTCGTGGCAGTCTTTTCCGAGAAGCTTCTCGCCATTAAATGAGTATAATTTCAGAAAATAGTAATACAAGATAGATCCTGATAGCATATTTGAAAACGAGAGATACCTTACCTTGTCACGAACCCATCCACCCGCGATCCGAGATTCAATACGAGGTAGATCTGGACGTTCACGAGCAATGTATTCTGACACCTTTTCGAGCAGAATGCAAATTTGCGACTCTTTATCAGATAACAGTATTTGCATTTCAACGCCATTTTTTGCAACGCCATAGGTTTGCTCTGCGGCCTGTTTTTTGGTCGGTGGCATGGCGACGTGCAAGTCGCTCATGGAGTTTCGTCGTTTGTTTTTAGTTTTATTTCTGATCGCCAACACGGTCGTCGAATTGCTTAGTAGTTTACACTGTTGTGTTTGTAAATTTGTTGTGGATTGGATAGTATTTTTTGTAATGATTTGACGGAAAACGGTACCAAAAAGAAGCGATCGATGCATATATACACCTACAGTATCGCGTCGTATTTTGGGAGAAGAGAGTAGAAAAAAAGTGTACCGCGGAGTTGAGCACCTATTTTAAAAAGCCCACATTTTGCAGTAGCATACCTATTGCTCATGATGAATCAGAGAATTCATGCAATGTTATCAAAACCACAGCTATTTTAGGATAGTTTTAAAGCATCCGGGATGGTTATTGGTGCATAGTAGCAGGTACCAACCAGCATGTTGGAAGATAGCCACCAGAAGCTTACCACCGTTACAAGTAGATACCAAATGGGATACAACGACTCATCTTGTATGTAAGTCTCATGATGTTTATAGGGTGGAACAAGAACTGGGGATCAGATCCGCAGTAGCTGCGCTCTGCTGTGTAAGAAGGCCAAATTGTATACTCATGAAGGGAACGCACTGGAATCTCTTTTATTGTGTCCAAAACATATAGCTTTGATCAAAGAAGCATAGTCAAGGCAATGCATTGCGGTATGTGAAGAAGTATATAGTAAAGGTATGCTGTGCCGTTTGCTACTGACTCCTCTTTTAAAGCTCCGTAGATTTTACGTGAGTGAGTGAGTATGTATGTATGCTGCAAAGATACTTGGTCGGTAAGGAAATACATGTTAGATATTGAAATTATTAGATGGAAAGGTTTGGGTAAGTATTTTGAGTAGAGGGCAATAGGAAAGAAAATGAACAGACATTGAAGGAGTACAACAGGAGAATACAAAAAGATGCTGTGGTAGTGCGCTTTTACAACTGCTGATGGTGATTAGGAGGGCTGTAAGGACCCATCAGATACGTTGATGACATGACAGAGTTGTTACCGCCGAGTGTGGAAAACGAATCCATATCCAGTTGCCGCTGTTCATCTATGGCTGGAATCACATAGCGAGGAGGTGTACGGACTTGGCCTGTCATTGCGTTATAATGCATTTGATCCTGTTCAACTTCACGACTTCTGACTATTCCAAACATAGGCGGTGAGGAAGGTCGTGATAAATCGCCGCCGCCAGCAGTATAAAAGATGCCGTTGTTATTGGTGTGAGTACCGCTGTCTTTTAGCATATCCATCGACATGTCATTGAGCGAATATCGGGGCAATCCGTCGTTTTCTGCTGCTGCTGCTGCTGCGCCCCCAAATCCACCACTCATACTGCTAAATCCGCCATTGCTGGTCGTATGGTGTGTGTTACCAATACTGCCACGGCTAGTGGTTCCGGGGTACTTATCCCATTTGGACTGCGTCGTATCCATTGATGTAACGTTCCGTGCGCCGCTTGAGGTCAACGAATTCTGGGTTGGTTCAGACTGGGATCCGCTCATGTTGGAGACACCTAGTGAGGCGGTCATGCGAGGGTTGAGGATGAGTGCAAGCTCAACCAGTAACGTGGCTACGACACCGTCGTAAGTCCACACGGCGGAGATGGTTAAATTCAAAGCTGTGTTGCGTGTAACAGGGTCGCGGAATACACCGTACATGCACAAAATAAAAGCAAACACCCACAAGCAGACACAGCCTACTACCATGATGATTTTCACCTGCATGACAATGATGACACAAAGAGTAACAACCAAAAAGTCAGCCAACAACAGTTCTTGCTTACGTACGCACCGTCGCCCTTTCTATGGTCTTTCGATTTTTCCAACAATCATTATACATTATGGACTATGTACCCCCCGACTCTTTACCTTCAAGGTACCCGTCTTAATTTTAGCAATATTGACACGCAGATCATGCTGCATCCTTAAATGGTGGTTCAAAAGCCGCAAAAGACGGAGCCCAGCAAACAAAATCATAAAGCCCAGGGATCCACAGTAGATTGTCCAAAGATAATACAAGGCGTGGGTAAACTGGGCAGCATGCCAATCGTCGCCGCGTTCGGCATAAACACCGGCAGCAATAGAGCATATGTTGTTTGTGACATAGGGAAGACTGATGAAAATAGTGCCGAGTAAATCGATACGTACTGGCGAATGGAACCATGCACTGTAGATCGATTTGCTACTCTGCAATTTTTAAGAAATAATTGTGCATAAATGTGATTTTTTTAGAAACCGGTAAATTGCTGTTAATGCGCTGATCATTGCCCTTTATAGCCCCAGACAAAAGAAAGGTAAGTATAATCTTACATCTGCAACGGTATGGGCAATACCAAAGACATAGCACGAAAACGCACCCAGACCAAATTGCCATGGAATCTCATACAAAACTAATGACACGTAACAATCATACCATTGCAATGATTCGATAAGTACGGTTTGCAAAAGGAGAAGTAAATGTCGCGTGTATGTGCGCGCGCAAAGTTAAAAAAGGGGTGATTAGACTTACATGAGCGGAACACGGGGTTAGGTGCTGCGTCAGTGATAACGATGATGGCTTGTAACATCCGTACTGTCGAAAGGTGTAACGCAGACATTAATATATGGTTAGCGTGCTAAAAGCTGACAAGTTTTTCTCGTTGTTGATGGATAATAGAAAGCTTACGGAAGTTAAAGATGATGGCCATGAAAAGCATAGCTTCAATAGGCTTTGGCCGAATGAAACCAGTCGAAGTACGACAGTCGAATATCTGCTGCTTGCGATAGGTTATACGATAGTAGAGAAGACCAATTGCTGTATAGTAAATAGATAGATTTTGTGTGTATATGTGTGTGAATGATTCGCTGAGCATATTTGATGTTGCAATTATAGACTGTGGCGGTGACGATGTCGTTGTAGTTGCTGTTTATTACCGATGACAGTTACGATGCCAGACGCTACTGCGTTGATGATATAGATGATACGCATTGGTAGATCTTCATAGCAGTCCCCGAGCGTCAATCGCCAGTCGCAATGACAATTGCCCTCATCATCGCATATCCGCCAAAATGTCGACTGTGTACCCTCAGGATTAATCATCTCCGTGCCAGGTGCTTTTTATTGTATGAGATGGTATATTTAGAAAATGAGATATTAAGGAAAGAAAAAGTTCGAAAGAAAAGAAAAGAGAGTGGGAAAGATAGAAAGAGAGAGCGGAAGGAATAAAGAGCAAAAGGTTGGGACTTTAGCAACAGCGCACAGCAACGGAATTATCTCGCTCAGCAAACCACTCGTTTATTTTATTCAAAGTTTATTAATATTACTCTGCGGTACCACCGGTGATCATTAAAGGCTAAGTGCTTTGAAGTATGTGCACAATTCGAATTCAGATAAACAAAAAACGGCGTGCACGACAGTCAACTCGAACTTTCTTTCTATCTATTTTGCGCTTGAACCTCGTCGCCCCCACCGTTCCCTGGGAGTTTGCACGACATGACGCTGACGTGATTTAACGAAGTTTGGAATATCACCTGGCACCTTGTACCACGCTTTTTTAATTTAAAAAACGGTGTGTGTTTTTCCAAAGGCGACTATATGAATGATGAGACAGAGAGTAACAATGAAGAGAGGCACATATTATATCCGTTTTGTCATACAAAAGGAATAGCATCATCGTCATCGTGCAATAGCGTACATCTCGCACAAGGCAACATATTACTGTCTGTCGCGTGCTAATCCCAAATGATACATTATAAGTCAACAGCGCAAAAGAGAAACTGGGAGCGTGTGTCGTTTGACTTACTTGTTGGGATCTACTGCTTTCCCGGGCCCGCGGATTTTTTTTTCTTTTGGCGCGTTGCTTTGATCATCGTTGAGCAACAACAAATGTACGGATGAATAGAAAATCGCGTGTGCATTTGTAGCAAAAAAACCTTATATAATTCTAGTTGTAATACATGTGCCGCCTCGTCAGATCAAAATCTTCGGACGGTGTCTCTATTCCATGTAGATCAGCTCGGTATGATGGGCCCACGCGCTACGTCTTGGGAAATTTTGCCACCGAAAAATCACTTGCCTTTAAGAGAGTGTGTACTGTAACACAGCTTAAATATTTGACACACCTTGGGTAAAAGAAAGCAAAATGTGTGCCTTTGACACGTGAGCTTCTCCTCTACTATCAAAAAACCAGTTTTTCTTTTCATTATTTGTTATTCTTCTTGAATAGAGGTAAAAGCGTGCTGTTGAGTGTTGGATAACACACGAAATGTGGGGCGAACGGAGTTGCACAGACATCATCATTAAGCTGTATTCATACTTACGAAAAAGGGTGATTTTATCTACCGCCAACTTTGTTTTTTTTTCCTGTTCCGCAAAGTAGGTTAAACTTCTTTTGTATTATCCTTTTATACTGTCTCTGAGGGACGGGGGTAAAGTCAGTCAGCAAGATGTATTAATAAACAATGACTGTGCGTGTTGTTCCACAGTGTATACAAAAGTACGGGTGAAAAGGTCTCCATAAGTGAGGATAATTGCCTTTCTGCTAGGTGCGAGAAAGAGGAAATTTGTTTTATGTCAGGGCTAATAGCATGAATTGAAAAGATTTCTGTACACGAATCTAATATCATGGTGGAAAGGAACGACTTTTATTGTTGTAACAGTTATAATAGAGTTCTTCCTTTCCTTGAAAAACTTCAATGAACAGTTGTTTATGGATCTAGCGAGTAGTAATATCTCTTTGGTATTATTCTAATCTTATGGCTTTATGATTATAACTTAGCACGCGTTTATTATTATTAGCTGTATGGCATCTTCTTTGAAGCTACTCCACCTATTTTAAAGAAAACAAAACAGGATCGATTCACTAGTCCTTTTTTTGTCCTAGCACCTCTACTTTCACTTGTCCCGCAAGAATAGCCGGTGTCATGCCATCATGGTGTTTTTCCTTCACCGCTAAACGCGCCGAGTTGTTGCACAAAAAAAAGCGTGGCGTTTTCCTGCTTGTCTCTCTTTATCCATCGTACAGACAAAATTTATGTGAGAATTTCAACAACCTTCATGCAATGAATGCCGATGGCTCTTTATTAGATAGTCGAGAGGATCAATACTATTGCGCAAGCGCTGGCTGCCCGCCCTTGACTTGATTTCTTTAAAGCAGTTGCTTCTATTGTTTTACTTTCAGTCAACTAGGCTGTTACTCGCTTGAAACGTAAGCAGTTTTTTGTAAATGAGAATAGGACTCGGCAATAAAAAAATGTGAGATGATATTTTTGCTAAGCGCCCATACCGATTCTTTTATGGGTGAGTAATAGGAAATGTCACAAAATGGGTCAGAGACGTTATTTGTTGGGAACGCTGCTACAGAGTGAAAGAAAGGGTGTGACGACATGAAGTTGCTATATTTGATTATTGCCGAATGCCAAATAAGGTAGCAGTACTGTAGCACTATCTCACCGTGATACGGTCACACATAGAGCAGAAAAATGGATCATCCATTGCTATGCATTGTACATCAAAAAGTACTTGCATTACTAGTAAAGAAGAAGCCATCATCGCAAAAGTAATAAAGCTGAGAAAGACGCAGCAAATGATTCAATGTAGCATTGCAATTTTCTGGATTATTGTATACGCCCACGCCCATGCTCTTAGTATAGGTTTAAATCTTCCAGGAGCATTAAAGCTAACTGCTTTACATGGTAAGGAACGGACTTAACATTTGCAACAATGCAAAAGATGCAACATGTGCGTTTCTTTTGGCAAATCGGTATTATTGTTCGTCGCTATCATGTTTTTTCGGCGGGCCAAATATCTATATTGATAACCCTGCAGTTATGTATAATAGCACATACTGTATACTCATGTGAAAGTAATGGGCTTACAATGAGCGTCGTGTATAATTCAGAGAGGTAATGAGTTCTACTACTATCAACAATTACAAAGGGTACGACCATCTTTTGAACTACTTGTAATTAGAAATGAAGAAGAAAACAACACACCCAAAAATTTGGCTCATATATGCTGAACATCACAGATGATGGCTATTAAATAATTAATTCTGTCACCTTTTTCAGGATGTGGTTGTTGTTGTTGCTGCTGCTGTTGTCGCCACCACCATCGGTGTCGAGTCGGGGTTGTCATAAAGAGCCCAATCTGATATGTATGGGAAATAATCAAAATTTTGCTGTTGTGTGGCGGAAAGCATTGTTGCCACGGGTGTGAGTACTGGGAACTGAGATGTGAATTGTTGATCAAAGTTGGATGTATCTGCACGGCCTTTGATAGTGGGTAAAAACGGTGCTTTGACGCGCTTAGCTAACAGATTATCCCATTTCACTTGTCGAAAGAATGCATGTGCTCGGATTTCTACAGCGCCACGCGGACCTGTACCCAGACGACGTAAAGGATCTTTTTGCAACAACTAGAAAGAATTTACAGGAGGAGTATTATGAGTTAGAAAGACAAGTGAATAGAACAAACGTCGTATAGGAATAGATGGTAAAACAACACATTACCGCATGGCAAATATTTTGCGCATCTCGACTCATAAATGCAGGGCATTCCAACTCGTCGTTAATGATTGCTTCAAACAGCTCGCTTTCAGTATCTGCTTTGAAAGGCGCCTAATGTTGTGTATTCATATTCAAATTGATTAGCATATTATATATATACACACACACACTCTCTCTCTCTCTCCAACATTTCAATATGCTAGTACCTCGCCAACAATCATTTCGTACAATAGTACTCCAAGGGTCCACCAGTCAACGGCACGTGTGTATTTTGTATCCTTGAGAATTTCCGGTGCCATAAACTCGGGTGTTCCACAATAAGTAGTCGTAGTGTCATCGTCAGTTTTCATTCCGCCCTTACAAAGACCATAATCTGCTAATTTGATATGTCCATCCACCGCAAGCACAACATTGTCCAATTTAAGGTCACGATAGATGATTCCTTTACTGTGCAAATGCTCAAGTGCTAGCAAAACCTCGGCACAGTAGAATCTATTTTGCACAATGCGCAAGTTGGCTGACGCTTGCTTTATCATATGATATACGGAATAATAACAACAGCTATTTACCTTGATCGTGGCTCGGAGAAACGAGACCCTTGAATATGTAGCATAAGGTCGCCTCCAGGAACATATTCCATCACAAAGAATACTCTTGATGCTGTCATGAATGTAGAATGAAGGCCAACCAAAAATGGATGCTTTTCACGGTTCGCTCCGATAAAAACCTCTTTTTCGGCTATGATACTGTACGTCATAAAATACAAGAGTCAACATCTATGATAGGAGCAACTTCAGTCTGGCTACACATATCGCCCGTGGCCTAAGTCGTTACCTTTTAAGGTCATCATTTTCAATGATTGCCTTTTTCTGGAGCGCTTTAATTGCATAGAGTTCCCGGGTATATTTGTTCTCTGCAAGCATGACCTACATATACACATAATGATTGAGAAACCATCTACTAGTGGCTCTTGTCTGTGCACTAACTGTCCATCGTTTTCACGTGACAGATAAAACTTATCCGTATGTACCTTGCCAAAATTTCCACGGCCTAAAACGGCCAAGAAGTTGAAATCCTCTAGACTGGTTCGTTGATTCAATTGCATTGGAGTTGACTACATAAGATAATAAAGAAAAAGAGATAAGTGACTCAGCTGACTGTTACCGGTTTGGATCACCCAATCGAGCAACTTTTCGCTGATACCATTCGATAAATAGAAAATTGCGATGGTAGATGTTGCTGTATTGTTGGTGTGGTGGTTGTTACTGGACTCTGTGGCTCACTCCCAATTGCTGTATTCTCATCGTCATTGTTTTTGTCTTCATGCATCATTGCCTGTACTCCTTCTGCAAAGTTTCCTTGGCAATCTGCCATTTGCAGGCGAACAAATATGTTGTTCAGTTGGGAAGATCGCCGGCGATCATTGGTCGTTTTGTATTGCTTCCACATTTCGTACGCTTTATCCAACGTAATCCCGCAAAAGTCAGGAAGAAAGTCTTTACAGCTAGGATGACATACAATGCCACATTCTGAAATTGAACCAGTTATTTTTTAATGCGTTGATTAACTAAAAGAAAAATCTCTTGCAATAAAGAGCTGGAGAACGATGAAAGCCATACCTGTACACTTTTTAGCTCCACGGTAGCCCAAGGGTAAGATAAGTCCACAATGTGCGCACCAGTTCGTTCCGATCAGTGTGATGTTTTCCAACCGATGTGGAATATTGTACTTGAAATCATCAACGTCATTCCGCTACAGCACCCAGATTTTCATAAAGATACAAATCGTATTTTTGTAGTTAGCACTAGAAGGAAATTGTTTTGCATGATACATGTAAGAAAGAACAAGTTACCTGGTCAGGCACAGCAAGACATCTGGCAGCCATACGTGTGCAGCAGTCCTTGTGACATGCCATATGACACGCTTTTTTTATTGTGTGTTTTGCAGCACATTACGAAGCATGAAAAAAAAAGTTTGTAGGTTACCAAATTGAGGATGCGCATTGATCTAGGATGCAGCATGTATGCAGTCAACCCTACTAACCTGAACAGCGATATGTCATATACACCATGAAATCTCTGCATATAGCACAACGCATGACTTGGTAGAATCTTCCAGAGACGAACTCGTGTCCATTTTCACAACGAACTTGGCCTTCTCGCTCTTTAAACGCACCAGCTCTCCGAAGTTTATTGATTGGTCCAATCCGTTTGGCTTCCTTGCGTACTGTACTGAAGAACGTTAGCAAACAAACAAAACAGAAGCAACATGACTACTACTATCAGTAGAGCTATTTACAGAGTGGAGGTTGGATTCGGGAGGATGAAAACCAATGCATAAAACATTACCAAAATTTAAATGCAAGTGGAGTCGCCCAAAAGGCTCAACATTGAACCATTCTGAAAATCCTTCCGTAGTAGACACGATGCTCGATGCATCACTGCTTTCTTGTGAGCTGTCCGTTTCGCTATTGCTATTACTTTCTGTGCCATTGGTGGTTCCGTTACTATGTCTGTTTCCGTTGCCATGACTATCATTGCTCAATGATGACGATGGTGACTCGTGGTGCTTCTTTTTTAGTAGACGAAGGTCCTCTGCAATGTCAACCATTCGTAACCATAGCAATCCAATGGGTAGATTCCGATCGCCGGCCGCATCGTAGATGACGAGCTCGATTTCTGCGGCCTTGTTGACATCCATTTCAAACGTATCCATCCATGTGTCGTTACGCGACATTTTTGTTTTGTATTCACGCTGACCCGTGACCCTGACTGCAACGTATGTCTGGGTGATTGGAAATGTGTGTGCTGGTGCATGTGTCAACTCGCGGGCCTCCAGTACTTTTATCCGTAACTTTCCTGCTGCCGGAACAAGCGTGGTCGTTTTACCAACAGAAGGTCGCAGTTCTATAATACCGAAATAGTAAAGAGAGAGGCATTGGCTTCGCTTCTGTATGTTTAAAAGTTGTGTGTCCGGTTACCTGAACTCGTAGAATCCATGCCATCAATGTTGATATTCTTGTACTTTTGAATTGCTTTTTTCAGCAGCACAATTTTCTCCTGACAGTCGATTCGTTTCTTATGCGCATCTTTATGCCATCGCAAATCAGTATTTGCGGTTACCGTTGTCGAAACCCTTCGAGCGTCAGCTTGAGCCCTTTGCAGTAACCGCAACTTGTTCTCCAAATCGTGCAGCATCACCGTGATCCGATCACGATTGATAGGGTTATTAGCTTTTAGGAGATCTTTTTTTTCCCTCAAAAATCACAGTAAGTTCCTTTTGCTATATCGAGTCCCTCCTCTTCGGCAAATGAGAAGCCAATACACTGTTCTTTTCTTACCAAGACTCGTTCTTCTATCATTTCTCCTTTTGGTATCATCTGAGCGACTTGTTCTTGGTGTCCTACCGCCAGTCCAACTTGTCGTTATTGTCGGTAAAGATGGAACAGGTACAGACATACGTTTCACCAATGATCGGCCACTGCTACTACTACTGCTACAGCTAGCGCTGGTACATGATTCTGTTTCTGTTAAACCCGTGCTGGTGTTCTCCACAAGCTGTTGGAGTTCCTCGTGGAGATACGCCACGTATTTTTCAGACTCCTTGATTTGTGTCTCACACTGCTCCTTGGCCGTCTTGTCTTCAAGTAGTCGACCCATTTCGATCGCTTTGTCACGTATTTGTTCATTCCGTTCAATCTTGGCCTTAATGGATTCAATCTGGGCAAGCGGATTTGTCTAGAGATTAATGTGAGAAAAAAAAGAGAGAGACAGAGAGAGAGAAAAAAAAGGTTTTGCATAAATGGGTGCGTGGTCATTAGTTTTTGGCTATGTATGTGTGAGCGCGTGTACAAGTAAGTTAACCATGTGTGCCTGAAACCGAAAGGTTAAAATAAAATGTAAAAGGAACTCACGGCCATATCGGTTTATGTTTTTCTTTTTCTTTTTCTTAAGCTCAAACAGAATTATAAAAAAGAGGAACCTTTTATGTGGGATATGTGTCTTATATATGAGTGAAACGGAGAGGGGGGGTTGTTTGTTGTTGTTTGGGTTCATTGGGCTGTGCCACGGAGCTTTTTCGATCCATTTGCATTAGGGTGCGCTGTAAGCTGTAAGGGAATGTCGTTGTGCTTCTGCTGCTTTGTATAGCCATCGTATATATGCATAATATTGCCGCATAACATTCGATGATGCGTAACCATCTTGCTCTTATATGTATAGCCCCCTCTGATTATACTCACACTAACAGCATATATGCTACTGTTACTACCAACGTAGTATGTAATGCTCTTTATTTCGTACGTGTTAATGCAACAAGGATTACATGCGTAACAATACTGCTTCGGCAAGAGATAAGCGCCACTGACATGTTCGCCCTTTTCTTTCGCATGCACTCACGACAACCCATATGGTTTATTGAATTCGATCACCATGTGGCCGGTCATCATGGCCACTGCCAGCGACACTGATGCCCCTGAAAAACGTAGTCAAGGGGGCATTCATCACAATTCAAGACAGGAAGGAAGGACCAACGTTCATCAGATCATAGCTTCATGTCATGACTGTAAGAGAACCCAGTGTCGTTTTAATCAGCGATACAGTAGATGCTAGGAGAATTAAACAGTCTGCCATTATAAAAATGCGCGAAATTTATTGTCTTTAGGAGGAGGAATTGGTGGTGAAAGCATTTGTGGTAGAGGCGTGGCAAATAGCAATAACAAGAACGCTGCTATCAACCCTTATTTCCTGCATAATAGGTCTACCCATTAATGGAAAAAAAAACCTAACTAAACGAAATTCATGATCGTCTTTGGGGTAAGAACAAATTCGTCTAAAGAAGTGTTCGCCGTATGCTGCAGTAAGTTCATCGAATTTGTAATCCTCCCCGAGAAGTCGACCGTAAATCCTTCAAGTCTGTTGATGTACTGCTATATGAATGCTAATATGGATTGTTTGCGCTTATCTTGTGATGGAGCTAGGTGTTGGATGTAATTCTAGGGATATGTGCTTACGATTCACAATGCATCAACGTAAACCTTTTGAATTCGTTATATTTCCTTGCCAGTTATACGCCCTAAGTTATTTAAATAGCTTCCTGAATCGTTACTCATACGATGGGGGCTTGTATTGCTCGATGTAGACATCATATCCGTATAAAAAGATTAAAGTTGGTGTAGCTGGTTTAAAGGGCTGTTCCCTAATTGCACAGCAACTACAATGCACGCCAAAAACCAGCCAGCGCTCAGTGGTGTGACCACTTTTTTTTTAATCTTTTCGAAAGCAAATGGCGCTGTTGTTTTCAGGTTCCACTCTACCCTTACCGACTTACAAACCATGTCAACATCTTTCCGTCAAGGCCTGAGTAAGTTCCCGTGCTTGCTAAAATATACCTCAACAAACCTGCAGTACAAACACGACGCGCATACACAAACACACGATGGGTCACTCAAAAACACAATGAAACAACATGCATTAATATTGCCACTTTATATTTATAATAGACAAGGTCTACCTCCCCAACATTGTTTTCAAAATGGTTCGATCGCCCAACCTTCAACCCAACCAAGTTGCTTTCCGTGTCCCTCCGAGCTGCAACAAATTTGACATTCACTCTTATCTCACAAACATTTACGGCGTCAATATACAAGAAGTACGAACCATGAACTACGCAACAGTTCACAAAAAAGCGCGTACCGGTAAAATGGGGGTTGCTCAAGCAGCATACAAAAAGGCAATCGTGACCGTCGACGCACCATTCACTTGGCCAGCAGAACCAGAGTGGTGTGCATTGGAACGAGAACAGTTCAAGTTGGGATCAAAGAGCGCAGGTCGCAAGATGAAGGGTTGGCGATTCCGTGCACCAGAACAAGAACGGACGCGATTGAAGGAAATCAGTGAAGAGCTGCATGCTCGTATGGAGGCAGAGCAGAGTGGAAAGAAGTAAAAAAGAAAAAACACATACACTGATTGAAAAACGTGAAGCCCAATTTGTACAGTATTTCACATATATAAAAGTTCGATAGATTCTTTTTCTCTTTTTTTTCTTATCCTCTTGCGTTACACTTTAAATTCGAAACGGGTACTTTATATGTGGAAGATTATATCAAGCTTGTATATGGGATCTATCATCGCTGTAAATGCGCTTGGTTTATGCTGTGGGAAGGTCAAGAGGTCAAGGGGACCTTTTTTTGGGGTTGTTACCATCGTTTGTGCAGAGAGTCAAATATACGACTGTGCTTTTTCTTCCATGGATTTGCCGTTTCGGATCGCATATATAAACAGTGGACACAAGTACCATTGCATGTTACCATGTACACTTCATACGCTCTTACATTAGCTTGACAAATAGCCATCGTGCTGGATGATGTCGCTGCTATCACAAAAAACTTGAAAAGTTATCAATCATCTAATCGTAAACTTTGATGAGCTGCTACGTTGTCTGCAAGAGCACAGCGTTTGCAATGGTATATGGATTTTCTTTACACTCTCACCAGATCTTTTATGATATAAGTAAGCTGCAACAGTAGATATTTGCACGTGACATACTACTAAGAGTGATTGCTGTTAATTTCGAGGAGAGAATTAATGTTCAAAACTATGTTCACAATTGTATATGGAACCCATCTTGTAGCATAAAGACATCTACGCATCTACAAAGGATACAATGTTCATAGAATAAAGTGCACAGGGAGCAATAAAATATGGAAACAATACATATTCTTACGGAAGAAAATCACGCTTGTTGCATAAGAACTAAAACCATCGCAATATGCAGCACACACTATTTACTGCGAAAACACTTATCACTGTAACCCACGATGGATGACGATGCAACGTGAAAGCGTTAAACAAGATATCCCTCCTCTCTGGCCGTTCTTTACGTTCAAGGCAAGAAAGATGAAGAAACCCACCTTTTGCTGCCGGCAACAGCTGAAGCGCAGGATTTTTAACAGGATACATACGACGAGTTCTCGAACCGCGAGGATAACAGAATTTTTAGCAACGAGAAAACCATACAGTATCTAGTAATGCTTGACAAGCGACAACTGTGGTCGGATGCTCTCATACTATAGGTCACAACAGTTTCGCGTAAAAGGGTTCGCTTTCAATTTAGCAATTACGTGACCCATGCTGTTTTTAACTGGCAGTTGCTTATAGTGTCACGCCTCGCATTATTATAATACTTCTCTGATCATTACAAGTCAAAGGACTCTTATTCCATCAATCATGCATATCAGTATCAGCTTGATCCCATACTGTTGGAATACTGTGATGCCCTGTTTAACCCCAGCGCATCTTCAGTTGACCCTCTTTGGTGTGCAGTGGCTCTATATTAAGCAGCCGTGAATGATCTTATTGATATTTGTTGACGAGAATTTGTAACGTTTAGAGGAGTGGTTCCTGTCATCACACAATTGCTTATCGATGTATGCTTACCTTCTGTTTCATGTCCCGGCTCCTATTAGCCATGTCAGCGAGTTATCTTCTTAACCTGCTCAATCTACAAAAGTGCAAAATAACGAACAGGTCGCTCAAACATATCGCTCTTGAGTCGATCGCATCTATGGAGACTAACCAATGTCTCTATTGATTATTCCGGGAGAATTTTACAGCTTGTGTTCATTCTGAGCTCTGTTACCTTACATGCATGCTACATTAACGTATCCAAACTGAATTACCTAGCTGATAAACGAACACACGACTATGTAGTGTACCCCTTCTACTATTAGTGATTTACGTATCTTATAAAGAGAATCTAATATATAATTTTCTTATTATTTCTAGGAGTATGATACAATATGAGTTGAGCAACTTAGGTTTTAAGCACAAGTAGTAGAAAAAGGACGGATCAGAAAAAAACAAGAATAATTATCCAATTTGGTATTACAAAGCAAAAGAAAAAAAAAGTAGTGATTTAATGATGCATGAATGTCTTGTAAGATTTTCTTTATGTAAAATGTCAATTATGCAAAGTAGGAAAAGTGCAAAGAGGGTGTTTTTTTTTCTCCTTTCAGTCAACAAGGATATTTTCATTTTCTTGTAGAGTCGTGTAGCCATTACTGTAGATTACTTCTCCTTCTTGTCCCTTTTCTGTTCCCACTGATATTTGCGATGATGATGGTGATAATGATGCTGGCGAATGTGTTGCTTGCGAATGATTGTTGTTGCTATTATTATCGTGCGTAGTGGACGGTATGGGATGTGGTGGTGTTGGTGAAGGTGACAATGATAAAGATGCTACTGAGGATCGTCGTCGCCGTCGACCTGGATTGAGTCTACGACTTGATCGTACAGGCATTTGTGTGGCTCTTTGCGTTCCTTCCATCTCCTCACCACCGCTACTTTCTTCATCGTCGTCCTCGTCCATCCCCTCGTCCGCTTGAAATCCATCTGATACTGCTCCTTCGTCTTCAAACGCGTCGTCGAAATCATCATCGAATGTATATTTTACAGGTTTGACATTTTCTCGTGATCGTAATCGTCTTGGCGTCGCAAGCTCTTCTGCTACTGCTAATTGACGTTCTAATGCCCTTGCTTTTCGTTGACGTTTACGCTGTGCATTTTCGACGTACGGAATTACTTGCTCTATCAGATGCTGATACAGTGCTCTCTCGTGTCGTTTGTCTTTTGATAGATTCTCTGTAAACTGCTGTAGCTCTTCGAGGTCGCGACATACAGTCTCCCAGCGATATTTCGCTTTTAATGTTGGCTTTTCACGCCATAGCCAAGCCGCATCTACCATGTTTCATCGTATACGAGCTCAAAATTAATATGGTGTTGCTGTTGTTCTTGGCCTCTCCTGCTTTTTTTCCAACACGATAGATCAAAGCGGTACGTGATAGCAGCAGTGTGATGACCTAATCTATGCTGTCCATGCTTTACTGCTTATTACCTCCAAAATGCCAATATATTCGTTTTTCGCTGTCCGTTCCAATCGGCTGTAGTCGTAAGACGTCGCTTGATTTAAGAGCCGTGTCGAGTATAGAACGTATCAAAGTACTTTCTTGAAGTTGCCATTCCACCAACGATCGCAGTATTTTCAACTATTAGGAAGAATGGATAGAGTGGTTACTTGAATTTATTCATTGGCGCTTAAGAAGCTTACTAGCAAGGGATCAAAGCCACATTACACACAACATACATCATCCTATGAGACTTTCTTTCTCCTCTTCCTTCTATTACCTTGACAGCTGCAGGAAGCGCGCCAAATGACGAAACTTGACTCAAAGGGTTATGATCCAGATTAACTTCAAGAGCTTGTAGTTTTGTATTGATGAGCTTTGACAGTTCCTTGACATGATGCTTGCTCCTAAAAAAATAGTACGCATAAATAATATTATAATGACGACACTCACGCGCGTAATAAGCAAAAAAGAACTTTTACTCGAGGCGTTTTTTTCGATTCAAGACGTTGCTCAAGAAACTACCCAACAGATCGTCCAAGAGTTCACTCGATTCTAGATGTAATGCTTGTTCGAGATCCTAACGTTCCCCCCAGACGATCAAAAAGGGTGTTGTAATCAGTTTTGGTCACGTACGGATCCCAACTTTTTTTTTTGATCCAGGATAAACGATCCAATCTATATTGAGAGCAATCACAAGGAAAGTTGTATACCTCTGGTTGCAAATCAGGGAATGGATGAATGCCGTGGTTGGTATGTTTGCGAAAGTTGGATATGAAAGCATAGACGAATGCCAACTCCCAATCGGATTGTGGCGGCAGTGGCTCGACGATCGCCGTTGTTGACACGTCAGTCATGTTGGTTTTTCCACACACAGAGACACAGAGAGGGGAAGTGAAAAAGATAGAGAGCGAGAGAGCCAGGAAAATTTCAAGCAGGAAACAACGATAGCACGTTAAAAAATAAATGGGGTACTATGCGTGTCCAATGAAAAGACACACGAATGAACGCCAACGACGGACTGATTGAATCGAATACGCACCGTGTTGCGTTTTCCAATTTACAGCTATTCTTTTGTTTGAATAGTCGCAACATGTCATGAACTTTTTTTTTCTGCTGTGGTTTTGGAATCCTTCTTATACTCTCGGAAATGCTTTGAGATATTATTAAAAAGTGTCTGCAAGCAAACCGATAATATACAGTGTCAAATTGTTCAGGATGATACCATCCAGTACGTTGTTGTCCATTTCTTTGACCAGTTGATAGTAAGCGTATGTATAAATCTCGCTCAAGCCAACATTTACTGTATCACGTGGATTGTGCCGTACAGAATGTGAAAGCAGGAAGCAGGATTGTAGTAGACACACACATCATGCATAATAATAACAATTACGAACAAGTCATCCTTGGTTAGGTTAGTAAGCCATCAGCGGTGACGACGAACAGGTCTTGAGCGTTCAAGCTGATGAACAAAAAAACTGGATTATTGTATTCTGAGAAAAATTACCTGCATGAGCTCGTGATGCCATCAAGCTATGTGGAAAATAGGTGCGACCTATAATCGGGATGAGCCCGTATCACAACGAAGCAATGCCTGGAAATATAACACACACGGATTACAAGTTCCCCGTTCTCGGCTGTTGTTGTGGGGAACACTTTCGCCCTTGTTGTTGTCTCCCAGAAAACAACAGATCTGTTGATCTGTAACTAGATGATCTATAGAGTTGATATTTATTAATGCTGCTACCTTCCAACCTATGCAATTCGTCCATGACCACTAGAGCAGGTGCATAGCATAGCAGCAAAGTATGATACTGCGACTCCTCGACACTCTTTATATGCACATAAAAGGATGCATTTTACTTGCCTACTTTTTAAACGAACCTCTTCTGGGTGTCTTTTTTATCCTGCTGTATATGAAAAGACGTTTGAGAATGCGAATTTGCACGAGGCATTGTATCCAAAACTTTAAAAAACAATTAAGCGTATAACAGAAGCCTACATCCATCGTCTCCTCCTTTCCCATCATCATCAGCATCTCCATCACCAACCTTGTTCTACTACCATATCCTCATACTCCTACATGGACTCCTCAAATCACCAAAGAAAATCACGAGCCCAAACAAACAACAAAAATAAACCATTCGTCGTTTGGAGCAATGCAATGCATATAGAAGCACTATTCTTTTCTATACGTGTGTGTGTAGGTGTGTGTGTTTGGCGTTTCTGGTGTTTGAGTTTATTGTTCCCTTTTTATAAACTATCGATTCGTTGGAATGAGCGGCCACCCTTGGGTCGTTCATGCAACTTGGGATTGTTCTTTGCGAGCGTATCTAATTGGGATTTGGGATAGAATAACGATATAAATACGTTTGTCGTCCCGTTATAAGAGCATCCTAGAGGGATTGTGAGAAAGAAATACCGTTACCTCTGTCTAACTTTGCAAAATCCACTTCACAGTCATGTCGATCGGGATATCGATGTGAATCACAGAATACGTATTCACATCGGCATTTGTTGATCGTTTGCTTTGCGAGAGGAACCTATATTATTATTATTTCATGGGTCAATATATAAAATGAGCACGGCCAGCAATATATATATATACATTTACTATAGAACGATCATCTCTACCTTTACTCTGCATCGGAAGCATCGACCTTTATTGACTTGTTGAGGCCGTTCACTTGTAGCTGTGGGTGTAGAGGCTGCACTGCTGTCGGGAGACGCTGCTTGTGTGCTAGAAATAGGAGTAGTGGTAGAAGAGGAAGTATTCGATGACGATGCTTGTTGTTGTTGTTGCGACAATGGTGATGGGATTTGTAAGGATGAATCCCTCTCTTTGGCAATGGGTGAGGGTGATCGTGCATGTTTTCGTGAAACTCGCGGTTGGTCTTGTTGGTGAGAAACAGCACCATCTGTTGACGGTGTGCTATCCCTTGTAGCAGTTGTGGTGTTGTTGGATATACTAGAGGCTGGTTTCGAAGAAGCTTCTGATGACGATACGTTCGGTGAGGCAGATGAGGGTTTAGCATCGCCAGCTTTATACAGTCAATGCGTTAGTAAAAATAAATGCCGGTCTTTATCAATGAAAAAAGTAATATATATATACAAGTATACCTACATTTATTGCTTTCGGATTTCGCGGTCTCCTTGTAGCATTTTGAGCACATGTTGTTGTACATTTCGCTACCGTAGAAGCCACACCCCGCAGTACAAAGCGAGGGTATTTTTGAATCGTTATTGTCCATGCGGTGAAAGTAGTAAAAGAGAAAGGGAAAAGCTGGGTTAAAAGAAGTATCAAGCAGCCGATTGCCGGTTTTTCATCGTTTTCGCTCTGAGTTCGATTCTTACTAAAAATGCATCAACTTCCATGACCGCCTGTGCAGTACGCTATCCTATACATATCATGACAAACCATCCTCAGTATTTAACTCTTTGTCTCTTTTCATCCAGAGCCCAACAAAGAGTAAGTTTCATTATAAAAGAAAGTGCTCTTTTTATATGATTGGGAATGAGTAATGGCACGTACTTATTTCTTATTTTACCGAAATGGTTCGCTTATTTATAGCCTCACACACAATAGCTACCTTTTCGACTTTGTAGATTTACAGCAGCTATAAACAGATGCACTCATGCTATTGAGATATAGTAAGCAGCTCAAGTGCACAGTCCAGCAGCACCACGGCTGCTATTTACGTAAATCAGCAAAGGCAAACATCGGTGTAGTAAGCGCCTCATATTCATAATACGGTAGTCATGAAAACAAGAGTCAAAGATAGAGGCGTGACCATAACCGCTGGGTAGAATGACCTACGAATTTCTCTGTCAGCAGTGCAACCGAATGTATTAATAATTCAGCACAATTGTATAAGAGGAGGAAATGACCCAGGTGCATGTTTGTGTACTTTATCGCGCGCCGTCGTCATGACAGTTCAACAGGCTACTGCTCTTCTTTCTCTATGCTCAAGTGTTGGACTACAGACGATAGTTCAATCCTAAGCCATGGCAGCGAAAGGAGAAAAAGATTAGAACGATGCGGCGTGAGAAGTAGATGAAGAAAACGACAATAGCAAACTCCATCGTCATTTTATTGTCGAAGACAACAACAAGCAGTTCACCAACGTGGCAATAAACCCGTCATCTCTTGCTCTGTTCTTGGTACACTCGCCGACAAAGCTACTACCCGGAAGGAGGTAACCCCCCCCCCCTCCTCCCTTTTCTTCCCCGCACCCATATCCCATGCAGAGATAGGTATATAGCGAATACGCCATATCATTGCTTGTTGCTGCTATAGTAGCACAAAAATGCGATTTTCCTTATTTGGCTGTAATAAGATTGAATATCCACCACTTAAACCGCATGAACCAGGCCTTTCCTTTCCTTTTCCCTCTTTTTCATATTAACAACACACGATATACCGGAAAAAAAAAAGAAGGACAGAAAGAGTTCCACACATAAAAATGTCAGCCAACCCACAACCCCACATTGCATCGTCCAATGCTGCCAATTTAAATCACCAAGCTTCTCAAGAGAATCTCGTAGGAGATTATATAATTAGTTCAAAGATCGGCCAAGGTTCCTTTGCCACTGTCTACAAGGCGCAGCACAAGGCAAGCTACCCTTCTGCTCTTTTTGAACTGAATACATTTTATCCCTTTCCTCTTTTTTCTTCAATGTTTAAAAAAGCGGGGTGGGGGCCGTCAACAAATGTCAACATGGAGTTTTGAATCTTTGCAAAGTGTCTGAAAAGATGGTTTTTCTTAAAATTCAAACTGCTGCGTTGACATGACCACATTGCCCACCGACAGAGAAGAAAAGAAAGCAAAAGAGAGAGAGAGAGAGAGAGAGATAAAGTGCATATAAAAGTAAATATTAATATAAACACATGCCTCTACGTGTGTAAACAGACAACCAACAAGGTCGTAGCGATTAAATCAGTATTGCGGTCCAAACTGACAAAGAAACTATTGGAAAACCTGGAATCTGAAATATCAATCCTGAAAGGAATACGACATCCACATATCGTCGGGTTGATAGAATGCCAGGTGCGTCACATATATATACACCTCAAACAACTGTAGCAGATAGAATGCATCTGTGTAACTGATGTCATGCCTGATTATTGAATCATGTAGAAAACCGATACGCACATTTACCTCGTGATGGAATATTGCTCCATGGGCGATCTATCGCAATATATCAAACAGAAACGAACAAGCAAAAGCGCTCGAAGGTCGTCAGGAGGTCTATCTGAGCGGCTTGCCCGTCATTTCTTAAAACAGCTAGGTATATGAAAGGGAAAAAAAAATTCAAATCAAAATGATATATCATTTTATTCGTATAGGAAAGGCGATAAGGTCTAATCTTACAACTCTGCTCTTTCATGTGTAGCGGACGCACTACAGTTTCTCCGCTCCCGAAATCTGGTCCATCGAGATATCAAGCCTCAAGTATGTAAACATATTCTTAAGAGAGGATTAGGGCTTTTAGAAGGATGGGGATGTAAAAGTGGAAAGGAACATGACATGAAAGTGACCAACTCTATCCGTCTTGAATGTAATATAAACAAACACTTCCACTACGACGACGACGACGACGACAAAACAACAGAACTTGCTACTGATACCTGGAAACGAAGAAGATCCTGATTCCAATATGCCGTTGCTCAAAGTGGCTGATTTTGGCTTTGCACGGTTCTTACCGAACGCTACACTCGCCGACACGCTCTGTGGATCACCCTTGTATATGGGCCCTGAAATCCTATCTTACCAAAAGTACGACGCAAAGGCGGACCTGTGGAGTGTCGGAGCCGTCCTGTATGAAATGGTCACCGGGCGACCGCCATTTCGAGCACAGAATCACCTGGAATTACTAAAAAAGATTCAAGAAAATAAGGACCACATTCGTTTCCCTGACGAAAAACCATCAATGAATGATCAGCAGCAGCAGCAGCAGTACCCATCATCCTATTCAGCAACGACGACAACAAGCGATACGATCGGCATTGGCAATGATTTGAAGGATTTGATACGCAAATTGTTGAAAAAAGATCCCGTCGAACGTATCACATTTGACAAGTTTTTCATGCATCAAGCTGTCACCAGCAATTTCACATCTGTCTCGCCTTCCCCGTCAGTCTCCACAAGCAGTGCACGAGTTCGACGATCACCTGAAATACGGCCATCATCCATGCCAGCGACAGCCACTAACACTACCATGAGTAATAACCATCACATCCCTCATCATCATCGTCCACCGTCACCAAGCTCATCACCGTATGAGCCCCCTCCGTTTGCTCAACAATCACCGACAACAGCAACGGCAGGGACAACACCTCGACATCATTTTGACTGGAGAAGAGCGCAACAGCAGCAGCAACATCAACAACAAACGGAACACATTAGTCCTGGCAGGATGTCACCCGGTGCACGAGATATCAGTGGCAGGTAATTGAAATGGAAAAAAAAACAAACCCCCCCCCACTTTTGTGTGTTTTGATTGACATGTCATTGTGCATAGGACAACTCGAGGGGATGAATCTCCGCTGCATTCACGTGGCAGATCATGGAGAAATCAACAACAGCAAAACGATCAAAATCGACCACCGTGGATGGATGTGCAAGATAATACGAGCAACGTTGAGGATGAGTTGAAAGATTATGTGGTACTGGATCGACGGGCTGTTGAAACCAATCATTTCGCAGATGGTAAGAGCACTACCACTTTAGCTCGTCTTCTTTTATTTAGCTCTATACATGCTGATTTCAATTTTAGAAATCAATGCATCACCACGCACGTCAGAACCATATAACCAGCTGACGTATCGATATTCGCCAGCGACACAGGTAGCCATACCACAACGAGGCTCTCATGAACAACAACAGCAACTACCATCACCATCGTCCACTGGATCCACACCACCCTTTGCCATTACGCCCCGTGAACGAAAAATCAGTGCTGGATCGGCCGGCTCAGCATTAGCGAAAGCTTTATCCATGGCATCCGTTCGATTATTTGGACCGGGTAATTCGCCACCCAAGATGAGCGGCCGACTACAACAACAGCAACAACAACAACAACAAGCTATTCCAGGCTCACCGCGGGGCTTTTTGATTACGGAAGGAGGCGGGTATGTCGATCCACAAGAAGGACGTGCGATGAAAGATATTGAACGAGCAGCATGTATGGCACATGCTGTTGCACGGTTTGCCGACTCCAAATATGACCAGCTGGTTTCGGGCAAAGTTACAGCCACTGGCAACGAAGTAGCTTTGGCAGAAGAAGCAATGGTGTTGCACATTAAAGCACTGTCACTTCTTGAATTGGGCTTATCTACAGCAAGGCAATTGTGGGGTCGCATGTCAGACGACACGATGCGAACGTCGGTGTCTACGCGGCTCAATGATGCAGTGCAATGGATGCGGGAACGGTTCAACGAATGTTTGGATCGAGCGTCTTTTGAAGGCACGAAATGTGATGGCGATAGCAATAACCAGAATGGCATTGGTGCGTGCGTTGCAAAACTATTATATGATCGTGCTCTTGAAATGGTAATGGCTATTGCTTGCTGGCTGAATGGGCGACGGGTGGGTTTCTTTATGTCGTTATGCTAATGTGTAATCCTTTATAGAGTCGAGCAGCTGCAGTGTATGAGTTAGTCGGTGAAAACATTCCTGGATGTGAGCACGATTATCAAACGGCCATTTGGATGTTGGAGGCCATTCTAGAAGCACAAGATGATGATACCCCAATCGAAGAAGACGACTTTAATATCATTAACAAATGTAAGCACATGCATGTGTTTGGGGAAAGGCAGAACACACAAAAATGCTAATGGAGCGAATTTACCTATAAAAAGTCATTGGTTCCATTCGACACCGAATATCAGTATTACGAAAGAAAAAGGAACTCGATGCCAGAAGGGATTCGGATCTTGTGTCGCATCATCACCAACAGCAACAACGATACGATGAACAAAGGACTTATTAAGATGCCATGTTGATAGTGACTTATTCCCTCTGCCTACATGTGTGATTCCCTTTTTCCTTCTCGGTCGGTCCCTCATTTTTTTTTTTTCATCTTGCTTTGTTCTTTTCCAGTATGGATGACACGATGGACTGAAATGTTGATATTTTTTTTGTTCTCACTTTCTAATAAAGTGGCGATGTACCACACACATCGCGCATATATATACCATAATCAACATCTTCTTGTGTGCACTGTTGGTGCCATACTTTAAAGATGTTACAGTATCTCAAGCATAGACAGCGTTAGCGATAGTTTTGATATCGCCTGTGGCCACGCGTCATTGTTGGAAAGTAGTATCTCGATTTTGCTCCTCTTCCTATTCGGATTTTAACGAGCTTTATTCTGTTAGCGAGCGAAGAAGCAAGGAGGCTACCAGAAATGCGATTTTGTACAGATGTTATTTACAAACATTGACATTCTTCTTTACTGAGTTTACGGCATCTACACATGCATTCAAATGTAACCTGACTGTTGGTGGAAGCCGTAGTATTGAGTGTGCCACCACAAACGTTACAGTATAAGACTTTAATCGGGCAAGAGGATCAACGCTGCTGTTATTGTCGACTAAGTCATACACTGGGCATTGAATGCATTGTAAGGCACAGAAGAATTAAACCAAATGAGCTGTGCTTTATGCACATGGCTCCAAAAATGCAAGCTTGATGACTTAGAAGTTACTTCTTCAGCACAGGTACACCCCGACAAAACGCGTACACAACAGCCTTTTGACACAAAGATTATATATTTATTGAAACAATGTAAAGAAGGGATGGGGATGAGACTATATACGCGAAAAGAAAAGAAAAGGAAAAGAAAGGGGAGAGAAGAACGTTTAAGCGTCAAGGTTCTTGTTCTTTTCTTCTTCCGGATCGACCTCTTCGAACTGCTCCTCGTCGTTATGAGCAGCGAGGTCCTCGTCGATCTCCCTTGCCAACTCGCTCATCTCCTCGGCAAAGCGACGCTCTTGTTGCCGTTGCTGCTGTGGTTGCGGTTGTTGCTGCTGCTGCTGTTGCGCTTGGTTTTGGCCTCTACAACCACTTTAGTCACTTTTCCTGCACGATTAGCACTTATCTTTGTGGTAATCGTGTCAAAGATTTCCTTTGCGCTGTAGATTTTTGTGGTGATTTTCATTTTAAAGAGAAAGTGTGTGTGTGTGTGTGTGTTGAGTGTGTGTGTGTGTGTGTGCTTGGAGTGTGTGTGTGTGTGTGTGTGTGTGTGTGTGTGTGTGTGTGTGTTTGTGAGGAGAGAGAGAGAAGAGAGAGAAGAGAGAGAGATGAGTGAGGCAGCAAAACTTACGTCTAGTCAATGCTTTTTATCTTTTTTTTTTTGAATAAGAAACTCCGGTACTGGTTCCCAAAAAAGGAAATAAATGAGAGTTGACAATTTCCAGCGTCACACAAGCACACTGGACACGTCGAACACTGGGTCGGCCATCTCCCCAGGAATGGCGACCAACCTGACATTCCCCTTTGCATTGTGCACACTCCTGGCTACACGTACACACTAGTCTTGTCCTTCTACGTGGCTCTCATGAAGTTTCTCGACTTGTTCAAGTATGATTGACGCGTTTTTCTTCTACTCGACACTGGAGTTACACAATGTTCACACAAGAAACGCGCATGAAAGCATATCGGACCAGTCAGAAGATGGCTGCTGTTGTACCTGGAGCTGCGACTACTGACTACGCGTAGCTCATTCATATGGGCGAGCAGCCGGGGAGAGAAAAAAACCCGTAACGCGGTGAAATTTCATTGATCAGATCATCCTTAGGAGACACTTTTTTTTGGGGATCTGCTTCGGCGACCTTTGAAGGGAATCTACAGTTGGGACAGTACACACAGACAGTAGTACACATTAGGGTATTGGTACTTCTTGGCGCATCCTACAGATTGTTGGCATACTCACTTGTTTTACTTATTCAGTTATCTGCGTTGAAATCAGGTTCTCCTTTTGGGTGACGAACTGGATGCATGCTTATCGTCTCGAACGATGTTGTGCACAAAAGGTCTCTGCTCAAATGAGCTTCACTGGCCAATGAGAAGACAATAAATTATGCATGCTATTTGTAAGGTTTATCCCTCTACGCACAGACAAGACATGCCTCGGCCCCAACAACTATTCTGCATTATATTATGCAGCAGATTTTGCCGTAACTCTGTTTAACTTTATTAGTAAAGAAAAAAACTTATAGTAAAGGGGGCAGAAAAGTCTAACTGACCAGAAAGGAAGAGAGGTGGGACTTGGGCCGACAAACAAGGGGAGCAGCAGAGTTCTCTTCAACGCTGTCAGCGGTGAGAAGGTGGTCGCGTCCTCCCTCATACGCGTTAAAAGCGCGGTAGAGCTGACGCAGCACGATGGAGCCGCTATCGTCCTGTTGAGCTGTTGCCGTTCGGCCTGCTGCTGCTGTTGCTGCTGTTGCTGCGGTGGTCATGCTTTATTCGCTACAGTCCCCTTTTATAATATGTCCGCTCTTAGGGTGTCAATAACAAAATATCAACGTCTTGACGTGCGACAAAAGAAGCACGACAGTCATATAGAAATATAATAAACTAATGATTTCCTTACTGTTTAGCTGTTCTCCTTGATGCGAGACGTCAAGACGATATTTAAAGGCTCGGCTATCATTGTCATTCTTTGCCGAAGCACTGCCTTGGACAAGGTCAACCTGGGGTCTCATCAATAAAATGAGCAAGGCGTTTCACAGCATCGCTCGCGTGCAGTGCTGTATAAAGAGTTGCAACCAGTAAGAAGTCCTGGTCCTTAAACAGCCCATTATGGTTGAAAATATATTTCATTTTTTGTAAGCCTGACAACAAAACCAAGTCGTCTTTTTTAAACGTTCCATAGAAATACAAATCAACTACGTAGCTGATCGCGTCATGACACAGAATACATTCTGCTGTGGTTAGTACTATGGCTTATTGGCAAACACATTAAAAGCACAGGTAGCACCCAGCAGTATGTTTCAAGCACTGTGAGGCAGTGATTAACTGCACACCTGCAGAAGACGCTCTGATATGCTCATTCTTTCCAATAGACTATGGCAGCGTCAGACTCCGTCAAATCGTCAACCATGCGAACAGCCCTCCGACGACTGCGCACAGCCTTTCTATCTCTTACACTCCATCCAACCACTTGACACCAGCTGTAGTTCAAGATGTTCAGTACGTAGTTCCCAAAAACCATCTTCTTCTCGTGAGTCTTTTCCTTATGACTTCTTTTTTGTTTATTTACTCTCTTATTTCGCGTCATTCTATGTTTAATAATAGAAGAAAAGCAAGGCACTCACAGTAAGTACTTCACACTTTGTTAAAGGTCTCGACTTTCATGATGCTTATTTGCTCTTACTTTTTCTCTGGAAGGCTCACAGACTGCACAGCAACAATATGAACCGGCTCCTGGTCTTAACTCTTTTCAACTGGCTTACTGGTTATTCCATTGTCATTACTTTTTCCGTACGGCAGATTGTTAAGAGAGGCAGTTTTTCAAGAACGTAAGTCCTCGGATTTCGTACTCTTGAGCCTTAGAGCTCGGATCAGACTTTCTTGATCGTCCGGTTTTGACTGACGGGATGTCGCCGCTTGGCCGTGCGATCTTGCAAGTTTTGGTTCTTGGAAGCTCCCTACTGCTTTGGAATTGAACCAATGAGGGACACCCCAAGAGGCTTTACTTTGAGTGAGCTATAGGGTGGGATCTTTGTCTGGAGTCGAGCGTGTGGACGTGTACCATCGTTCGATGCTTGCACGTACACACGATCAACTGTTTTCTCTCTCTCTCTCTTTATCGATATCTCGGTGATCGTCCCTTGAGTGCGCATCTGTTGGCGTGTGGTACGTATGTTGGGTTTCGAAAAGGGAGAGAGGGTGGAAACGACTGTGTGTGTGTACTGGTGCTGCTGAAGAGCGAGTGAGGGGATGATTGTTTCTTCTCTTTCTTCTGTATGTGTGATAGGTTCTGTTGCCCAGGCTAAAGTGAAGGGTCTCCCAGCAATGGGAGGTAGGGCAGGGGCCGCGATCTATTCTTTTAAATGAATGGTAAGTGAATGACTTCATTCATTGTTATATACTCCAAGTACAGCCTTCTGATTATGCCTGCCCTTCTCTGTTCTTAGGGTCGCGTTATCTTCCAATGCTTCCGTGTGTATGACGATAATCTTTTTCTCTACCCAGGAGCACAGAGCCATTTTTGGAGAAGACTGACGCAGTGCGGTAGTCTATAAAAAGTATACCGATATCGTTTATGTCAATCGCTAGCCAAGAGCACTGCAATATTTATGGCATTGAGGTTTCACTCCTGCTGGAATTTCTCTACTGTACTACGTGTAATTACTATAATAAAGTTGTCTAAGGTTCTACATCGTATAATGCTGTCTTCTCTTTGGTTTTCTCGATCGTCGAAGTCTACAATTTATCCTGGGCGCCAAAACAAGGTGGCCTGCTGTTAAAGTACACCAACATCACCGCACTAAAGAGCTAGCACGTTTCTTCGCGATGTAAGACATTTGTTCTTCTTGAAATGCGGTTACAATACTAGGCATAATTGGGTGAAATGTACATTATGTACCTAAACAATATCTTTGACAAGTTACTATTATCACATCAAACCTCATATCCATAAACTTTTTATTTATGAATGATACGTTTGCTCAATAAGTTATTTTCACAGTGGTAAGCAATCTTGTTGCATAAAACTTTTTTTACGTAGTAGGTACAAGCCTAATTCACCATAATTGCCTGTCATATATAGAGGGAAAAAGCACAGCGAAATCAACTTATAGATGCGAGCTATGAGCAGCGACCAAGGAAATACATATGGTGAAAAGCCGCCATAGCTCATTTCTTGGATAACACATCCTAATAGCTAAAAATCGACTATGGGCTGCGGTTATCTAGTAAAACTGGATATATTACTTGTGATTTCTTTTATTGTATACCACTACATAGTTTGTGCTTAACGCAACCAGTCATTTGCGTTGACTCGGTTCAATATAGCTCTGTTGAGTTAATATCGGAATACATCATGTTGAAGTGCAGGTTTAAAATTGAGCCACAAGCAGATAATTTCAATCGCGGGCTCAGAACAGTTAATTATATAGCAGTGCTCACTCACTAAGTAGCTTATCACAAAGCCGATGATTTTTTGAGTCAATAATCAATGTTTTTTAGAGTTGTGTATTGACCACTTTGCTGCAGCTGGGCAGTAGGAAGGTGTACATTTCACTGCTTTGAGTCGTTTGACAGAATCTCTAGTAGAATAAGTATCAAATTACAGACTGCTCGTAATTGTCTATCAGTGTAAGCCCTTCACACAACATTATTATAAGCCATAGAATATCAATATCATGTTATAGAAACATTAACTCCATGGTCCCTTAGTGCCATCGGAAAGAGAAAGACTACATATTTTATAATGTTAGGATCCTCACGAGAGCTAAGTAAAAGAGACAACATGTTATAGACTACATAACGATCGTTTGAAAGATCCTTTCGAGCATGGAACACGCTCCGTTATCCAAGTAATCGAAAACGTCGTCGACGACTACAGGAATCGTATCCCGACCGCTTTCTTCTCCAATCATCCGGAAGAGTCGTAGATTCAAAGTGTCCAAGAGGGTGGCCGGCGTAATGTTCCATGCGGCTGGTACTTCAGGAACAAGTCGATGCAATTTGTTGTTGTAATTGCGAATAGAAAACCAACTTCTATTCGCGACCAACATCAAAGCTGCACATACCATTTGTTGATGGTCAGGCATCTCCAGGTTCATGAGACCAATCCATATTCGAAGGGGGTTCATCTGTTCGCTGCGGTGTTCTGAGATTCTAAGTACGGGATAAAAGCGACGGACTTCTACGGCAGTCAAAGGATCATAAACGGTGATCAAATCCACTTCGGTAGCAGTCCCTCCTTGCCAAGCGGGAATCTGTCTTGGAGCATACTTGACGACCTGCTCAACATATCCTTGCTCGTACTTGGATTGCAAGATTGTTTCGACTTTCCCTTTGATAGCCTTAATACTCGCTTCGTCGCCAAAGAAAGGTTCGTAGGGTTGGTCGTGCAATTTCACAGTTTGGACGATCTGACCAGCTTCGATCGCATCGTCTGTATTCGCTTTTTGAATTAGATATCGTTCAGTGACGGCGTGTCGAAAATCAAGATCGTAAAGGCCTCGGAATGATGGATGATCCATCCAGACTCGGGCCAAGTAAAAAGAAAATTTGTGGATGTTGTAAACTTTATCCTTGATGCGCACGATGTATTCATCAAATTCACATTCTCCATTATTGTCAATTGCCGAGGCCAAAGATGATGGAAACGCCACGAATTCGGAACGGCAAAGATTATGAAACATGGCAATCTTGTGCATCTCACCATCGGGTGTGGCGAGAGCGAGCTCTCTGATCAAAGTCATCAACATCGCCAATCGTGCGTCCAACTTTACTCGTTCAAGAGCCTCTCTGTTCATGTGTTGGGTGTAAGACCAATTCTCGATCATGTCTGCGTAAATATCATTCATCCGATCCAGAGCATCCCAATCCAATTCGACTTTTGCGTTGGTTGTCGCGACGTTCGTGAATCTGGAAAACGCTTGTTCAATCAACATTCTGGGTGTGTTTGGATTGAAGTGCCTTCTTGCTGTCATCTTGTTTCTCTGGTTTCGTTTGTTCTTTTTGTCCATTTTTTCCGGTAGATTCCGAATCCTCGTTTATTTGACTAGTGGAAGCTTATAGTTCAACAGAGCTTTTTTTAGATAAAGAGGAAAGGTAGGCCCATTGAAGTTGTGGGCTTTTTAGAGATGGATGCGGTAGTTAAGCATGTAGTATTTTGTTTGTATATGTAAGCTTACTATATTAGTGCAAAAAGTTCCCAGTATATACATAAAATTTAAGAAGAGAACTTCATATTGTTTACTCAACTTCTACATCGGAAGAAGCATTCCGAGTATATGCATACACTACAAAGAGAACTCTTATATTATTTTCCTTTCACATACACCAGCAGCATCATTTCTAGTGCTTAAAAAAAGTGACGGGTCTCGCAGTATACCGCTGTTTTGCATCTTCATAATTCCCACACAACCCTTGCTTCAAAAAATCGCATGTACTTTTTGTACTGCTCTCTTACATACATGTGCAAAGTGCCCAAAAATGCCGCTCTTGAATTTGATGTCACGTCGAAACCAATTGGATCCACTTTTATATATACAAACATTCTCATAGCGTATCACAAGGCAGTACATGTTTTAGGATGCTGATCGAAGAATACATTTGATTTTTACAGTATATTACCATTGCGATTGAGATGAGGTTCATTAAAATAAAATACGGTAATAAAGTAGCACAATAGACTGTGTGGGGGAGCAATCATCGATCTCAGCTTATGCTCTTCCTTGTATACTTGGACTTCTTCCGTACATTATTTCTTACACTTCCTTTTCTTATGTATGACCTGTTACTTCTCAGTATGATCATGGCTATTGTACAGGCCACTACTTTCTACAACGCTTTAATATCCAGTGCTGATGTAATGTCAAGTGGATCACAAGTTCGTCATGTCTTCACAACCTCAAGGTGTAAGATGGTAGGTAAAATCAAACTACAGCAAGTTGGATCAAGTGTCGGTCAGTGGAATCGACGTGCTACTTGCATAATCTGTGACAATCTTTGGATCGGATTTTGTGGTGTGCGTGTGATGGGAACTTTTTAAAGTTCTTTTCTTCGGTTCACTGGATTCTCTATTTCTTTCTCATTCTTCTTCTTCCTACGTATCTCTAATATGGTTAACAGATACAACAGCCAGTTTCATATATACCGAGTTTTATTAAGGGCTTGTTTGAAGGTGATCCTCTTGGCTCCTATTCTTTGCTTTTAAATTACCTACTGTGATCCATCTTGCTAATATAAATGCATGCACAGTTCATACTTTATGCCTTTTCAAGCTGCCGTTGTTGCCAAATGTAGCATACTAGGTAGAAGAGTGCATGTTTATCCGTTTTGTTATTTTATCTACTGTGTTCCATTTATCTAAGGTCCTGACTAACTACAATGCACCATCCCTTGCATCGGTACAATACGTACATCATGAACTTATTCGTGTCTTCCTAATGTTTCCTAACGTGTTTATTCTTGTAGAAGTTAATCGATGTCCCGGTCCTCTGGATACAACAGGTATATATATATCTTTTGTTAGTGCTCTTTTCCTATGACATATGACGAGCTTCAGTGCCTCCGCACTATTGGTATGTATCAAACTGTTCCTTTCGTGGTCGGTCTTTTACACCTTCATCTTATGAATGATGCATTCTTAATTGCTCTACTAACAATCTTTTAATGTGTCTTTTAGGTATACGATCTTCATAATCGTCTACGCACATCTCCTTCCGCGCTGCTTTTGCCGTCAATTACCAATTAACTCAACATGCATCTTCTTCCCATAGCAGGACTGTTGTCCTTTGCACTATCTCTTTTTTTAATTACATTTTTTTTCTAAGAATCATCACAGAACATAGTAGACTTACATTTCACGACGTTTTTTAATGTTCTATAAAGCATAATCTTGTACCTAGTTTTATATACAATATATAATAATGACGGCTGTGTACACCCAGAACAAAATATAATTACATATGACCATGGATAGGGATTGCAGAATGCCAGCAGGTCGGGCCGGGTCAAGAAAACATTAACCTGACCTGACCTGTTCAAACCGACGGGGCAAAACTCGGTTTGACAGGTGAAGATTGGAAGTGACAATTTACCAAAACTCGAGTAATGGAAGCACACAAGCTCCACAAAATTGCAACTCTCCAAGGTGGCGTGTAAATTCCTTGCAGTGCTAGCAACACCTACTTCGTGAGCGATTATTTTCACAGGTGAAAAATTTCGTGCCGTCAGAAAGGAATCTGTGGTAAATCGAAATAAACAAAGACAAATAAGTCGTTTGGGAATGGATTATATTCAAAAGATTGAACGAAGTACAATATCAGCTATAGAAACTATCTTCTTTTATATCTAACTTTCAAACATTGTTTGAGAACTCGGTCTTAACGGAGAAACAGATCTGAAGGTGGAAAGCTTATCAACTTCTTTGTCAGCAAGGACCTTACTGGTGCTTTGCTGTAAGAACGAATAAAAAACTTTTATGATGGTTTGAGATGTGTTCTTAGACGGTTGTTTCATACTTGGTTTCTTTACTGAGTTATATGAAGGATTCACATTTCAATCCAGCTAGGTGCATGTGCGCAACCGTGTCCCTTATTGGATCCCGGAGCGGTAAAGAGAAACCTTCTATCAAGACATCTGTCTGTACCGGATCTTGGTTTACCACATCACCCCCTTCCAGGTTGCGCTCAGGGGCTGCTTTTGCCTGGTATATTGTATTATGGGAGATATTTGTAATTGTGGTATTAGGTTGGATATATTCAGTAGGTGTAATACCTATGTAAATTTGCTTATTTTTGTACCCGCACAGATTTGCGCTTGACAAAATGTGTCTTTTCACCACTGTGGTTTCTTTTACGAGACTGTGTGGTTTTGCTGTTATTTTTGTGTTGGATTTGTTTTTGTGCCTGTTTTTGCTTGGGTTGTTCTCCAAGCCGTTTCCAATAATTGTTTATTGTGGCACGTTGGGTGAATGCTTCATTAGATTCCCAAGTATCTTCATCTGGTTTGTAACCCTTCCAGCGTACTTTATACTCATATGTGCTGGGTGCCGTCTCTCTATGAGCCACTATAGACTCCACCTCAAATAGTTCATCACAAGGTATAATTTCATCTTGAGAAATTAATTTTAGCTGTGATGGTGCATATTCGCGTGTCATCACCTCGTTTTGTTCATTCTAAATTATGTATGCGCCACCTCTGTTGCGTCTTACTACTGTGTATGGACCTTCATATTCTGGGTCTAGTTTTCCTGCCTTTTCTCTCACTTTAATCATTACATAACTGTTAGGTGGGAATTCTATTAAGTGATGCTTTTTATCGAACTTGTTTTGCTGTGCCTTATTAAGAGCTTGTACGCGTTCGCTTATTGCAGGAAAAACTATATTCTCCATATTCCTGATGCGTTCCATGAGCATTTTTTCTGATGCAGGTGTTAATTGACCGTCTTTTGTATAGTCATCGAAACCATTCAACTTTCGTGCAAACATTAATGTGTATGGAGCGGATCCATGTCTTTTTGCTATTTTTGCATTTGTTGCAAGCTGTACACCAGGAACGAATAAGTCCCAATCCTTTACTGCTCCTCTAATGCTCTTTTTCAATGCATTAACTGTTGTGGAGACCCAGCGCTCAGAAACTCCGTTTCCACGCGGGTGGTATGGTGTACTAAGTCTATGATCCAGCATAGTGACTGTTGTTAGCTTCTTTATGATGGAATTGACGAATTCGGTTCCATTATCTGATTGTAAGTAACGGGGAAAACCGAAATCACAAAACACTTCAACTAACTTTTTCGCAATGGTATCAGATTGCTTATTTGGTATGGGGCGTAAAATGCAAAAGCGTGTGCAAACATCCACCATAGCCATTAGATAATTATTACCAGCGAAAGTTGTTTTGAATGGTCCTGCTAGGTCTATGGCCCAATGATCACATGGTAAATATGCATGTACGGGACGTAGAGGATGATATCCTGCTTTTGTAATATTAAACTTTTGACACTCAGGGCATTTCTTTACGATCAATGCTGCATCTTGATAAATAGTGCTCCAATGTATGCCGTCACTGTGCAGGGCTTTTGCTATTGCCTCTGCTCCGAAGTGTCCGAATACATGTGTTTTTTCCAATAGATTTGTTCTTTCTTCAATTGGCGGTTCTAACATATCTTTGTATGGTGATTCTCTGTTGGTTAAAACCTTTTGAGCTGTTGTTTTATCCAGCATTCTTTTTAACGTATAGTTCGGTTTCTGTTGTGCTTTGTAATCAGTTCTAGCAGCTGCAGCTCTAGTTACTGCTCTTTGTAATATTGTTGCTGGTTTAGATTGTTCTAAGCTTAGCTGATCCTCATCACCCCCTTCCAGCTCTTTATCCGTCGGAAAAAGGCGTGACAACTGGTCAGGTAAGATGTTGGCTAAACCAGGTAGATGTACAATATCGAAGTCATATTCGAGAAGTGTGTCAAACCAACCAATCATCATTGCATTGGCTATTTTTTGTGTATGCAAAAAAGTGAGGGCGCGATGGTCTGTTAATAGGGTAAATTTGGAACCCCAGATCCATTTATGCCATCGTCGTAAAGCTACAACGCAAGCTAGCAGTTCTCTGCGTGCTACGCTATAATTCCTTTCTGATTTAGAAAGTGCTCGTGCAGCAAACCCAATATGACGAGTTTCGCCATCAATTATTTGATATAAAGCACTGCCAATGCCCACATTGGAAGCATCAGTCGCTAGATAAAATGGCTGGCTCATGTCTGGATAACGTAAAGTGGGTGCTTGTAAAAGTATTTTGCGTAAGGTATCAAACGCATTTTGATGCTTATTATTCTATAGACGTACAATGGATCCAGCATTACGAAGTGCATCCAAAGGTGCAGTTATGTGTGATATATTAGGGATATGGTCCCTAAAATAATTCACAACACCTAGAAACCGTTGTATATCTTTGCCCGTTCTAGGTATAGGCCATTCGTGCATATTTGATACTTTACGTGTGTCTAGTGTAACACCTTGATCGGAAACGCAAAATCCCAAAAGATATACAGATCTTTGAGCAAAATGGCATTTGTCGGGGTTTAAGATCAGATTGACCTTGGTCAATGCTTCAATAGCTTGTGCCACATGTTCGCGTTGTTCTTCCAAGCTCTTGGAGAAGACAACAACATCATCCACAAAGCAGTTCACGTGCTCTTGCTGCTGGCTATACACCAGATGCATCACGCGCTGGTACTTATTGCTCAAGGGCTTTAATCCGAACGGAGCTCCGGCAAAAGACCATTGACGGTTTTGGAAAGTAAAAGAAGTCTTATGACGATCATCAGGATGTATCTGAAATCGGTGAAATGCATTTTTCAAATCGAGCGTTGTGAATACAGTTGCTCCTTTCATTTTATGAAATATATCTTGGATGAGAGGTAGAGGATAACGATCATCCGGTAGTAGCTTATTGATATGCCTTGGATCTAAGCAAGGTCGCTTGCCAGTGTATTTGCCATTGGCATCTTTTTTTGGAGCTAAAGTTAAAGGACTATTCCATGTGGTATTTACCAGTGCTGGCTCAATAGTGCCATCTTCTGCCCACTTTCGAATTTGTTCTTCTATTATTTTTTCTGAAGCCACAGGTAGATCATATTGTCTTCTGTAGGAAGTAACACCTGGTGGTGTTGGTAGTTCAACAATTGATTCTGGTACTGTGCAGGTCCAAATAGCGTTGGATGGAGTTTAAAAAAGCTTTGTGCTCACTTGGTGATCCCGCTGGAGAAACATTGGGTTTGATTTCGTCGGAAATAATGGAATCAGACTCTTCATTACTTATGGGCTTGTTCCAATAAGGAACCAGACCTGTAATACCAATGCCTAGCTTCGTCATCAAGTCTAAACCAATAGTCACTTGTGTATCTTCAGAAAGAGACATGACTTCAAAGGTATGTATAACCGTTTTGTTATTGTATTGGATTTTTATGTTGTTAACACTACCTTCTCGAGGTATGGTTACATCTTTTATAGCAAGAATAATATGACCATCATTTTCAGGTGCTACAATTTCTAAGTTTATTTTGTTTACTAAACTTTTGTCTATGGATGATTTGTCTGCTCCAGTATCAGGAGTGCCATCACTGGTCTATTTTGCAAGACAATGGGTACCATAATAGACAATTGATTATTATCTTGCTGTAAATTAGTATGCTGCAGTTTTTTCTGCTTACCCTTTTTATCTTTGGAATCAAGTTCATTTTCATTGATCGAAAGATATCTTGTTTGTTTTTCAATACGACTCATTCGAGCGCGCATTGTTCTGGTGGCTCTGGCCTCACGCATTTCGGGGCACTCGTGACCAAATTTGAATTGCACTTTCTTGCAATATTTGCAAGGATTGGTTATAGGAGCACGTGTTTCACCCATGTAACGGGACTTTTTGGAAACAAAGTTGCTGGCTTTGTTTTTCTTTCTCTTCTTGTTGTAATCCTCACTTTCTTCGGAGTCCTGGTCAGTACCAGTTGCAGGTTCACCCTCGGCAAGAGTCAAGACTGCTTGTATAACGGCGTCCAATGTGCTGGGAAACTGTAAGCCAAAATGGTTTGCAGCAACGTTCCACGCACGCTGGCGGTACTTCTTATTCAAAGAAGATAGGAAACCATATCCTAACTCTTCGTTGTCAGGTATTCCAGATGAGCAAGCGAGTTCCAAGTACTGGTTTGCGGATTCTCGTAATGCCTCATTGCTGTTTTGGGTTAATGTGCGCATCTTGTAGCGTTGGTAGTAAACTTGGTACGGAGAAGAAAACGCACGACAAAACTCTTCTCGAAACTTGGTCCAATTCATGTCATGCCGTTGCATGGTTTTGACTAACCACGCACGTCTTGTGGCATCACAAGTCAAAGGCATCAACCTTTTCCAATGCTTTTCGACGTTGATCGAATGTGCTTCCAACACATACGCAAAGTCATCCAAGAACTGCTCAGGCGAGTCATAAGACTTCCCTTTAGCAAACTTGGTGTGTCCTCTGAGGTTGAACACGGGTAAGTTCTTAGGAACTAAATGTGCTACTTTGGCATCATCTAGCGTCTTGTCCGAAAGAGCTTTCATTGTGTTAAGCCTTTCTTTCCAGTTTTCATAGTCGCTTTTAGCGGCTAAAAAAACTTGTTGGTCATGGCAAGTAACCAGGCTCTGCAGGTATGACTCTTTAAGATGAACTTGCTGTTCCAAGTAGGTACGAACTACTTGTGGGTCAGCGTCTGGACCCAGCTAGTCAGGCTTGATAAGGTCAGCACTGTCCTGTTGGTCAGGTGTCCAAGGGTTGCTGCTTGGGTTTTCCTCAAGCTGTTCGTGGTGTTGAACTTGGTCAACATCCATAGCGACAGAAGACTGAGCTTCTGTATAGGGGATAATGGGACCTGAATGGTTCCCAGTGTTTGGTTGGAAAGTAGTAGTGTCCATAGTGATGATTGCGGTTCCGTAATTCAAACGAAAAAATGTGGTAAATCGAAATAAACACAACATCCATAGCGACAGAAGACTGAGCTTCTGTATAGGGGATAATGGGACCTGAATGGTTCCCAGTGTTTGGTTGGAAAGTAGTAGTGTCCATAGTGATGATTGCGGTTCCGTAATTCAAACGAAAAAATGTGGTAAATCGAAATAAACAAAGACAAATAAGTCGTTTGAGAATGGATTATATTCAAAAGATTGAACGAAGTACAATATCAGCTATAGAAACTATCTTCTTTTATATCTAACTTTCAAACATTGTTTGAGAACTCGGTCTTAACGGAGAAACAGATCTGAAGGTGGAAAGCTTATCAACTTCTTTGTCAGCAAGGACCTTACTGGTGCTTTGCTGTAAGAACGAATAAAAAACTTTTATGATGGTTTGAGATGTGTTCTTAGACGGTTGTTTCATACTTGGTTTCTTTACTGAGTTATATGAAGGATTCACATTTCAATCCAGCTAGGTGCATGTGCGCAACCGTGTCCCTTATTGGATCCCGGAGCGGTAAAGAGAAACCTTCTATCAAGACATCTGTCTGTACCGGATCTTAGTTTACCACAGAATCGCTTAGGTTCACATGCATTAAAAGAAAGTATAATGTTTGAAAATCGACTTCACCACGCGCCACCAATCCTTTTCCTTTTTTTCTTTTCTTTTTCCTTCTTCCTTTTTTCTGCAATCGTTTTCTTTTCCCTGTTCCTTATTTGCCTTTTGTCAGATCTCGTCTCTTACGTCACCCTCTATTGACCGTTTTCATTGTACTATTAGGTTACAACAGGTCAACAGGTCGGGTCAAGGGTCAGACATGTTGACTTGCAGGTTCCAAAAGTACGGACCCAACCTATCAATCTGTAATTCGAACCAGGTCAACCCAGCCCATCAATTAGATTGGGATCCCTAACCATGAACATCAAGACCAAGAGCATGCTTTGTCTGTTTACTATAAATGTGTAATAAAAAGAACGAGAATATGCAATGCATAATCCCTCTTTTCATGGGCCTGCTGCAGAAGGCACCTAGCTCAAATAATGCGATGTATAGTAAGGCTCTTATAAACACCTACATGCACAATTGTAATCAATAGTGAGTTTGGGGGATTATATATATTATTAAATAACATCAAGGTGTTAATCTGTTAAAAGACATTGATATTTGCCTGAAAAGCTTGATATCAGGTACTAGAAGAGAAAACAGTGTGTGCTAAATCAATATTCAACTATCTTGACACATTTAATATTAGCACGCATTCATTTTGATATTCAACTTATATTTAACTATCTTTACATAAACATATTCAACTGATTGTTATGAGCATCTCCCAACATCGATGATCACATATTGATTCCTCAAGTATTTATATTATCAATCATTATCCGAATCATCAACCCTATTACCGATACCGTTTTATATAACGATCCCCATTACGACTCAATCCTTAACACTGACTCCGCCATGTCTGCTATTGCTCGCTCCCAAAATCCCAACAGCATCATCTTCAACATGCAACAGCTCCAGTGCAGAAGTCGAGAACATCCTCGTTGAACAGCTCGGCACTGTCGACTCGCCTCAGCTCTCAAAACAACTTCTCGTGGAAGTACTTTTCAAAACCGAAGAACAAAAGAAAAAGGCACTTGAAACAGGTGTCATCGTAAAAAGTGAATGCATCTTAGGCCTACCCCGTGTAGCAGCCAATACTAACCTCGTTAAGATTGACTTGTATTAACTTCCCATATGTGACCCTCATAAGTTAACTGAAGAACTTCGCTTATCATTGACGGCCTATGGCAAGGTCGCTCAAATCAGAGCATATGTCTCTCGCCAACACCATGTTTTCAGGGGTGAGGCCACTGCCTTAGTCGATGCCTCACTTTGAAGGATAATCCTTAACGATATACTAATCAAAGTATCAAGTTAAAAGATTTAACTATAATAGGATAAACATTTCGAAACTGCCAGTTCCAAAAATGAAAGTTTTTTTATAGAGTTTCGAGAACCGTTCTCAGAGAAAGAACCACAAAGAGTCGCGTTGCAAGGTCTAACCACCTTGTAACCTTAGAGGAGGGAGTCCTCATTACCATTCCGGGTCAAATCCTCATTACCACTCCGGGGGGATTTGAATCTGTTAAAGCTTTATATATTTTTTTCAAAGGTCCTAGTCATACCCAGCTGCCGACTTGAATAGTCGGATTTTTACTTGCGGTATTATCGAGGAACAGCTCGACAAGTAACCACAACCGCAACCGCAACCGCAAGTGCGGGGTCTACATTATACACCTGTGCACACTTTCCATTTGTGGCAGTTGCCGTCAGTAGTTTATTATCCCTCTCCTCTTATTAAACAAAAAAATGCCTGAACTCGGTGAAAAACGCAAAAGAACTTTTGGAGTAGTCCACAAGTATGGGACGAAAAAGCTTACACACACGACCCCTTTGATCGGACGTAATGCTTCGAATTCGCGGGCTCAGATTATACCATCTGACACCAACGAAAATGAATGGGCCAATGTCGTTGAAAGTCCTTTCGTCATGCGTAAAAGGAAGAGAACCGACGAACGTGCTAAGAAATGGGCCGAGCTCTTACCTTTTCTCACTGAGGCGTATATCCAAGGCTATGGTGTCCAGGTCCCAGTACCTCAGTCACTTAAGGCCACCGACGACGTATTCTTGACGTGCGCGTGCAAAGAGAAGAAGTCGACCTACGTCACGACTGTTTACAAGTGTGGTATGAATAGAAGCAGAGATAGAAGATAATAAACTAACCATCAGAATCAAAAGGGCGTTTCTGAAAGACGTTGAAGCCAGAAAACCCGCCAGTATTTTTGCGAATGAATGATGGTTACAAGTGCTTCAGAGCGTCTACAGGCGCCTTGTACCTCTCGACAATACGAGCAAGGCGTTCCTGATACTCCTTCTCCATAGCCTTGTTCAAAGCGCGGACTTCACCCATCATCGTAGCTTCTCTGTTACTGTCGGTGGCATCAGTAGTAAGTGCAACAGCCGCAGAAGAAATATCACTAGAGTAAGGGGTGTCCATCAAATGAAATGCCTTCAAACGATCAATTTCGTTCAAAAGCGCGTTCAGTTGAACAGCCACCTCTTCATGTTCGCAAATGATTGACTGGATGTTCTCGTCTTCTGCAATCCACTTTGCTTCCTCGTCACTTCTCGCTCCTTCTTCTTGCATAAGTGCTTCTGTAGCTTTCTCATATTTTTCAATGAGTGTTTGGTCGTTGCGATGTAGCATGTTTTTTGATTTAGGATTAGACTATGATCTTGAAAAATATGAGTAATGATTCCTTGTTTATTCAGAACCTGAAGGCTTGCGGTTAATTTGCAGTTTTAATCACGACCTGAAGCTCGGCAACTGCAACACCCAATTTTCGACTGTTGAGGTCGGGTGGGGTGGTATTCTTAGCTGTTTAAAGTTTTAATCATTAAAATAATTATCAACCTAAAGATAAAACATTTATATGTTTCACGTTTTTTATCATTAAATCTTTAAAAAGTTAAAATCATAAAATAATTTTTTTTCATAATAAAGATAACATTAAAATAAAATGATATTTTTAAAAAGCTATAAATTCAAAAAGTTTAATCTTTCTTTTTTATTTTAACTATAATTATTCTTAAAAAAGAAATACCACTTTTAACATTATCTTTAAACTATAACCTTTACAAAGTCAATGGTACAAAGGTTTAATCTATGTTAAAGGATTGCTCCCCTTTATGAGACTCTACCAACAATCTGCCGATATCTGTACCTCAACCTCCCCTTCCCCTCCTGTGCCCTAGTCAGAGCGAAGGGAATGCCACTGTTCTGCATCTATTGCAAATCCGACGGCCACACCATCAACAAATGCAAGCTCCTAAACGAATAGCAACGACAATCGCCCACGACATGTACTAGGTGCAACGCCATTGGCCATGTTAACGAAATTGATGTCTGCTGCATCAATCATCAAAGTCCAGTCTCTATGCCAATCAACTATGCCCCTCCTTCAGGAGCTGCAACACACGTCCCTCCCCCTACTCTACCGCATTCTGCAGATACCGACACCTACAGTATATGGCCGACCCACGAAATGGCACTTCTGCATGGGACAGTAAACATGCCCTAGTTACTACCAGTGTTGATTTTTCGCCAGGCGAAAAATCAATTACTTTATTTGGAAATACATATGAGAATCTAAATCTGTTGAAGGGAGGGGATGAAAAGTGTTGACAATTTGTATTTATAAGATTGGTTTTCTGCTGGGTGCACTTGTATGTCAGGAGCTTCAGCTGTTTCGTCGTCAACTTCACCGTCAAGATCTAAGAACCACTCATTAATAAGAGCATTTCACTGTCATGGAGTCATGTCGGCCTCTTCTTCACTCCGGAGGTTCCGGTCTTCTTCCTCCATGTAAAGTTCGTCGTCCTTGGCGCCTTGGCTTTCAACGCTATCAAGTCTTGCTAGTGCGGGAAGTGCTGGTGCTTTGCCTTTATCCTTGGCATGCTTCTTCTTGAGTGTGGCACGAACTTGGGCAATGTGAAGAACTTTTTGCCAATGAAGCCGGTTTCTCCTAGTGCTGTGGATGTACCCTATGTCGCTGAACAATCTCTCGCACGAGGCCGAGTTCACACCAATCGCCAGCAAGCGTCGCGCCACAAAAGCAAGTTCTTTGCACGACTCGTTGTTGGCAGCCACCATTTTCCAAAACTTGTCCGGGTTGCGACCGGATCCAATGTAGCCTTCATCATCGAGCGGCCAATCCCTATCGTCGTACTTCATGACTTGTAAAAGCATGGTTTCGGCCTCGTTTCCTGTCCATTTATTATAGTACATTTGGGCCCACTCGGTAATGATTCTTGACGTGATGCCCCGTCTGTTGCATGCTTCTGGATCTACAGGTTCCGGATAGCGGTTGATGTAATCCAAACAGTACGTTGGATGTAGATACATGGCCAGAATCAGTAGCGGTTGCTCCCATTGATACCATCTTTTTTCCAGTCGCTTGACAAATACTTGGACAGCATCGTCAGGCAGTCTTCTACGCACAAAGTCGATCTTATCAGTCGTAAACATGGGGAGTAGCTTCGCGAACTGAGTGGCAATGTAGTATAGCTTAGCATTATCTCGTTGGAGAACATCTAGGCACAACGCAAATGGTTCGAGCATTGCCTTGATTCCATCGATATCTTCCCAGAAGGCCATGGAGCGAATGTTGTTTGCAACTTCGTCTGGTATTTTGGCACCTGCATCAGATCCAGAATTCATACGACGAGCTAAGTCAAGACAAAACAATAAGTATGAGTGCTAACCATTGTACACGTATATTTAAAATCCATAATATTGATCGCTTTACCTGCAATGAATCCTTCGTATCAAGCAAGTTTTTCAAAGCATCGAAGTAACTGTTCCATCGTGTTGCAGGTTGACGAAGACTAACGCAGCACTTATTTGGGGTACTATCTTGATGGTCACGGAGTTTTCGTGTCAAATATGTTGAACGATTGAATGTTTCGATGAGTTTGACAGCTTGCTGCATGCAAGAATTCAAGTCCGGGAATGCCTTCAACATATCGGCTATGCAGAGCTTCATCTGGTGGGCAAAGCATGGCAACCATACAATCTGTTGATGCTTGCGACGTAGCTGTGAACGGGCAGCAGCATAGGCACTCGCTGAATCAGTAACAACCGCGATGACCGTGATGTTGTGCCTCTTGATCCGCTTACTCTTGTCGAAAAGTAACGTCTCCAATTTTTGAATAACATCCAGCGTCCTTGCTTGCTCTCCTGAGATGTCTTTTGCGTCCCAAATGACGCTGCTCCCACTTGAGGTGTTGAGGACTATGCCAAGTATCGACTCCTTGGAGACATTTCGCCATCCATCACATGTTAGAGTTACGCCTTATATATCTTAAACCTCGGCAATGAGTTGTTCATTCGCAGAATCGGCAACATGTGAAAGAATTTTGGTTGATAGGTTTTGCCTTTTAGGTATGGCTCCATTTGCCTAGAAGAAGGCCGTACTAGTTAGTTACATCTTATTACATCATAAAAATATAAAGTATAATAACATTGCATCTTCTTATTACCAAAGCGCGATCATTCAAATGGAGCAAGTATTCGATGACCTCTGGGTTTTCGATCCAACGGAATGGAAGATTGGCCGACACAGTAGCACACAATGCCTTGTCCTGTGCTCGCTGAGCCCATAAGCTGTTTTCGACGACACCATATTTCGAGATTGATGCTTGTGCGAGTTTACGTCTTGTATTTTATGTTTGACTGAGACCAGATACTTGACTAACCGAATCTTCAAGAAGTATATCTTCATTATCTACCCACGTGAAAGCACCTGAGGCCTGAATCATAATTCTTTCATCTGAATTCAGATTGATGCAAACCTTTTTTTTTGAAAGAAAAGTATTAGCTCTATTATCAAGATTTTGAGGCTACGTTTAAGCTACAATTCATGCATATCTTTCTATTTTACCTTGAGATGCTCAAGTAAAGCAGCATTTTTATCCCTAAATCCTTGCACATAGTCACCGAGTACTCGAATGCATGCAAGACATTGTGCCTCACCATCCCTGCATTTTTTATTGTCAAAGTATCGATTGTAGAGCTTAAAAAACTGCTTGGCAGGATGTCGTCTGCGACCAGCACCGGAACCTTGGTTGGACCTTTCCACCAATACATAAGAACGCTTGGAACCAGCAGTTGTTGATAAGTTTTCTTCAGATTGCATGAGAGAGGATAATGTAGATCGACGAGAAAGTGTAGATATAAAATGTTAATGAAGTATCTAGCTCAGAGAACTGGCCATATTTATACTTTTTCTTAGGTCGTGTGCTGCGAAACTATTGCCTCAAGAAAATGAACTGTTGTATAATGAAGAAGGCGACTGCTTAGCAGCTGCGCGACAAGTTCGTCGTCGTCATCATTCCGCAGCATAACTTTTGGACGAGCTATGAAGTAATGAGTGCAGCGCAGTCGATAAATTTGTATTTCAAAGATAAGCTACTATTGAATTTAGAAGGAAGAGGACAGTTATTTCGCTGTCGCACAGAAACTACTTAGCAGCTGCGCAACAGCTGCACAGTAGATTTGTCATAAACATCAATCTGCAGCATGCTTTTGGCACGATTCAATGAAGACCTGACTAATAAGAACCTCGCATTGACTGTTTATTATATTTATCTTGTAATCTTTTCTTTTCTTTATTATCGAAGGAGTAAACCATTCTACTTTTAAAGATCAAATTTATTTATTTAACTGCTTATTGGGGTGGCATACAATACTCAATCAAAAAAAAATGTAGCAGGGAATTACCCATAATTTTCGCCAATTTTTCCAGGCGAAAATTGTGGTTGGCGAAATTCGTCAATGCTGGTTACTACAGACGATGCAATAACAAAACACTCTTTCCCCTAAATGGACGACTCAACTAGCCCCTTGGCTACAACCCCTATTACTGACTGGGCTAAAGATGTTTGCCTATACAAAGTACTCACCAATTAACTAGAAGATACACGGATTAAGTATAGAAATTAGGGACGTTTGAAACTCCGCTATTTATCTTATATATATTTTATTTAAAAATTGAATTTAATTATAAATAAAAAATAAAAATGACAAAAAGAGAATATATAAAGACTTCACCTGTTGAAAGAAAAAAAAAAATCTTTAAAAATAAACATAAAATAGATATAAATGAAATTATTGATGAAAATATAAATGAAAATATAAATGAAAATATAGATGAGAATTATAAAGATAATAATGAAAGGATTATAGATTATAAAGAAGAATTGGATAAATATAATATAAAATATATAAATTAAATGAAGTTTGCATTAAATTACTATAATAAAACATTTCTTAACGAAAATAAAAAGTATAAATATATGAATAAATAAGATCATCTTTTAATTAAATATAAAAAATTAGAATATAAAATTAGAAAAATTAAAATAAATATTATTAAAAAGAAATACAATGATAATATAAATAAAATAAAAAAAATTGATGAAAATATTGTGATGATAATTTAACTATATGTAAAGAAATGTCATGTAAAACAAAAGTTAGAAATGATATTTCATACTATAATAAATATATGCCTAAACATTGTGAAAAATGTACTCATATATGTAATAGTAAGGATATTACAGATAGATTATATTATAATAAAAAATATAACATTTTTAATTATTATAAAAATTGTACTCATAATATATATTTTGATGACTATTATAAAAATTATAAATTAGAAGATATATTTTATATAATTGATGAAAAAGATAAATTTTATAAAACAATATATTTAAGTATGGAAAAAGATAAACTAATATTTGATGAAATTGAAAATATAAATGAATTAACAGAAAAGGAAGTGTTAGATTTTATGGATTATGATATAAAAGATTATAATAATTTTACTTAATATAAACTATATAATAGAATAAAAAGAAGTGTGGATTTATTAAATACTTTTGATAAAAATTTAAAACATGTAAAAATAAAACAAAGCTTTTATACTTATATAAGTAATATACAGTTTGAATCATTTAAAATATTCTTATATAAAATATTAAATATTGATGAAATTGATAATATATTTAAAATAATAACATCATAGATATATCATATATATATAATTACCTTAATTGGACCCTTGTTATAGAATTATTTGATGTCTCTGTGTTCTATACTTGATCCAGATACACTTCAACAACAACAGCAACAACAACACCCATAGTCATAGTCACCAATGCAACAAGAGATATCTAATGACACTGTTTGAGCACCAACTCCTCTAACTCAATCAAACTCAGTTAGCAGCCTGGCCTTACCCCAGCCATGCCCCCTCTCACTCTACTAATATGGAAATTGCTCAGGGGTCTGTGTCTCCAGCCCATATCTCACCAAATCACACTGGCAAAGTTGAATGCCAGTCTTATACTAGTATAGATAGCATAGATAGCTAGGATGAAATGATATAGCCGAATTAATTTTCATTAAATTAAATTATACATGAATGTCTTAGTATATATACTTTTTAAAAAATAAAAACTAAATATAATTTCTATATACAAGAAGAATATATTATAAATGGTGTCAGCATCTACAAATCAAATCTCATCTAATAATGATAAAACTATTATTGATATGAAAAAAATTACAAAATTATTTGAAAAATCATAATAGGGGGTTTCACACTTGGGAAAAAATGAGAAAATGAAATGTGCATTTCTTCAGTTTAAAAAGCAAAGTCACAATCATGGATAAACTTTCAACATCAGCTGCTATGCGTTTCGCGTCAATGTTACTTGAATTTGCATATTTTCTGTTACTTTATTTCACACACTATGTTTTTACTATCAATTTCCCAATGCCAAAAATCACTCAGCAACAAAGGACTTCACGTGGAGTCAATAAGCTCATTGAGCAAAGCATTCAGCGACAGTTGCTTTGCAACGACGAATCGAGTGAGTTGCTCTAAGAGGAAAAAGATTGCAACGAGCTTCTTAGCATTTACGTTGGCATCAGCAGCCATCAATACCTCAATCCTTGCGGTCACGTTCCAAAACTGCAAGAAAAACGTGAGTTTTTTATGCAATAGCCTGATAAGCAACTCAAAATGTTGGTGTGGATGAACAAAAGATCGTTCAAAGCTCTCCTCGAGCTTATTGAGGGCCATCCAGATTTCAACAGCGAGTCGTGTGTAGCTCAGATAGATGTCCAAATGCAGCTAGGCATCATGCTGCAAAGACTTGCATATGACGGAAGTGGAAACTCCACTACGAAACTTGGGATGGAATGGGATGTGTCTACAGGCTTTGTCAGCAAATGCTTCTATCGCGTTATTGGAGTCATTAACAAATTGATGTTGACTGATTTTTTGTCCTGGCCTGATGAAGAAGAACGCAAGTCGATTGCTGCGCGCATAGAATCCAAGACCGGCTTCCCCTGGTGTGTCGGTTTTGTCGATGGCACTCATGTCAACTTTGCTCAAAGACCCAAAGAACAAGGCGAAGTTTACTTCAACCGCAAATCACGCTACTCCATGAATCTTCAAATTATATGTGATGATAACCGCTTTATCCAATCCTCTGTTGCGGATGTCCTGGTTCTATGAGCGACGCAAGCGTATTTAGCAGCCAATCTCTTCCAGGACTGTTTCCTGATGCGCATTTTTCAGGAAACGAATATTTAATTGGTGATTCTAGATATGGGCTTACGACGCATCTGATCACCCCATATCGCAGTCCAGTAGCCCGACTGCACAAGGATTACGAAACGTTCTACTTCCAGCATGCATCAGGTAGGGTGGCTAATGAAAATATGATTGGTATTTTGAAAGGAAGGTGGCGCTTTTTGAAGAATGTCCCATTGCAACTGAGATCCAAGAACGAATTCGAAAAGCTAAACAATATAATCGTTGCGACATGTCTTCTCTATAACTATCTCTTCTGACGCAATGATAAATGGGATCTGGACACTGAAAACGATAATGGAAGCAATGAGCATAGCACATCATCACAGCTTTCAGACGCAGAAGGGAAAAGAGACCTCCTGAAAAACATTGTAGTCGATTTTACATCTAGACAATAAACTTTTGTTTATACATAAAATGCCAGTGACTACTCGTATACATTTTCAATAATCTGTTTGGCTTCGTCAGTAGTCTTTCCAAGTTTCAACAGCTCAATGAAAAACTTGGTTCTGTCACTAGCGTAAGTCTGCTGTTCTTGTGCTTGGGATGCACGTTTCTGCTCTGCTACTTGTGCCTGGGACGCAAGTTTCTGCTCTGCTAGTTGTGTCTGGGACGCATGTTTCTGTTCTGCTAATCGCGCCTTCTCCAATTGCAGTCTCTCATGCTCGAGCTTGAGCTTTTTCGACTCTAACTTGCATTCTTTGGCTTCATTGACCGAGTAAACGGCAGTAAAGTTTCTGCCGTGTAGCACATTATCGTCGTCGTCATTGTCATTGTCAGAGCCGCTTTCTACCCTGCTGGAAGCAATGCTGTTCACCTCCTCATTCTGTGGCTCTGGACTGGGTGGAGCCTGCTCCAAGAATCGTTCTATAGACTCTTCGAAATTGTCGACAGTGATTTCTTGTGTCTAGCTGTCAACATCTACTTGTTTGAAGAACGAGGAGTAAGGCATATTTTCGTTGACAACAGGATTCGTCGGCAATTCTTCAGTCGCTGTTGTTGGTACTGGTGTTGCTGCTACTGCAGTTTCTACTGCAGGTAACTCAGTAGCTGGCACAAGAGTGGCTGCATGCGCAGAGATCGATGGCGGAAGGCCAGCATGCAGAACCGTGCTTAGGTTGATATTCTCCCTTTGACCAAAGATCGAATCCATCTCATAGAAGTAGGGGCACATATGATTGAGTTTGTCAACAATATTTTTTATGCCCTTTTTACGTTCTTCTTGGCTGATCTCTTTGCCAAAGCCAGAAGCTTCCAACTTTCTTTTGGTACTGATATACCATCTCTTGTAACTTTCGAAACGGCTTTTCGTTTTCTACCAGTCCCAACCAATGCCAGTTTTCTCATTGATAGCCACGGCCATCTCAGTATATGTGGCTGTTTTTGTTCCTTTCTTTTTTATGCCTGGTGCTGACTGCTCGCCTGCGCCTGACCATCTTATGAAGTTTTCATGAATGGTAAGCCAGTTGACCATTACTTCACATACTTCATTTGAGGTGTGATCTCAGCTGGCCTTTTATAGACAAATGATACCGAAGTTAACTTTAACTCATTTAAATGAAAGGTAACATCAGTGTCTTTTTCCCTGCAGGTGAAGTCTCATTATAGACTGTGGTGGTTGCATTTATGGTGTGTTTTTTTTTTGTATGGAGGTGTTTAAACCTCAGAAATAGTTTATTACTGTGGGCCGTTCAAAAGAAGAGGGAAAGCACAGCGGCCTCGGAATTGTAAGGAAGGGAAGACAAGAGATATATACAATTAGAAAACATATTTTTGAATGGCTGCGATTGCTATTGATGCAATCTTTGCTGGAATGAAAGGGGAATCATTGGATATATTCGTGTAAACTGATGTCGCGTTGCCGTGAGAGGCGGACATACAGTACTTGTTGCAGATCACTTGGTAAATCTGCTTCCTGCAAGATCTCCTTGACCGTATCCGAGAGTTCCATGTTATCGATCCAGTCCTTGGCCGGATGAACTTGTGTTGCGAGTTCCTGTTCGTCAGCTAGGATCATTGGTCTATCGTTCTGATAGTCCGCAAATTCCATGGCAATTTCGTCGAGAGCTTGTTCAAGATACCCTTGTAGCATCAGTGCTGAGGAGTTATCTGCGATGTTTTCGTTGTTGTTGTTGTTGTTGTTGTTGTTGTTGTTGTTCTTCTCATCGGTGGCGGTATTGTCGGCACCCAGGTCTTCCAGAGGCTCAAACCGATTGGTCAGTTGCCCCTTCTTTCCTTTTCCGGGCGCATGTTTGGATTTCGATAACTCCTAGGAGGGGGTTGTGTCACGCTTGTGACCTGTCTTGCGGCGGCTGGTTTTGTTGTTGCCCGGCGTCCATTCATCACTGTTGTGCGTTGTGGGGCAGTTTGCGGCGTAGTGATTCTTACCGCCACACTTGAAACATCCTTTCTGGTTGCGGCGGAAGCGCGGACAGTCTTCAACGATATGTCCTGGCTCATGGCAGCGGGAACAGTGGAGGGGCATTTGGTCGAAATGCGCGTAGATTAAGTCATCCTTGTCACCGCACCAGGGGATATGGTGGTTAAGGGGAAGGAGCTGTTGATTGTGGTGTGGCTGTATATCTAGAACGGCGAAACCGTTTCCCATGTATGCTTTTGTTCGCGGGTCACGGTTGATACCAACGTCTAGGATGTCGCCGTATGGACGAAACGTTTCGCGCAGTCCGCGTTCCAAATCTTCTTGACTGAGCAAAGGGAGATTTGTGAGACGAAGCTTTTTAATCTTTGCATTTTTTTCAAGAGCAGGCGTTGCACAGATCGTGATGGTCGGTGTGAACTCTATGCCCTTGTCGATGGCACGAGTTCGTTCTTTTTCAGTTTGGAGATTGATTTCAGCGACCACGCGTTGTCCTTCACGATGTGTAAGGATGCCGTTATTGATGGGATAAATCTTCATCAAAATATCGACTGCGTCGTCAACGGATCCTGGAACGGGGCTGATGTCAAGCATAACGCTGCCAGGCGAGCGTCCAACTTGCCAAATGCGAGAGAAATAGCAAACTTTCTTCGCTTCGCTTGTGCCCAGTTGACGTTGAGCATGAACGAGTGACACTCGTTCAGGTTGGGCAATGCGAGCCTATGTCAGAACGGTTGGTGGGGAGGTGTAGAGGGAGGGTTGTTGGTTGGTGCCTGTATCACGCACGGGCGGTTCGGGAGGAATATCGGAAAGAGCCATGTTTATGGTGTGTTTGTTTGTGATATTGAGCAGATCGGAGTAGAGTTTATTTCGACGCATCTGACACATGTAAAAATGATAGTTCCATCCCAACCTAGAATTTGCAAGCCACAAGCACATTTCTTACATAAAAAGCAGCTCAGAAAGTGCTTTTCTTGACTAGAAATTTTTGCATTTCTTGCAGAAGAAATGCGGTTTTTTGGCTATTAAAAAGCAGAAATTCCCAAGCATGAAACCCCCTAATATAAATATTAAGGAATTATATAAAAAAAATATATATGAAGAATATGATATTGAATATATAGAAAAGAGAAATAAATCAAATATCAAAAGAAAAGCTTCTGAAAAACAGAAAGAAGCATCCAAATCAGGTTTGAAAACTACAAATAAACAAAAAAGTAAGAATAAAATGAATAGAACAATCGAAAAATTTAAAAATTTAAAAAGTAAAAAATAGAAATTATAAAAGAAATACTATATTTATGATAAGTTTTATGAAAAAGTAGGTGAGAAAGATTTAAAAAATAAAATTTCTTAGGAAGAAAATTGTGATGATAGAGCTTTAATAAAGATGATCAGGGACAAGATTAAGTATCTTTGAGATGATGTTTCATTCCAACAAAAGATAAAGCTCTTTTATATTCTAGCTATTAAGACGGCGATATCAATTCATCCGACTAATAGATAAACTATGTGATAGAGGATAGATCAAGGACGTATCAGAACTTCTATTGAAGTTGCTATGTTAATCGCGCACATCTTTGAAACCGGCGTTAGCTGATGTAATGGCTGAGGTACCTGTTGATAGGTTCATTGTCCTGTTCACGTAAGGTGAATCATCTGAGTAAGAGATTTTATTTAATAGTGTTTAGCTGGAATGCTGTAGTGTTCATACGTGTGTGCTATAATGTTTAACCGAATATCTTATTGTTGATATCTTAAGCAGTGTATTAATGTGGTTCACCACAAAGATAATATAAATAAAATGATTCTTCTGTAGGATGAGTTATCAATTCCTAAAAATAAGAGATTTTCAGTAAAAATCAACTCTGAGGATACATCTATTGAGAATCAAAGATTCATAGTACTTTTCTCCTAAAAATAAAAATTCTTAGGAATTCTCAATTCCTCATATTTATGAAACAATGTTAGAGATTAACACTTCTAGTGTAGTTGTGATTCAGGTGATGTTGACTTTATATATATAGTAGCTTATTTAAACTGTATAGATATATTAAAGGACATATATAGATATAAGTTTTTTGTTTAAAAAGAATAAATAAATGAGAAAAAGAAATATATATATATAAAGTTTTTTTAATATATAATTTAACTATTACATAGTTCTAGTTAATGCAAAAGAAGAAAACAATCAAGGTACTATTAATATAACACAACAGAAAAGTACAAGTATCAATTTAAGAATATAATAACATATATATAAAGGGAAAAAATGAAATAAATAAAGATTAATTAGATTACTTATATAACTTAGAGTACATATTTAAATCTAGTCATAGATAACTATATCGGCCACAGTAAATTTACTAACTATAGCACAGCGGATAGATTTCAAATAGCTAGATAAATAATAGTAGGATACTACTACTACTACTTCTACTATGCCTAAACATTATGTTTTGTGAATGTATAGACGTGCACGTTTGTAAGTAACATCAAAGCGTCGATGGTTTAGTGGTATAATATCCGCCTGCCACGCGGATGACCCGAGTTCGATTCTCGGTCGACGCATTTCTCAAATCAACTTGTCGTGACAAGTTGAGTTCCGTTTTTTATTTTTTCTATTCTCTTTCAAAAGTTGTCGTCGTTTTTTTGAATAACATCACGGAAAGTAGAGACGATGCACAAAGGAATAGCCACGGAGATAAGCGAGTAGCTGGTTGATATTTTATTCAATAAACATGCCACGTATTTATACAATTTTCTGTACTAGAAATATATAAGCAATACTGCAGATGTGATGGTAGTTATGATAAGCTGCAGATATAATCATAGTAAGGATGGTGATGGTAATTGATGATGGTTATGTTGCTCAGCAAGGTACAAAGAAGTAGATGGCTGCACGTTACGTCAACATGTAACTATCCACCGCAGCAGTAAAAGACATATCATCAGTGATAAGAATAACCAAAAGATATACTACGACAAAGTTAACTGGTGATGGTGTGTTGAGTCGGTTTTTGGCAGTGGATCCGTTGCCAGTGAGAAAGGAGAAGAACAAAGGATAATAAAGGGATGGGAGTGTTGTTAGAAGGGACTCTTTATTGCTTGTGGTGGAGTGGTTTTTTCTCTAATAAACTATCACAGCGATTGCCGTATGACACAACGATATAATAAGATACAATAATCATGAAGCTGTCGTATCTTGCCTGGTTATCTTCTCTTAGTTACTAGTAGTGTGAACATTTGTAGTGCCGACGAATAGTCGCGCGGCGGCGTTCTTGTTGGTAGTGTACTTGTTTGTTGCATGGCAAATTGCTGAGCCGCCAAAACGAAGCGGTCATATTTGGTATGACAAGTTAGCTGGTGATGGTGCAATACTTTGTATAGATAGAGAGTCCAAAGCCATAGATAAAAATACGATAGTTGAAATATGAAGTTCTATTTAATAGATGCAACGCTTTTGCTATATCTTTCTGTGATGTTTGATATATTCATAATAAAATAGCTCGGATAATGCTGATCGTTCATATGACGCTGCGATGGGGAGTGTTATAGACTGTGGATGCTTAGCAAATAGTCTACTGCGCATTATGTCAACACAGATTATGCGAGCAGCATATAACAATGAAAAAGAGTGCGGTTATCTTAAAAAATGAACCGACCATCCTGTTGCGATAATGGCGGTGAAACTGCAGCAGCAGCACGGCATCAATGCGTCTTGTAAATCCATTATTTTATCTTTGCCTTAGCAACCTATAACTAAAGTGATATGGTATGAGCATAAAATAGTAGCGTATCATTGCAACTGATTGATCAACAAGGCACATGATCTTCTTTTACTACATGCGTAATAAATCATATACTCTCACAGATCACAACAGTAGATGTTTGTTCGTCGTATTTATTTAACTTTGTTATATATTACCACGACAGTAGAGTCCCATAAACTATAAACATCCCTTAACACAGATCCTCAAACGCCAGACAGTATCTTTTGTGAGTTTTTTCTTCTTTTAATCTTATGTCAGCGTTTGGTTAAGGCCTGTTTTTTATTTGGTCAGAAACGTATTACGCCGAGTATCCGCTCGCACCTTTTATACCAACCAATCAAAAGTCTTTATTGTCATCTTTTACGCATAACTACTTTGTATACACATGTAAGGGAGCGAATATTTTCTCCCTCATACTTGGCTTTTTATTCTTCATAAACATGCACCCGATGTAAAAGTCTATAAAACATGCTATGTCTGGCATAGATAGCCTATATTTTAGAGTGTTCCGGGTACAGCTTTGTAAGGGTTCATGATCCCGTTCGGATCGATTGCTTTCTTGAGCGTCTGCATCAAGTGGATCTGGGCCTCTGTCTTGCAACGAGTCATGTAGTTGACCTTTGCAACGCCAATTCCATGTTCGGCGGTGATACTGGTCGTAGATAGATATACCTGTCTGATTAATTCTCGTTCCCTTTTTTGTCCACATTAAAGTGCATTTTTACCTTCCGTTATGTTTGACTAATGAGGGAGAGAGGATATTTGGGGTTGGTTCATTATCAACTTTACGTTTAATCTTTTCCTTTTTCAAATTACAACTTACTAGCCCAGTCATAGACATAGGAGTCCATATCCTTTTGCGCTTTACGATCATGATCTGGAATGTTTGCCATAATGTGTAGATTCTGATGTAATGATATGCAGAAAGTATGGGTCAATACCTGCTTGTTGTGCTCATCCTGTATCCCCCGAGCTCACGCTTTCCTTTTCTTCTATCGCAACAACTTACACCGTCGCCAACGTGACCAAAACCAATCACATTGGTATATGTAGTGTCTAATAAACCTCTTTCACCATAATGCTGTTTTACATCCTCGACCATCTTATACAGCAGCTGCACATCCATAGCAACATCGTATGTCATTGCTGTGCCAGACTTGACAATAGCTTCGGGGATACGTTCACGCCATTGCCAAAGCGCATTGGTCTATCATTAGACATGGGAGTGCTTTCAGTTATACTGTACACCGATCCTCTTGCGCTTTCCTTGTTACTTTTTGCAAATTTTACCTGCTTAGCATCCTGTGCCATCACACCATCATGAGCAACGTCGGTCTCCATCAGTCTTGTGAGATAAGCATCGATTTTCTGCAAAAGCGCCCACATGAATAAGATGCAGTAAGTATATGCAGATATGCAGATCATCCTGTTGTGTTTAATTTTACCTCTTGATCATGCTCTTGACGGCTACCTTGGGTCTCGAGAAGCGCATAGAATGAAGATTTTGCCTCAATCGGATACGGGCTATCTTGTAACATAACCCTTTTGACCAATTCCATTGATTCACGGTCCCAGAACTCAAATGCTACAAGCATATCCCGAGAGTTAGAGCAATTGAGCATTTGGGGAACGTGGGGGGGGGGACGTCTCTGATCAAATGGCTTATGTGGAAAATCAACTCACCAGACAAAATTTCAGATAAATCTTCTTTGGCCATAACAAAAGCCTTTTGTACCGCGTCAAAAGAATCCAATGCCAACATGGCGATATTGACAGCCTATAGAGTAAGTTTTTTCCAAGTTAGCCGCACCGCTTACACTTTTTGGGTAAATAAAATGCTGGCATCCCACACACACACACACACACAAACACAAATTTCTGTAGCTATCACCCCATGTGTCCCGCAACTTTTCTTTTACCTTTGGCTTTCTAGGCGTCAACAGTGAAACACCAGTAACCAGACCCAATGTTCCTTCCGCTCCAATAAACAGCTGCTTTAAATCATAGCCAGTATTATCTTTTCGCAACGTGGATAGATTATCGAGTATAGTGCCATCAGGTAGAACCTATGAGAAGTAGGAGATCATACACGCAGTTAAAAGTTTAAACCCCCCTTTTCTTTTATCACCTATCATTGTAACATAACCTCATCTCCGCACGCGCGCGCGCGCGCGTTACCAACTCTAATAACGTTGCCAATCGTAGGATGTGCAAAACTTGAGTCCCATGAGAAAAACAAAAAGAAAAAGGACTTACCACTTCCAAGCCAAGCACATTTCCATGAAGATTACCAAAGCGCATCAAACGCAAACCACCGGCGTTGGTACTGACATTGCCACCAATTTGACACGAACCTTTTGCACCGAGATCCAAGGGCACAGTGTATCCCAGCGGTGCCAAGTAATTGTCCAGGTTCTCCAATACCACACCCGCGTCTGCCACAGCAACACCTGATATCGGGTCAAACGATCGAATCTTGTTCATTTTCGACGTGTTGACAATAATTTCGTCAAACATTGGGTTTTGACCGCCACTCACACCCGTGTTGCCGCCTTGAGGCACCACAGCGAGCTTCTTTTCGTTACAGTATTTCAGAATTTTTGATATCTGGGTCGTTTCTGTGGGGAATAGACATAGTCTAACGAATCCACCGTTTGATTAAAGAGAGTAGGCCAATTCGAGTATGTATGCGCAATTGTGCGTATGTGTGTTTTTCTCTTTAAAAAAATTAAGGAGAAAGAAGGAGGAAGGAACAATAATACGTTACTTGGAAGAACCACGGTGCAGGTTAAAAAAGTCGGTATTATAGGGTGTCAAGCTTGAAATCTCGGGATTTGCTTCGCCATCGTGAATGACATTGTTGGTTGTCAAGATGGTTTGAAAGTAGTCAATGTCGCTGTGTTCCAACTAATGACAGCCACGCGTGTATTGTCAGTAGCAGTAGTTTGGAGAAAAAATGAATGTCTCAGCGTTCGACTGGTGGTGATAGTACTTTTCCTCTTATATAACTATTGGTATGGAAGAGAGGGAAGAGAGGGAGAGAAAGCGAACAGTGTGGGGTAACCAAGATGTACCTGCTTGAACTTGTCACTGCGTTTAATATTAGTGATTTTATCACTTGTCAATGGGGTCAAGGACTTTTGAGCTCGGACGATACGGGAAGTATGAAACAGTCGAAGAGACTGTCGACAGTTACGGAACATGGCAAAGTTGAAAGAAAGCAAGAAGAAAAATGGGGATTGATCCCAAACTTTAATGCGACTTTTTGCATCACCTTTGACTAACAGCTTTGATTCGTTGATCGGCGAGTGAACCATCTCTCTCTGCTTTAAACCGCTTGAAACCGAAAGATCGGGCAGGTCTGTTTGAAATTTGGGACATCACATAAGCATTTGTGGATAACGGGCAGCAACGATCATCCCACATTTGAATAAAGAGCTGAAATAAAGAACAACTGCATCTGTATGAGCAGCAGGATACACAATGAGAGCATATATATAACACTTGAATTTCTTAGGGCTGGCATAGTAATATACGTTATGCTCATTTTCTACATATTACTACAAGATGCTACGGCAGGTACATAGTGACGCTGGTTTCCTTTACGAACAACAGCGCCGGTGTCTTCAATATCAAGTGCGTTACTGAAAAGGATAGTGTGAGTATTTAGCACACCTGAAGGTTAACTATGCTGTCATATCAACTGAACCTTTTTGCCAAAGATAAAATTGTTCTACAGTAGAGTGCAAGAGCTAGATATTCAGCGCCACACATCTTGAATACATATACGCCACGGGTGGTTTCAAAGTCACACAGGACTGACAAGTAGTAAGTACTACACGCTATGATATTTGCTATCAAATGAGCTAGTGGCCTGCCCACAAGACACACGAAGCTTCATATTTAACACAGCTGGGAAAGTCAATCGCAACTTTCCGTCTGACTGTATAAGATGCATTAGTAACATCTTTATTTATTCACTTTGATCTGTTGTGTCAGGTGAAATCGACAGATCGTTGTATATTAATTTGCTGTCACGACTTGTTATTATTGTCGTGCATAACTCATATCTATGGAAACGATTATGTTCTGTTAGTACTAGGTGCTACTATATCGTTCCGATATGGTCTGTTCTCCTTGACTTCTCTTGACACAAAACGGGAAGCATTTCTTCCAATTAAACAGCGATGAAAAAGAATAAGAGATAGTCGTGTCTTGATTTCGCTAGACAAATTTCGATATCAGCGCATTAGAATTTCCAGGTACCCCAAGTGAACCAATAGAGATTCGAGCATTGTGTGGGAGTGCGATAGATTACCTTTGAAAGAATCCATCTACTAACTGGAAGCCACCCACTGACTTTTTCAACTGCGGAAACAGTGAAATCCCTCATGCAAGGGGGTTTTCACACACACACACACACACACACACACAACATACAATATGCACTACAACTTGATAGTAGTAATTGCCGGCATGATAAAAATTAACAGCAAATTGTGAGCACATGGCTCTATCTTGATCCTGGGCCCGTCATTCTACGCTCATATTACAGCACTGGTCGGTCACCACCCATGATAAAAATATATGTATCGTTAGTAGCACATACATTGACTTTTGCTTGTGTGCATGTATATAAGAGAGCGGGAAAAGGGCCTTTGTCGTCGTTTGATCTCCGCATCGATTTTTTTTTTCTTTGCAAAAAAGAAAAGAAAAATCGCCATCCCCTTTTTCTTTACTTCCTCCTTTCGCTTTTTATCTTTTTTTTTTTTTTTTCTCGCCTTGTTCTTTCTATCACTCATATGCTTTCAACAGGCCCAACAAGTGCCGACACTACGGTTCCAGTAGGGTCATGGTGGTCGCGTGCGAGACGATCGCATTTGGGTGTAGCCGCCGTAGTGGCCTTAACCTTGTTTACGTATGTATTATCTCATCCTCGATCACTCAACCCTGTAGTGCTCTTTCAGCCTCTATATGTGTTCATCTATCATGGATATCCAAGAAACCAGCTGTCTTTTTCTTCCTATCCACTTATCTCCGCCTCTTCTTTCGGTATAATTTTTCAAACTATGCAGTGATATGTTGACATATGGCGCGGTGCTTCCGGTCCTACCGACTCTGATTATCAAGAAACTGAAAGGCGACTCCTCGATGGTTGGATTCCTGTTTGGCTGCTACGGTTAGTGGTGCTTGGAGGAACTAGAGAAACAGGGGGGGGGGGCGCGAAAAAAGAAACTAAACTGGGAATGTTACATGGTTCCCTTTCTGTTCTTACATACGTCTTGTGTGGTACATGCATTAAAACAATTGACATATTCTGTTTGCTGTTTCATATATATATATATTAGCATTTGGCCTTTTAGTGGCTACACCCGTGTTTGCAATTCTGTCCGACAAATACCAGAATCGTCGATTGCCGATGATGGCAGGTAAAAGACCCGAGACGCGTTTGAAAGAAAAAAAAAAGTCATCAACAAGACGTAAAGATGTGTGTGCATTCTACTGCTGCTACAGAGATAACTCTAATGCTGAAATGGTTGTACAAAACCCGCCTATTGTACCCCGCTTGTTTGTTTTTAAGGTTGCCTTGGATTGATGGCGTCAACATTGTCGTTTGCTGCTGCCGAAACTTACCCTCTGTTAGTGGTGGCACGTGTCGCACAAGGTGTTGCAGGAGGAGCTTCATGGTAAAAAGGATTTCTCTCGATCTGGCTACCAACAAGAAAGAAGAACTTACAGTGACACATTTCATAGGACAATCGGCTTGGGACTGCTGGCAGATGTATTCCCAACCAAACGTCTTGGGGTAGTCATGGGCACAGTGCTTACAGCACACACAGTGTAAGTGCCTTTTTGAAGGAACGAGTGCATGTATTGACTACTTTGAGAGATGGGGAACTCATGATGCTTTTTCTTTTTTAGCGGATTTGCGATTGGTCCAGCCATGGGTGGCTTCTTGTACGAGTACGGAGGGTACTCTGCACCCTTTCTTTGCTGTGCCGCATTTGCTCTCCTGAATTTCTTTGCCATTGTATGGATCGCAGAGCCGCCGCACGACAAACATACCAAGAAACCTACCCAAAAATATACCCAACCTGATGACGATGATGCCAGTAACAACGATGATGACGACGAGGAAGCTTCCACTGCTGCTTCCAGTATCCGCAGCAATGTCAGCGATGAAGGCGCCTATATCCCGGCACCCACGGAGGAAACACCGCTATGTAAGACCCACACTGCACGAGAACAAGCACCTATTACGATCTGGAGCTTATGCAAGAATTGGCGCATCTTGTGCTGTGTCCTGTGCACGACTGTAAGCTCTTCTGTGTTTTCCGGTATCGAGCCAGCCTTACCCATTCATTTGGAGAAAACGTATGATGCATCTGCATCGACTGTTGGATGTAAGTTTTAAAAAGACAACTTTGGGAGGGAATAGCGTCCAAGCGTTGGATTGGCTAATTCGGATTCTCCTCTCTCTCAATGGCAATAGTGGTTTTCGTGGCTATGGTTGTTCCAGCGTTCCTTGCACCATTGATTGGTCACTTGTCTGATCGAGTAAGCGTTTTCTCTGATATATAACTTGGACAAAAGCAAACAGTTATTGACCTAAAAGGTTCTGATTTCTAGATCGGCCGCTATGTCATTTCAGCCACGGGTATGCTTGTGATGGCCGTGGCATCTCCACTGGTTGCCGTACATTATCCCACGGTGTACATGATCATTCCCGCATTAATGGTGTTTGGCTTTTCCAGCCCTCTCACACTGACACCCATATTGCCAGAGATGGGCGAAGTAGTCGATGAATTGGTAAGTTTCTTTTTTTGGGAGGCTTTATTTATATATCGAAAAAAAGGGTTCTCGTGTAACACGCTGCATATGCATTAAATGTTTGTGTGTCTTTGTAGGGCGGATCCGCATATGCGCAGGTTTATGCATTGTATAACATGGCCTATTCAGCAGGCATGTTCTTTGGCCCCAACTGTGCTGGACTCATCATGACCTATGCCGGCTTTGAGGCGCTCATGATTACATTTGGTGTTGTGCTTGTTGTTTGCAGTCCCATCATGATGGATTGGAAGGCAGTCTGGCGCAGGCTTGTGGGCGGTCGTGGTTGTTAATCACCACTTTTTCCTATATAGACACACACAAACACACACACATCCATAGCACGCATCATTGTAAATTTATCTTCTTTTTCTTCTTACATAATACTCTGTTAGCATACATGCCTCTCTATCGTCTGCACATTCCCGACATCTCCCAGTGCAGTGTAATAGAAAAGATTACAGACGTATTTATTTCTTCATGTCGAGATTGGGAAAAGATAGAGAGAAAGAAAAAAAGAGGTAAAGAGAAGAGTTAACGGGAACGTAATACGGAATTTGTGCGTATGTGTAAGAGTTTGAGTGAGTGTGTTGTTTGTCGAAAGAAAGAGAGAGAGAGAGTGTGTGTGTGTGTGTGTGTGTGAATTATGGATTGCTTTTATTCTACAGGATGGCACACTTGCTCTTGCGGCCGACTTTGCTGATCTTGGAAGTCATTAAGGCAGCACGGGTAGCATTCTCGAATACTTCACGAACACCGTCGCCATCCTTTGCAGAGCACTCCAAGTATTTATAGGCACCGACCTTCTGGGCAACAGCCATACCCTAAACAAGTCCAGTGGGTTAGACAGCATGCTCTCCCTACTCTGGCGTGGTGTATGTGCTTCTTATTACCTCTTCGTAAGTTACTGGCCGTTGGGAGGTCTTTCTCAACTCTTCAATGGTGTGGGGATCGTTTCGCAAATCCTTCTTACAGGCAACAAGGAGGATAGGCAAGCCTTGGCAGAAATGCAGGACCTCAGAGATCCACTATGAGCGAAAATGGGGGTTGAGTGTTGTCAGTGGCCGACCCGAGATGCTTCATAGTAGTAGTAGTACTAGTAGTAGTACTAGTAGTTAGAGGACTTACCTTTTCTTGTACGTTATCAAGCGAGTCGGGCGAGTCAACGGCGAAGCAAATGAGGATCACATGAGAGTCCGGGTAGGACAGCGGGCGAAGACGATCATAGTCTTCCTGGCCTATGGACGAAAAAGGGTTAGACCGGAGAGTGGATAAATAGGTCGATGCACGAGGGATTCCCCCCCCCCCAAGAAAAAAAAAAGTTGTCACGGAAAAATAAAAAATACCTGCAGTATCCCAAAGCGCCAGCTCAACCTTTTTGCCGTCAACCTCCACATCAGCCACATAGTTTTCAAACACAGTGGGCACGTAGAGCTAAAAATACATGTGTATCAGAGGAGTACATTGAAATCAGTAACATTGTTTTTTTTTGTCTGGTACAGCTTGTCCATGTCTTGTCTTGTCTAATGTTGCTGAGCTCGTGTAAGAGGGGAGTGTGTGTGTGTGTGTGAGGGTGGTGTGTTGCCGATAAGAGTAGTGTGTGTACACACAGTGTGTAGCCTCACAAATGAGACAAATATGAGAGAGAGAGAAAGTGTGGGTGTAGTGTGTGCGCGTGCGCGTGGTGCTATGCAACCGTCTCAAACTCCGATCCCTTTTCTTTCCCTTCTGCACAACCCAAAAACCCTCCCACTCTCTCTCCACACACCCCCCCCCCAATAGGAGGGTAAAAAAAGCAAGAGAGAGAGAGAGAGAGAAAAGAGCGCGCGCAAGCAAGCAACAGCATATCTCGAGACAGTATCTCGCACAATACGAAGGAGAGGGGGAGAAGGGAGAGAGAGAGAGAGAGAGAGAGAAAGAGAGAAGGAGGGAAGACCAAAAGAAAGGCGAGAGAGAGAGGTGTATACGTCTTGCCCCAGGCTCGCGCGTAGCATGATCATGTAAGAAAAAAATAAAAGGGCATGGTTTTTTACTTACCTCAGGGAAAGTGCCCCTGGAGAATACAATTAAAAGACAAGTCTATGTTTTGCAAAGTAAACACATTAGTTCATGTATCAGACAAGAGGGAAACCCTGCCCCCCCGCCCCACCCCTTCCGGTACCGCTACTGGATCTATCTCTCTTTCTCTTTCTTTTATATATATATTACCTTGCCACATGCACCGTCACCGACGATAACGAGCTTTCTTCTAAGTTCGGATGCCATTTTTGATTTGTGGTTTCTATATTAGACAAGAATAGACATGGAGCGATATATTAGTTTTGTATTTTTTAAAAACCAGAGTGATAAGAGTGAGCGAAACAACAAAACAAGTGTGTTCATCAGGAACGAAAGCCAAGTCAATGCCATTCAATGCTAATGAATGATAAAAAGGTTGCATCATCATCATCATCTTTCATCATCTCGGTCCGTCATGTTTTTTTTTCCCCCTTTTCGTTCGTGTTTCTCGCTCACTCCGAGCTGTAGTATAACAGGTGTATCTTGTCATCTGAAGGGAAAAATAGTGCAATGGCTTTTGTACCTTTTTTAAGAACGCGGGAATAAGCGAAAGAGAATAAGAGTGTACGTATGTTTTTTTTTTTGGTGATAAAAAGTCGAGTTATCTGGTATCTTCAGGTATAGTCGACAAAAAGGAAAATAGAAACGATAATTAAAAAGATCAAGAATGGACTCGTAATCTTTATAAAAGAGAGAGAGAGAGAGAGATGAAGAAGAAGAGAGAAAAGAGAAAAAAAAAAAAGGAATATGGACCTTTACCCAAAGTGTGATACTAGTAGCAGGTCGACGTGGGTGTGAATTTTAGGGCTTCGCTGTTTTTTGTTGTTGTTGTTGTTGTTATATATAATGTTACACACACACACACACGCCTTGATAGCACTCATACTGATTATGTACGTACTCTACAGTCCATCCCCTTCACTCACATCACCATGGCAGCCCAAAAAGGAATTCGTTGCTGTGCAACTCTAGCTGACAACAGATTCGAGTGAAGGTATGGTGTCATGAACCTTCTTCCTCGCTTAAGAAAAACCGAATCATACTAGAATTCAAATGATCTGGATCACAATTGATTTGTTGCTATTTTTGTCCAACGGCACCAGCCAAAAAAGAACCCAGGCGAGCTATTTCATTTGACTAGACATTATAGAAATATTCTATCTGACTTCCTTGTATAGAACACAGTTACTATCCGCCTATACGTACTACATCTTTATGCTGGCAACAGTCCAGCATCTATAACAATAAACTTGTTGTTGTGCTGATTGACAATTGTATTAGATGTATACTTCTTTATAGAATGATCATGTTCCCCTAAAACTATCTATTACTGCTTTGTTTACATTATTTTTTGGCGGTGAATAGAGCACGGTTTTAAGCGTTCGGTTAACTGATCTTTTTTGGAAGCTTGGCACGGCCATTTCTCTTTGCTTGTGTGACACACACTGCTTTGGCTTAGCAAAACCACATATACAGTATAAACCAGTTTTTGCTATAATGATGATCATCAGCCATGCCATGGATGATCATTCTTGATGCTTGTAGCGTGTATGCATGGGATATTCAAAATAATGGGGGCGCAAACAACAATGTAAACATGCGCAGCAACTGCTGCGACAGCCAGGAGAATTTCTATTGTTTTGTCCACTGAAGATGCATTGGATGGAAAGGATTCTCCTCTTCCATCACTTGGCCATCTAAAACCGCATTTTGTTCTCCATTACATTAGATAGGATATCCTTCGGGGGGCACCAACAGGGCGAGGAAGAAACGGGTCTGGTCCAAGCACCTTATTATTGCTAGCTGCTGTTGTCACGTTAAGCAAAATGACATCATGCTAGATGTATAGCGTACTCCATTAGTGAATAACTTGTCCAAGAACATCTGTCGTCAGAATGTATGTGAAAAAAAAAGGGAGGGCGAGATAGCCTGCGCCTCCTTCTCCACTTGCCCCCCCCACT